AGGAGGAGCCTGGTCTCAAACTGAATCATGCTCCTGCATTAATCTCTCGGTAATCATACGTTCCTTGCTACAGCAAGGGAAAGGTTGCAATGAAACGTGACGTCAGTACTTCAGCCTGCGGCTGATACAGGTAAACACCCCTGTGAGGTTTTAGGAAATATTCCCTCGTAGCCCCACTGTGGCAGCGATGCTCAGCCAAAGCCCATTTCTAGCTTTTAGGCTTTACTGAATCCCCCCCCACCAAGAGGGAGCTAAAATACAGCTCTTCCGCAGCACACAGATGATGAGGACAGAGGCCACGTGAGCAGCAGCGTAACAGACGCCCGAGGAATTAGCGACCCACAACCATCAGCCTTTCTTACGGCCAAGAGAAGTAAGAAGCGGGACAGGTGAAGCACCAAACAATGCTGGAAAAGAAAAGGAAACCGATCCAGAAAGGTGACCGGGCGAGGCCCTCACACGGCTCAGTACGAAACACGCAGCCACCAGTACTGAACAACTTCCATTAGACACGGCGACGGTGAATCGTGGCACACCGGCACGCAGCCTACGCCGAGATTATGGCGCTCGGCACGCTGGCGGGAGGAAGCGATCTGTGGTCACCCCACTGCCACGTGCCCCACGGCTGCACATCGGAGGCAGGGAAGAGCAGGGCAGAGCACCCACCAAGACTTTTCCACCCTCTAGGCTGAGCGCGCTTCGCATTGGAGGAGAGAGAAACCCAGGCAAGGTGGCATCGCTTCTTGAGCCTCCCGCATTCAGCGACCAAAGTGTGCCAAATCAAGCCCCGTTCCTTCCAGAGCAGCAAAGCCTAATTATTAACAGTCTACCAGCGGGGTTTTTAGCAACGTCTTAAGTGCCACAGTGCCCACCTACGAGAATTCCAGGGCAAACGTTGCTCTGCTGATGACCCCCAACTCACCCAAGGACAAACCCTAAAAACTAAGCTGGTTCTCTCATGGACAGGCACATCCTCTCCAAGCAAAAGCAGAGATGCCGCCTGCTCTCCAGAAAAGGCTCAGCTCCTTAAAAACCTAGGAAAAAAAAAATAATCAGCTTAATTCTAGCCTTTCTCCAGTTGCGGTTGTGATGGTAGCAAAAGGGCTACGTTCTGCCAAAGATGAAAGCATCACCCTTTTGGGTTACTAGCCAACAAATCAACTCCAGGTAGCCCCTTAAACAGGATGCCATAATGCACAACTAGTCAAACTTGCTCCTAGCTTGGCCCGTTCCCTAGCTATCGCTAGAAATGCTGAGGAGCCCCAAGAGAAGTGGACAATCAGCCTGGAAGAAGTTCAGACAGCACAGGGGGAAGATCGCTGGACCTGCGAGGTAGTCATGTTCTCCCAGGGCTGCGAATTCGTAGCTCCCCCTCAGGACAAAAAAACAGAGGTGAGAATTAATACTTATCTCCCAAGGAAACACTCAACACACGCAGTGCAGTGGCTTGAACCCCCAGAATAAGGGAAGGCCAAACACTTACAATAACTTATTACTTGCTACAACAGCAGAGGGGCAGTTCCAGCCCGGCGGGGGCTTCTCAGGCCAGCCGGGTCCCCGGTCATGCTGCAGCCACGAGGGAAGGAAGAACAGCAGCGAGCTTTCAGCATTGCAGAGCAGCCACAGCGGTCCCTCGCCTCCCTCCTCACCCCCAACAGCTCCTGAGGACGGAAATGCAACGTCCAAAGAGCACGGGAACACAGGGGACGCTGCTCCGCAGTGCATTGGTGAAGCCCTCTCTGGTAACGTTCACCGATCAACCCTTACGAAAAAACGCGGCATTAAAAACAACTCCAGTGTCTGAACAGAGCTGGAATTCTAATGAAGTCGCTCGGGCGATTTATAAATGGAAATTGTGTGGAAAACAATTCATTCAGTAGGTCACTCAGAAGATTTTGAGACCAGAAGCAAGAAAGGGTTTCTTGTGAAAGAGGAGAAGAGACAAAGGGAAGGGGGACAGAAGGCAGGAAACAGAAAAGGAGAGATGCAGCAAGATATCCTGCAGGTGCCCAATTAATCCCAGTCAGGGAAGCGGCTCCAGTTCCTGCCCAGCCGTCAGAACAGCTCTCTCTTACAGAGCACAAGATCCCAACTTTGCATAACCAGGGACTGAATGTAAATTGCTGGCTTGGTAAAAACGCAAATTGTCGACTGTTCCCTTCTATTTCATCAGTTCCAGCAGAGACAATTATGAATACAGGCCTCCTGCCCTTTAGGATGATTAACATTCCCTTCCGTTCGTGTCCCCAACACTGCTGACCCACATTGGACTTGCGAAATTCACTTATATGTAAACTGCAAGGTTCTGTGTCAGCAGTATGTGCCGGACCATTAGCGCCAGGCGCACACAGCACACACTCTCCTCCCCTCTGCAAATAAACCCAGGCCTCAATTTCAAAACGGCCAGAAAAATCCCGGCCCTTCAGCACGACAGCAGGCACCAAGCCGTTCCCTGCTTTTCCTCTTGAGGGAAAAGGGGACGCAAGCCAGGAAGGCTCACACCGTTATCTCCAGATGTCACGTCAAAGTCCGCTTGAGCCGGTAAGCGTCCGTAGGGCAGGGAAACGGACTCCGGTGCCCCATCAGTGGACCACCTGTAAAGCCACGCGCAGCAAGGAACACGAGCCTACACAGTTATTACTATCACCTTCTGGGAAAGGTCTAAAAGAGACGGGCGCCGTGTATTTTCAAGCTTCCGCAGACGTCCGCGCCCGAACTCCCTCAGAGACATCGGACGAACGCGGTTCCCAAGGAGGGGCCGTGATGAGCAAACCAGCTTTTCTCCAAGAGAACGTAACACGGGGTCAAGTTTGTGCAGGGATCCGGTGGCTATATTTGAACGCTGCCCGATTCCTCTCTGCAGCCACTACTGGAGGAGATCACCTCTGGAAGGGGCCACCAGCTCACTCGGCGATCGGGCTACACTTGCCTTCCATGATCAAAGAATTCTTTCAGATCCCCAGACGATGGGACAACCTTGCCAAGGCTTTACTTCCTTCTAAGTCACTTCCACTAAGTCAAATTGCTAAAACTATTACCGTGCTGGAAGCAAGCTCTCGGTAGCGCTATTTTGTATTCCTGCTGCCATGCCAAGGAGCCTTCCCACACAGATTCGCCCTTTCCAACCCATTTTACGGGGATACCTCTCCTCTGACCTCCGGAGTCCCAGAGCTTAAAGCAAGTAGCTCCTCTTCCCTTCCCCAATCCTCTGCCAGAGCCAGCAGCGACGGCCCCATCAGCGAAGAAAAGCACCGAAACAACAGTGCTGAGGGTTCGCAGGCAAAAAACAATCCGTTTGCTCGCGCTCCTCTTCACGGGCAGGGATTTGAAAGGAAACCTGACCTCAGAGCGGAGCGAGCTTCCAGGTCAAGTTTCAGCTCCAAGCTACTCCAGCTCAGCCTGGCAGGCACCGGCGCAGCCGAACAGATGGCGGTTCTTCCAGCGCAGGTATTTCCCCGGTCTCAGCGAGCGCTCGGAGTTCGGAGGGACTGCATCTCCTCCTCGCAGCCGCGCAGGGAAGCGCGCAAGCACGCCCAGCCTGCCACTGCAGTGGCTGGCACACTCCACTGGGCTCAGTGGCCGAGGCAACTAGCAAGGCTGCCATCCCGGCGGGAAAGAGCCATGCTGCTTCCTAAAGCCAGCGAGCTACCCTCGGTCACTTCACGGCAGCAGAAACAAGGGTCAACTGCTGCTTAGCAAAGCCCGAGTTTTTTCAAGCTTGGTGTCCTCTTCCATCGTCCACCACTGAAGCGTAAAATCCAGCCCCGGCCCTGCCAACGCCGAACAGCATCTCCAGACAAAACGTGCCTGCCTTTTGCCGTCCCTCACCAAAATCAACTCTTCCCACGCAGAAGGTGGTCTCCGCTTCGGTATTTTGCAAGCCTCGGAGTCAGCACCACTCAAAAGAAACCTCGGCCCAACGAGGGAGACTGAGAGCAGGAACGCAGCTCACGGCTGCGGGAGCGACCTCCGCTCAAGACGAGCGGCCTCCTGGGCTCGGAGCATCTGAACTTACCGCCCCGGCTTCTCCCAGTTCAGATTTATAATGGGGAAAACTGCAGCCAAGCGCTGCGGAAAACAGCGGCAGCCGACGTTCAGGCTAAACTGCAGCACCTAGCACTTGAAGGCACAGAAAGAGACATGGGTTTATGCAAGATAGGCAGATATAACCCAATTCTGAAAGGAACTGTCCAGGAGGTGTTAAGTAACTGGTTTTTAAATAGCCCCTGAAACTAATTTTACTTAGTTATCTGGGCAAAAAGCCAGGGTTTCAACAAATGAAAGCGACGGTGGATTTCTACTAGCGTTTCAATACCGCGTAACTCCCGAAGCGCGCAGGAGGACGAGGCCAAAGCCGCCTCCGCAGCCGCCCCTGGGCAGCGCTTCCAGGGCGCCGGCCGGGCGGGACGGAGCCGCGGCCCGTCCGCTCCCCTCCCGTCGCGACTGTCGCCCCGCGACAGCTCCACGGGGCCAGAGCACGGCGCGACACGGCCGCGGCCCCCCGCCGGTCCCGCGTTCCGTGGGGCAGCGGCGCGGCGCCGGGCGCGCAGCCCCGTACCTGGCGGCACCCGGGCGCCAGAACCGCTCCCCTCAGCGTTCCTCGCGCTATTCCTCGCCGTTGGCTGCGTGGCCCTGCAAGACTCGAGCGGAGCAATTCCCCGGAGCCCCCCCCACCCCTTGGAAGCTGCCCCGCGCGTGGGGGCGGCATCCCCCACGTCCCCGGAACGCGGTTCTTCCACCCCGCGCCTCCTCCCCCAGGGTGGGCACCGGGCGAACGGGCAGCGCCTTGCCCGCCGGCCCGCCCGCGGCAGCGCCGTCCCCCCGCGCCGCGACCCACGGCCACGCGAGGAAAGCCGCCCGTGGCCTGCCGCGCCGCCGGCCCCGCCGCGGGCCCGGCCCCACGGGCAGCGCTCCGCGCCCGCCGCGGCTGGGTGCGTGGGAAGGGGGGGAAACAACACCCACACCCCCCCACACACACACACGCACGGCGGGCCCCTCACCTTGGCGCGGGTCACCAGGTGCGTGGCCAGCTTCACCACGGCGAAGTTGCCCTTGCCGATGGTCCGCTCGATCTCGTAGTAGCCGATGCGGGCGGGCCCGGGGGGCCGCGGGGGCGGCGGGGCCGGGGGCAGCCGCGGGGCCGGAGGGGGCCCCCCCGCGCCGCTCGCCGCCGCCGCTGCAGCCGCCGCCGCCATCTTGTTGCGAGGAGCAAACCCCCCCCCCCCCCCCCTCGGGGCTGCGGCACCGCGTGAGCTCATCCGCGGGGGGGGGGGGGAGGAGGAGGGAGGGGGGGAGCGGCTGCCATAGCAACCGCGGGGGGGGTGGGCGGGGCAGGCCCGCTGACGGCAGCGCCGCCGTGACGCGTCACCTCCCGCCGGCGCTCCTCATTGGCGGGGAGGCGGGGCGCTCCCGCGGCCGGAGCGGCGCGGGCGCGCGCACGCGGGAGGGAGCGGGCGGCGTCACGGCTGAGCGCAGCCGCGCGCTCCGGCCGCCGCGGGGAAGGCGGGGCGCCTCGCCGGCGGGAGAATGACGCCGCGGACGTCACGGAGGGGAGGGTGACGTCACGGCCGGGCGCCGCCTAGGGGGCCGAGCGGCGGCGGGGCGGGACTTCCGGCGGCGGCGCGGCGCGGTTGGTGGGCGGCCCCGCGGCGGAAGCGGAAGCGGCGGCGGCGCAGGCGCGGTGGGAGCCCGGGGCCGAGGGGAGGGAGGCGCCCGCCCGACAGCGCCATGGAGTCGCGGGGGGAACCGCAGCCGCCGTGAGTGCGCGGGGCCGGGGGCCGGGGCGGCCGCCGTGCCCGCCCGAGGCGGGGGGGGGAGGCGGCGGGGGCCGCGCCGAGACCCGCCCGCCGTCGTGGCGGCGGCGGCGGAAGAGGAGGAGGGGCTCCCCCGGGAGCGGGGCGGCGGCGGGAAGCCGCCCGTCCTTATAAACCCGGCCCCCAGGGTCGGCACCTGCGGGTGGGCGGGGATTCCCGGGGTGGGAGGGTCCCGGCCGCCCCCCCCCCCGGGGGTGATCGCTCGGGATCGGGCCCGCTGCGCGGCGCAGCCCCCCCCCCCCGCACCCGCGGGGCTCATCCCTCCTAAACTGGACGTCCTGGGACTAGCAGGGGCTCATCCGCGGGCTCCGAGCATCGATTATTGTGTTAGTGACGCCGAACGCACTCGGAAATGCGCTTTCCCTCGCCTTTCCCGTGCCCCGCCGCCCGGCCTGTCGGTGCGATCGCTGCAGAGCCAGCCTGGCGGCCGCGCGCAGGGCAAAACCTGGCTTTGTTGCCGGCCGAAAACCCCGCACGCGTAGGAATAGGCGCGAGTCGCCCATCGTGAATGTCAGGAAGCGCGGCGCTTTCCAGCCGGCCTGCCTTTCCCCCCGCCGGGCAGCTCGTCTGAAACGTTCTTTCCGCAGGAACAGCATGAGCCGGGGGGACCGAAACCCGGCAGCAGTGCCCCACGCCGCTGAGGACGTTCAGGGAGACGACCGGTGGATGTCACAGGTGAGGCCGGGAGAGGCGGGAGGTTGGGTCCCCTCGGCTGGGGGGCTGCTGGGCAAACGCTGCAGGGACCCCAGCCACTCACCCTTCTGGACGTGAGGCGGTGACAGCTCCACCACCCCAAAGCCGGCGGGGCTGTCGGGACGCGCCCGCCTCGTCATGGCGAAGCCAAGCCAAAGGGAGCATCGCTGCGCGACCTGCGAGCTGCCCCGTGGAAGTGTGTCAGGAAGCTCTCCAGCTGGCCCGGTGACCGGGAGAGAAATCGCCAAGCCCTTTTGTTAAGCGCAAAGCGGCGGTTTCCAGCGCGCGTCCTGGCGCGGGAGCGGGAGAGGTGAAGTGTCTGCTGCGGCCGTCCCTCGCTGCCGCGCGTCCTCCCGGGCGGGCAGCGATAGGCAGAGGATACTGGCTGCGGTGACTCGCCGTTGATTTCTCCCTTCTGTCATTGTGGGATCTAATGGGCGGCTGACGGCTCGCGCACGCGCAGCGCGTGGAGGAGACGCGGTGCGGCTCCTGCAGATCCGGGATTGCTGCTGGGGTTTGCGTGGCGGGGGGAGCGTCCAGCAGCTCACGGGATGAGGCAGAGGAGTCGGGGGGCCCGGCACGGGTCAGCAGCAGGGGAAAGAAACGGGTTGGGCAACTGTCCCTTTCTGTCCTGCAGCGGAGACACTGACGAGGAACTACCCGCCCGGGCTTATCTTGCTGCTTTCTTTTGACAGCATAACAGGTTTGTCTTGGACTGCAAAGACAAGGAGCCCGACGTGCTCTTCGTGGGCGACTCCATGGTGCAGTTGCTACAGCAGTATGAGGTACTGTTAAAGGAAGGAGGATGGTGGGGTTGTAGGCAGCGGAGTCTTTCTCTCTCTAAGCCAGCGATTGATGAGCACGCATAATGCTGACAATTTCTTGTATGCTGATCTCGCTGCCCCGCCCTGGGGTTTATTCTGCCCCGCTTCCCTAACTTCCCAGCGCTTGTGCGCGGCCTTGCCGCCTCATCTCTGCAAGCCCCCTGCAGTCCTCCTCCGAGGCCGTTACCGACGGCCTACGTTTCCACCCACGTACACAATGCCTTGCTAGTTCCTTGAATCTCGGGTTCCAAAGTCCCGTCAAACTCTTTGTGGGCACATCTTGCGTGGCCAGAGCAGGTTTAACCCTCTAGCACCTGGAGCGCTACAGGCATTGGCGCGCTGGCTTGGCTCTAAAACTCTGTTGGGGCAAAGAACGGTGCTGCCACTCTGCCGTGTGAGCAGCTCAGCAGCTTTTTTCTGCACGAGCTGCTTCCCATTTTTCTAGTTTTGTTAGCTGCTGACGAAAAGGTCACAGGCACCTTCTTCGGAAGGCCTGTGCTTAGGGAGGCCGGGGACACGGTGGTCTGCGGCAGATCCAGCACTCCCTGTGTCTGACGGGTTGGGCAAAGATCTGCCTGAGAGAACGTCCCCTTGCTTTGTGCCAGGACTGAGGGCCGGAACAGCAGCAGCTCCGTCTCTTCTGGCCCTCCGAGTAAAGCCTCGTCCTGTGTTTAAATGCCCTTTCTGGGCCTGAGTTTCCAGAGGAAGTCCTTCGTCTGCTTTCAGTGCCCTTGAAATCATCGCTTGTCTGTGCAGTGTCTTTCTGTGCCGCTCAGGACGCTGCTCTGAAATGGCGAATTGGTTTCTGATTGCAGATATGGCGAGAGCTCTTCTCCCCGCTGCATGCTTTGAATTTTGGGATCGGTGGAGACACCACAGGACACGTTCTGTGGAGACTGAAGAACGGTGAACTGGAGAACATTAAACCGAAGGTACAGGCGGAGAACCGAGCGGGCAGCCCTGTGCTGACTTAGGAGAGGCGTCAGGGCGGAGGGGTGCAGGCCCGAGCGAGCCGTTACTCTTGAGAGACCTTTTTGTTCGAGCAACCGCTGGCGCTGCGTGCGCGGCAGGTGCTGAGGTGTTTGGGAACAGAGCGGGATGTCTCCTACACAAGGCTGAACATGCAAATCCGAGGATGTCATCCGTAAATAGAGGCGGCCGTCTAGTCCTAGCGAAAGTGTTGCTCAGGCCTGCGATTTACCAGAGCTAGGCTTAGCGTGCAGTTGGCAGCGAGTCTCTCGGGCCCCAGATGCATTCGTGGCCGCTGGGAAGGGCTGGTGAGGTGTGGGATAAAGAGGCAGCGAGAACGTTGGGGATGCGTGGTGAAGATCAGCTTTCTCGTCTGCGCCTACGGCCGCAGTCCTGTCGCGAGCGTCTTCGCCGAAGGCGGTGGGCAGCGCATACCCCGGGTAGGGAGGCGGTGGGGCTGCTGTTCCAGCCTGCTACCTAGCGGGTTACAATCTTCTGAAATAAAAAGTGGAGCTGCCTGGTTCTCCCTGCCCCTCGGGAGCTGATGCAGTGCCGTACAAATGCACGTTACCCTCTTTTTGGGCGCCGTGGGCTCCTGCAGGTATGTTGGCCAAGAGGCTCCGAGATGGAATGGGCTCGGACATCCCTTGGGCTGTCCAGTAAGGCTTCAGGAGCACCAGTTCTTCATCTGCACGGAGGGCCCCACCAGAAGCTCCTGAGCTGCTCCTCAGAAGTCGGCGTGACTGGCAGCTAAGAGCTCTTGCAGTCCGACTTTAGCCTTAAGCCTGACTCCGTGTAGCTCGCTGGTGGCAGACGATGTTTACGCAGAGTTTTCAGGGTCAGCAAGCCTATTACAGCTTGTTCTGAAAAAGCTGCAAACATCTCTTCTCCCCGTAGGTCATTGTTGTTTGGGTTGGAACAAATAACCACGAAAACACAGCAGAAGAAGTAGCAGGTGGAATCGAGGCTATCGTGCGCCTGATAAACACCCAGCAGCCACAGGCCAAAGTTATTGTACTGGTACGTCTCTTGCAGCGCCGTGAAAACAAAGCGCTTGGGGGGGGGGGGGGGTGCCGCTCCGGGGCCCCGCCACGCTGGGAGTTCCCGCTCGTCACGGGGGAGGGCAGTCGCTGTGGTTATCTTCTGCTCTGGGCGTGCCTCCCCGCGCTCGCGGCGCTCTGTCTGCAGAAGGCGTCCTGTCGGCCCCTCCGGAGACGGGCCCGGTCGTTCCCGTTGGCGGTGCCGCTGCCCCCGCTGAGCAGTGCGGCTGAAGAAGGCCCGTGGGGGGGAAACGGGGTGCCCAGAGCGGGGCTGGGATTGGAAATGCTGGTCGGCCTCTTGGTCTCGGCAGCTTCGCTGGTGCCTCTCTTTCTGAGAAGCTGGGCGACGGCATTCGGCACACGGCTGAAAGCGTGTAGAAGGGGCGCGACCCGCTGTGTTTAACAGGAAAAAGAAGGCACGATGCCTTGCTGGGTGTGCTCGTAGCTCATCTGGCTCCTCCGGTTGCATTTCAAACCAGGACCGAACGGACAAGGTGCGACCCAAGGCACGAGTTGCCCTTGTCGCAGACATCTTCAGTCTTGACAGGCAGCCCGAGTCGGAAGGGAAGGCAGGCAGTGTTATGCCATCAAAGTCGTACGAAGCTCTTTTTTGCCTCCTTCTTGTGCCAGGGCCTGCTACCTCGTGGAGAGAAGCCAAACCCGCTGCGGCAGAAGAACGCCAAGGTGAACCATCTGCTAAAAGCCTCGCTCCCCAAACTGCCCAACGTCCAGCTCCTGGACGTGGACGTCGGCTTCGTGCACTCGGATGGCACCATCTCCTACCACGACATGTTTGATTTCCTGCACCTGACGGGAGGGGGCTACGCCAAGATCTGCAAACCCCTCCATGAACTGATCATGCAGCTGCTGGAGGAGACCCCCGAGGAGAAACGAGCTGCCCTGGCCTGAGTCGCCAGCGCTCCCAGCATCGCGCAGCCCATCAGATCAGTTCTGTCACTGGCACTACAGAATCCTTCTTTCTTAAAGCACTTTCCATTGTAGAATGTTACCGGATGTTCGTACCTAGTGTTTTGAGGGGGAAGGCTAACGTTTAACTGGTCTTGTACATAGGAGGGCCGCCTCGGTTGGTTTTATTGCAGGAGGAGAGTAGCTGAAGAAGAGTTTTACTTTTAAACCATTCCTCATTTAAACCGAGAACAGGACTGTCGCTCTGTGCCCCTCTCCCATCCTGTTGCTCTGTGGTTGTCCTAGAACCCCCGTAGCCCGCCTGGCAGCCCGCGCCCAGCTCCCGCCTCCCCGCTCCTGCCTGTAGGGATTGTGCTCTGGGCAGCAGCCCCTGCACAAGAATCACATTCCGCTTGCAAAAGCCAGAGCAGATGCATTTCTCCAAACTCGGTCCCGCCTTTTACAGGTTTTTTCGCTTGGTTTTTTTCCCGGGGGGGCTGACACGTGTTGCTTTCTCACTCCTCCTTGCTGAAGCAGCACGAAACTGCAATTCAGAAATGTAAAGAAACAAGTGGTTACCCGAACGCGTGTTAACACTCCCAGGTGCCTGTTCTTGGGCTCATTTCACCGTGCCTGTAGCTGGGGCCCCTCTCCTCCCAGGTAGCTTTCCCCGGGGCGGGCTCGTTCAGGTCCTGCTGGCTGTCCTGTTCTCTGCTCCTGCCTGTGTGTGGTGTCGCTGGCTTTTAACAGTTGCTCAGTTTAGGATTTTAATTGTCCAGTAAACGCCGCACAAGGCAGTGGCTTCCTCGCTCCTCTAGAACCGACGGTTCGTTCCCCCCAGATGCCTGTGCCACAGGGCTCTTTGCAGTGCTGTTTGTCATTCTGGGTTTTTTCTTTTTTTTTTTTTAAAGTATGACTGTTACGTCGTTTTTTTTCTAAAGGAAACCCATATGAATAGCCCCTGCCCGCGAGGCCTAAATCAGTCTGAAGCTTTACGGATTCCGAGATGTATATTTCTTTATCGCTTCTGTTTTACTTGTACAAACATTTCGCTTGAGCTACTGCAGCCTCCCACAGTAACAAGCGACGCCAAGCTGTAGCTTTTCCTGCCCCGGCCACCGCTCCTTGCCCCGGGGCGAGGGAGCCGAAGGGGCAGGTGCCCTACAGGGGCTGCAGTTCGGGGGGATTTTGGTTTGGGTTTCTTGTTACTACGGCTGGTTGTAGCCTACTAACGATCCTATGAAAACAGCCCTGCCTTTAAAAGCAAAAGCTTCTCGTTTTCAGAAGGAAACCGGTTGGGACCCGAAAGGCAGAGCCCTAGAAGAAGAGCTAACCGTACTCGCAGATACTTGTAAACAAAGTCTGTTCCTCCCCGGCTTACCTGCGGGGGCTGGAGCTCGGCGGTGCCGCCCGCACCGCGCCGTGGCTCGTGCTCGTCCCGGCGGGTAAATCGCGGAGGAACGGATCGCTTCTCAGCGGGCACTCCATCCCGTGTTCCCAGTGAGGGGCCTTTAGGTGTCCAGGTGGCTTGCTGTGCCCTGCTGCAATGAAGTACGTAGGTACTGTATATAGTCTGTCTGCCCTTTTTTATAATAAAGGGTGCTGGTGTTTAATGCAGTCTATAACCTAGCATTAAGGAATACTTTACTCGTCCCACTGCATTCCCCTCTTCCTGTAGATTTGATCATAGCAGGATTTCTGCCTGGATTGCATGCGTAGTGTGTGTTTTGTTTCCAGTATATGTGATCTACACACAGATGAAGGAAAGACGAGGCGTTCCACTTGCCAGGAGCAGGAGTAGGGAGTTCTGGAGGGCCGCGGTAGAGGAGGGCTTGCGGCCCTAGCCCCCGGAGCAGAGCGGGGCCGCGCTGCCTCGCAGGAGGGGCTGGGAGGGACCCCCGCTCCGGCGCTCGCTGCAGTAGCTGGGGCAAGGGCGAGTGGAAAATCAGACGTTAAAAAACCACCGCGGTGGAGGATTCCTGGGGAAGGGACTTCCCCCAGCCCCCGCGCACCCCCGAGGGAGACGGGCTAAAACACGCTCTGCTCCCTGGGCGCTTCCCAGGCTTCTAGGCTTGTGTGAAGAGGCAGTGTGCTGGTTTAAGCTATGCATCCCTGCTTCCCTCCCCGCCGTCGCTGCGCTTGGTTAAGGAGATGCCGACCGGGAACGAACGCTCCAGTAAAACCCTCTGGCTTCCCAGGTCGGCGCCCGCGCGGTGAGTCAGCCCCGCGTGGCAGCGGGCTGAGAGGTCTGGCCGGCTCCCGAGCCGCCCGCGACGTGACCGGGGACGGCTCTGCCTGGGCTTGGCTTGCTAAGGTGCCACGCTCCGCTCGGTTCAGCGCTCACGGCCCTTCTCTGCCACCTCCGATGCTGCTGGCACTGCCTAGAGGGAGCGAGCGCAGCTTCCCCTCGGCCCAGGCTTTTGCTCTGCTTGTCGCTGCCGAGTAAGAACCCGCTCTCGGCCGTGAGGTTTTGGGGCAGGGTTTCTCCCTCCTTGCTGCCCTAGTACCAAAAACCCAGCGCCTCGTTGCGAGATGGGTGGAAAAGCTTCGGTCCCGGCTCCGGGCGACTGACGTCCCGGGGGGTTGGGGCTGGGCTGCCCCTGCCCAGCCGGGGGGAACCCGGGGGCCTCTCCCCTCCGTCGAGAGCCTGGGCGTGCTTGTCAGCGCTGGCCGAGCCCGCCGTCTGCCTGTGTCAGCGTTGCCACTTTGGTGTCTACCGCAGCAGAGAGAAAAACAAAAAAGATGTGAAAGGACGGAAAGAGTCTCTGGAAACTTGCCGGGGGGACGGGAGGACTGACCATACGCCCCGTGTGTGGAAGGAGCTGCCCTCCCTGCCTGCCTGGAGGCACTGCCCTCACCGCCCCGAACCTTCCCCGGGACACAAAAATTGTGATTCTGCTTTGGCAAAAATGCATCGGCCGGTAGAGCTCGCTCTGTTAGTGCGTGTTTCGATATAAATGTCACTGTTTCACCCCACCGTGTCGCAGCGTGTGTGTGTGTGTGTGCGCGCCCAGGCGCCGGCGTCTCCCCTTCCCTCTCTGTGTCGGTGACTCGTTCTGCTTCGTCTCTGCCGGGGCCGGGGAGGCGGCTGGGGGTTACCCACCGCCCGCACTCGCAGCTCCTCAGTTCATACCTGTCCTCCTCCCCGCTCTGCCGGCGGGCCGCGCGGCGTTCGCTTCTCCTGTCCTCGCACCGCGCAGCGCTTGCTTAGGTCCTGTGCCCGAAGACGTGAGCGCGGTTCGGCGCACGGGGGGGGAGCTGGTATTTTGGCCCCCGACGGGCCCCCGGCCTGTGTTTGATTCCTCGGGGATTTCTTTGGAATCGCCCCGAAACAAGCGGGGAACGCGCGGCGCCACTCACGGTCACCCCGGCGGGGGCGACGCGCCCGCTCCAGCAGCAGCTTCGCAGTCGGTTGGAGTTCTGCTTCCAGCTCCTGCATGGGCGGCCGTCTGTCCCCGAGCAAGTCGTTCCATCCGCTGTCGGCGTCACCGCCCGTGACCTGGAAGCAACGTGCAGACTGTCTGAAAAGTGCTTTGGGATCCTCGCTGAGAGGACCTATAGAAATAAAGTGCACAATAGCAGCAGCGCTCTTGTCTCTTTCCGTTTGTCCCCCAGGGAGCAGAGGGGAACCGGCGGCAGGGGGCTGGGACGTCAGCTCGAGCCTAGAAAATGGCTTTCTGTGAGATGACGCGGGGCTGAGCTGTGTCGGGGGGGGGGGGATTTAAAACCAAAACTCCCAATCACACGCACATAAAAAGCGATGCGATGGCCTGGAAGCGGGAGGCTCGCCGGCAGGCGGGCCCGGGGGTGCTGGGGGGAGAGGCACGCTGAAACGCTGCGTGGCATCACTCCCGTGTCCCCGGGGAGCAGCGGGGCTGTGGAAAAACTTCAAATGACGTCGCGTTCCTTCAACCCCTGGCGATGAAGGGTGCTGCAGAGGGGAGGGGAGCGCGGGCAGGGGAAAGGTGCCGGCGCGGTTGAGGTGCCGTAACTGGCCTGGTAGGGACGTTTGGCCAGGGAGGATTCCCGTGCCCAGGCGGGAGCGGGGGGTCCTCCTGCAGCACCGGTCACGGCTCCCGTGCTGCCCGTCGCGGCGGCAGCCCGTCTGTCCAGAGCCAACGGCCGCAGCGCCCCGTCCGAGCCCGGGGCGAGCACCGGCCGTGCTGGGGGGTGCTGGTGGCAGCGGGTGGTGGGTAGTCGCTGCCACGTGCCCGAGAAGCCCGTGAGCGAGGCCGCTGGCAGCAGGGAGCCCTCGCTCGCTCCGGCCCCCCGGCCAGGCTGGGGGCTCGGCGGGCGGGATGCGCCCTCGTCCCGTCATGGGGGCTGTGCGACCTTGGGGGGGGCGGTGCGGTTTGGGGTGGGGGGCAGCTGAACGTGCCCAGAGCCTGGGGCTGGATGCTGCCCTGCAGCGTGGGGGCTCCCCTCTGGGGTCCTGCACGGGGCAGGGGCTCCCCTGTGGGTTTCCACAGGGGTCAGGGTTCCCCCCTGGAGCAAGGGGGATTCGCTGCGGGGTCCCACCTGGGGCAGCGGCTCCCCCGTGGAACGGGGCTTCCCCTATGGGTTTCCATAAGGGGCAGGGTTCCCCTCTGGGGTCCCATATGGGACAGGGGCTCCGCTGCGGGACGGGGGTTCCCCCCGGGGTCCCCTATGGGGCCTGGGTGCCCCACGGCGGGGGGCTCCGGGCGGCGTCGGCCCCCCCCCCCCCCCCCAATCCCGGCGCCGCCCGCCGCCGCGTCACTTCCCCGTCCTGGCCCTTTAACGTGTGACGGTGCGTGACGTCACCGCCGGCCCGTGTTTACAGCCGCCTGCGGATCGGGGCGAGCCCAAGTCCCGACAGCGGCCCCGACAGACCGATCGGCGCCGGGACCCCCCGGCCCCGGGCCCCGGCTGCGGACCCCGGCCCCGGCTCCGGCAGCGGGGCTGGCCATGGGGCAGGGTGCCCCGGCGCACCCCGGCTGACCGCCCCGTCCGCCCCGTCCGCCCCGTCCGTCCCGTCCGTCCCGTCCCGTCCCGCCCCGGTGGACCTTGGCCGGCCGGGGATGCTGGCGGGATGCCGGGCGCCGGGGCGGCCGCGCTGGCCTGGGCGCTGGTGGCCGGGGCGCTGGTGGCCCTGCCGCCCGCCGAGCCCCAGCCCCGCGGCCGGCGGCGGGTGGCCGAGAAGGAGGCCCAGTTCAACACCACCTACGCCGACTGGGTGGACGCCGACCTGCTCAACATCTACGCCTTCAACCACAGCGTCCGGCGGAACCGGGTGAGCCAGGCCGCCCGGCGCGGGCTCCCCCTTCCACCCCACGGGGATTTCGGGGGGGGGGGCCGGGGGCACCCCGCCATCCCGGCGGCGGGGAGGTGTCCGCTGCCACGGCGGGCGAGCAAAGTCCAGCCAACACCTCGCCGTCCCGCTCTCCCCGCAGACAGAGGGGGTGCGGGTCTCGGTGAACGTCCTCTCCGACCACAAAGACCTGCCCGTCCTCTTCGTGGTGAGGCAGAAGGAGGCGGTGGTCTCCTTCCAGGTGCCGCTCATCCTCCGGGGCCTGTGAGTACCGGCGGGGGGGGGGGGTGGTCCCAGCGGGCAGGGTTGGGGGCACGGCGCAGCTCGGCGGGCGCTCTGCCTGCCCAGGAACCAGCGGAAGTACGCGTACCAGGAGGTGAGCCGCACGCTCTGCCAGCCCCAGACCAAGGCCGAGGTGGAGACCCAGCACTTCTACGTGGACGTCTCCACGCTCTCCCTCAACGCCTCCTACCAGCTGCGGGTCACCCGCGTGGAGAACTTCGTGCTGCGGTGAGGGGAGCCCCGCGCCCCCCGCGCCCCCCTCCCCGCCGGCCGGCTCCCCGCGCCAGCCCTCGCCTTTCCCGTGCTCTCCGCAGGACCGACGAACGGTTCAGCTTCAACGCCACGGCCGCCCAGCCACAGGTGAGGAGGAGCTGGCGTGGCGTGGCGTGGCGTGGCGTGGCAGGGGGCCTGCGCCCGGGGTGAGGGAGAACGTGGCCACCGTCGCACCGACGGGCCCTTTCCCCCCGCAGTATTTCAAGTATGAGTTCCCCGAGGGAGTGGACTCGGTGATCGTGAAGGTGACCTCGGCCATGGCCTTCCCCTGCTCCGTCATCTCCATCCAGGACATCCTGGTAGGGCTGGGTGCCGGGGCGGCCCGTCCGGGCGACGCGTGGCGCCCGGCGGGCTGACGGCCCCTCCGCCCCCCGCAGTGCCCCGTCTACGACTTGGACAACAACGTGGCCTTCATCGGGATGTACCAGACCATGACGAAGAAGGCGGCCATCACGGTGCAGGTGGGCGTGGGGGTTATCGCTCCGGGGCAGCCCCCGGCCCCCCGGGGAGACCCCCCGCTGACCCCCGTCTCTCACCCCCCGGGGACGGCGGCCGCAGAAGAAGGATTTCCCCAGCCACAGCTTCTACGTGGTGGTGGTGGTGAAGACGGAGGATGAAGCGTGCGGGGGGGCTCTGCCCTACTACCCCCTCTCCGAAGATGCCTCACCAGGTACGCCGGGGGGGCTGGGGGCACCGACCTGCCGCCGCGGGTTGTGTGCCGGGAACACGCCAGGGCTGGGGTGAGGAGCAGCACCCACAGCGGGCTGACCCCCCGCCCCGCGCCGTCTTCCAGATGAGCCCGTCGATCAGCACAACCGGCAGAAGCTGCTGGAGGTGACGGTGTCGCCCGCCATAACCTGTAAGCCGGGGGGGGGGGGGGGTGGGGGGGTGGGTGCTGGGGGTGCTGGGCTCCGCGGGGGACCCCGCACAGGTCCCCAGGGCTGCCGCCGCCCCTGAGGGCTTGTCCCGGCTCTGCGCAGCGGAGGCCTACGTGAGCAGCGTGCTCTTCTGCCTGGGCATCTTCCTCTCCTTCTACGTCCTCACGCTGCTCATCGCCTGCTGGGAGAGCTGCCGGTGAGTTCCCCGGGCCGCCCGGTCCCCCCGGCGGGTGCTGGGCCCGGGGGGGCGCTCAGGGCCGGCTGCCGGCACGGCACGGTGCAGCTCACGGCCGCTTCCCTCGGCAGGCAGCAGAGGAGGAAGGGGCTCCTGGCAGCCATGGACTCGCCCAGCCTGGACACGGGTGAGGGGCCGCGGGCAGCAGCTGGTGGCAGCGGTGTGGCCGGGGGGGTCTGCCTGCCCAGGTCCCGGTTGTTTTGCCTGCTCGAGCCGGTGGCAAAGCCCTGGGTTCTGTGGGAGCTCCCCAGTGTCCCCCAGAGCCCCGCCTGGCTCCCTGGGGACGCGTCCCGATCTCGGGGGGGACAGGGACATCCCGGGGCTCGGGCCTCACCGCTCTGGGGCTGGCAGGGCTGCGCTGGGGCTTGGGCGTCTCACCCAGTCTCTCTCTTTCTCTCCACGGCTTTCCGGGGACTCCCAGCATCTCTACTGGGTAGGTGCCGGTGTCTGCGCTGTCCTGGGCCGCGAGCTCGCTCCCGCGGCGGGGCAGGGGCGCGGGGTGCTGCTCTGTGCCGAACGGCCGTGCTGCCCCGGCGCAGGGGTGCCGCGGGGGGCTGCCGGCGGCTGAGGGGGACCCTCCGGTCTCGCAGGTCACGCCCGCAGCATCCCCGACTCCTTCCTGGGCCATACGCCCTACGACAGCTACGGTTACGGCTCCTTCGGTGAGTGCCACACACCGGCCCGCGCCGTCCCGCCGCTCGGCAAGGCGGCCGTGCCCACCCGCTCTGGCCGTCCCTGCAGGGAACGGCTCGTCCGGCAGCGCCGAGGGCCTCACGGACAGCGTGGGCTCGGCCGAAGTCCCCTACGGCTACGTGGGTGAGTCCCGGGGCGGCGGCTGCCGTGGCCGCAGCCCCACGGAGCCGGCGTGCCCGGGCTGCCCCGACGGCGCCGCGCTGCCGGCAGCGCCCCGGCTCTGCCCCTCTCCGTCCCCCCGGGAAGGGTCCCCACGGCAGGGTCTCCATCGGCGCCGGCGGGGTGGACGCGCGCCGGGGAGCCCCCGCTCCGGCTCCAACGACTCTGGCTTTCCTTTGAAGGGCAGGAGCAGTTCAAGCGGCGCACGCCGTCCGCCCCGATGAGGCCGCTCAGCATTGCCATGGGTAGATGCTGGTACCGGGCAGGGACGGGCCAATCAAGCCGAAATCTGCCCTGCCCCGAGCTTGCGCCCGGGGTGCTGAGCACCCCTGCTCCTGCCCCCCTCTCCACGAGCAAAGGCAGGGCGAGGGCTTCGGCCCCCCGGCCCCCCCGCTGCCCCCAGCCCCGCAGAGCCCCGGGGGCCGAGGGCACGGGGCGATGCCGGCCCGCGCCGGCACAGCCCGCGCCTGGCCCCGGGGCAGAGGCAGCGCCGGGCTCCACGTGGAGCCGGAGCCTGTCCCCAGCGTGAGTTGGCGAGGAGGCGGCCGAGCGGTTAATTGGGGGCGATTGGGGTCCCGGGGGTGGGCGCCGAGGGGGGGTCAGCCGGGGGGCTGCGCTGACGGCCCCGGCTCGGCCGCAGGGGAGCGGACGCTGGAGAACGTGGCCGGGCGGCCGCGCCTGGACTCGCTCAGCTCCGTCGAGGAGGATGACTACGACACGCTGGCCGACATCAACTATGACAAGAACGTCATCCGCACCAAGGTGTGTGGGGGGGGGGGGGTGGGGTGGGTGTGTGGGTGTCCCCTGTGCCCCCCTGTCCCCGGCAGCTGCTCCCCCCCCGGCCGGGGCAAGCCCCTCCGCCTGCCTCTCCTTCCAGCAATACCTCTGCGTGGCCGACCTGGCCCGCAAGGACAAGCGGGTGCTGCGAAAGAAGTACCAGATCTACTTTTGGTGAGTGGGGGGCGGCAGGGTTGGGGGGCACAGAGCGGTGGGGCGGGACCCCCTGACCCCCCCCCCGCCTCTCCCAGGAACATCGCCACCATCGCCGTCTTCTACGCCCTCCCCGTCATCCAGCTCGTCATCACCTACCAGACGGTAAGTGGGGCGCCTGGGGGGCTGCGGTCCCCGGCCGTGCCCCCCCACCTTGGGGGCACCCCGGGGCGCTTTGGGGACATCCCTGGACCACCCCACGCGCGCAGGTGGTGAACGTCACCGGCAACCAGGACATCTGCTACTACAACTTTCTGTGCGCCCACCCGCTGGGGAACCTCAGGTGGGCGCCGGGGGGGGGCAGCGGCGGGCGGCCGGGGGTCCCCCGTGGCCGGGGCAGGGCCGTGGCGGGGCCCCGGGGAGGGGCGGGGGGGTACCCACGGCCGGCCTGACCCCTCGCAGCGCCTTCAACAACATCCTCAGCAACCTGGGCTACGTCCTGCTGGGCTTGCTCTTCCTGCTCATCATCCTCCAGCGGGAGATCAACTACAACCGGGCGCTGCTGCGCAACGACGCCCACGCTGTGGTAAGGGCCGGGCGGCCGCCGGGCTGCGGGGGCTCCCAGCCGCCCGGGACCCCCCCACTTCCCCCCCACTCCCCCCCAGGAGTGCGGCATCCCCAAGCACTTCGGGCTCTTCTACGCCATGGGCACCGCGCTCATGATGGAGGGGCTGCTCAGCGCCTGCTACCACGTCTGCCCCAACTACACCAACTTCCAGTTCGGTGGGTGCTCCCCCCCCCCCCCCCCCCAGCCCCCGCTGCCCGCGCTGGGGCCGCCCCCCCGCCCCGCTGACCGCTGCCCCCCCCCCCAGACACCTCCTTCATGTACATGATCGCGGGGCTCTGCATGCTGAAGCTCTATCAGAAGCGTCACCCGGACATCAACGCCAGCGCCTACAGTGCCTACGCCTGCCTGGCCCTCGTCATCTTCTTCTCCGTCGTGGGCGTGGTGAGTGGGGTGGGCCGGGGGGGGTCTGGAGGGGGACACACACACAGCCGGTGGCCCCCGCTGCCCGCCTCCCCCCCCCACACACTCGCCCCACAGGTCTTTGGCAAAGGGAACACGGCTTTCTGGATCGTCTTCTCCGTCATCCACATCGTGGCCACGCTGCTGCTCAGCACCCAGCTCTACTACATGGGGCGCTGGAAGCTGGGTGAGGGGGGGCACCGCTGATTTGGGGGGGGGGCGGGGGGGGTGTGGCAGCCCCCCCCACCCCGGCACGAGCTCCCCCTCTCCCCGCAGACTCGGGCATCCCGCGCAGGATCCTGCACGTGCTGTACACGGACTGCGTCCGGCAGTGCAGCGGGCCCATGTACGTGGTGAGTGCTAGCACTGCGGCACGGGGGGGGGGGCCCCTGGCTCTGCGGACACCCCGCCTGGCCCCACTTCCCCCCCCCCCGCACCCCCTCTGCGCCCCTCACAGCCCCCCCATCCCCCGGCACCCTTTGCAGGACCGAATGGTGCTCTTGGTCATGGGAAACATCATCAACTGGTCGCTGTAAGTGCGGAGCCGCGCACACGCCGGACCCCAGCCCGCCCGGCGCTGCCCGTCCCCGCTGCCCCCCCAGCCCGTGGCCCGGGGGGGGCTGGGGGGGGAGACACCCCCTGGCTGTGCTGACCCCGCTGCCGGGTCCTGCCTCCCCAGTGCTGCCTACGGCCTCATCGTCCGCCCCAATGACTTCGCTTCCTACCTGCTGGCCATCGGCATCTGCAACCTCCTGCTCTACTTCGCCTTCTACATCATCATGAAGGTGGGAGGCGAAGCCCCCGGCCCGGGGGGGGGGTCGGGGGGGGGTCAGGGTGGGCTCGGGCAGCCCTGCCGGCTCCTGCCTGCGCGCTGAGCCCGGCCTCTCCCGCAGCTCCGCAGCGGCGAGCGCATCAAGCTCATCCCCTTGCTCTGCATCATCGGCACCTCGGTGGTCTGGGGCTTCGCCCTCTTCTTCTTCTTCCAGGGGCTCAGCACTTGGCAGGTGAGCGGGCGGGCGGGGGGCGTGGGGGGGGGGGGGGGCAGGGGCCGGCGCGGTGACGGCTGGCCCTGGCCCCCGCAGAAAACGCCGGCCGAGTCCCGGGAGCACAACCGCGACTGCATCCTGCTCGACTTCTTCGACGACCACGACATCTGGCACTTCCTCTCCTCCATCGCCATGTTCGGTTCCTTCCTGGTGGGTTCTGGCGGCCGCTGGCCGCCCCCCCCCCCCCCCCAGCCCACCACAGCCCCCCCCGGCTCACCGCAGCCCCGCTCCCCTCGCTCCGCAGGTGCTGCTGACGCTGGACGATGACCTGGACTGCATCCAGCGGGACAAAATCTACGTTTTCTAGGGCCCCGCGGCCGCCCGCTGCCCTGGGACTGTGCCAAACGCCCGGCCGCAGCCCCCGGGGTTGGGGACAGGGGAGGGATGCTCGCGCTGCGGGTCCTGCCAGCCGCTCCGTCCCCCTCCCCGCGCAGCCCGGGGGTCCCGGGGTGCCTCCTCCCCGTTGGCCGGGTCCGTCCCCCCCCCCCCAAAAGGTGCCGTGTGCCCGTCGTAGCCAAAACTGGGGCAGGGGTGGCAGCCGGGTCACCCGTCCTCGGTGACAAGTGACACTGGAAAAGGTGCTGGTGCTGCTCCGTGTCCCCCCACGGGCCGGGGCCAGCGCTGTGCCAGCAGCCCCGGGGCCCCCCCAGCACGTGGGTGTGGGTCTCTCCTCAGTGCCTGAGACTGGTGGGAGGTGGGGGTGCGTGGGTCCGTGGCAGGGGGGGGCCGGCTGTGGTGTGCCCCCCCCCCCACCGAGGCTGCCAAGCGCTTTCGGCGAGTGGGTCTGCTGGGAAGGGACTCGCATTAAAGTGTCTGCACTTTGCCCGCGCCTCCCACCGCCTGCCTGGGGGCTGGGGGGGGTCCCCGAGGGGCGGAGGGGGGGGTCCCTGGGGACAGCGGGCTCTGCGGCAGCGCCGCCTCCTCCATCCCACCGGCCGCAGCGGGGTCAGGGATGCGCGGGGACGTCCCGCTTCGCGGCCGGCGGGGGTCCTGGGGCTCCCCACGGCACCCCAGCGCAGGGTGCTCGTGCCTCGCTGAGCCTTGGCCCCCCCCCCCCCCCCCCGGGGCGGGCTGGTGCGCAGGGGGGACCCGGGGGACGGCGGTGGGGTGCCCTGGCACGCTGGGTGCCCGCAGCCTCGCCGCTCGGCCCCAGGCAGCCCCGGCGGGGCGGCCGCGCCCCCGCAGCAGCCCCCCAGGAACGGCCGCTCGCCGCCCCAGCTCCCCGGCGGTGAGCGCACGGGGAAACCAGCCATGAAGTCAGGGCAGAACCCCTCGGCGGCCGGGCGAGCGCCTGGCTATAAAAGGACTTACTCCATCAGCCCCCGGCCCCGCTTCCTGCCTGCCCCCGAACCCGCTGGGGTGGAGGAACGCGGGGAATGCTCAGGCACGGGCCTGAGTCGCCGATTTTCGGAGTCTTTCCCCAAATATGGTGCCGGGGCCAGAGTCACGGTGCGCCTCGGGGCTGGCGCACCCCAGGAGGGAGGGCAGGGGGGGGCTGGCCCGCCGGCTGCGCTGACATCACTGTCCCGGCGCCGGCCTTTTAGCGCAGGGTCGGCCTCGTCACCGTGCAGTGTGCTGGCCCCCGCGCAGAGCATCACCCCGCGCCTCCCTCAGCAGCCGCTCGTAAGTCCTGCCGCGGGAGCGGGGGGCGGGGGGGGGGGGTGGGCAGCAAGGTGGGCGCCCAGGGTGGGGGACGCCAGCCCCTGGCACCGGGGTGCTGCTGCCCGGAGTGGGGACCCTCTGCCTGGGATGGTGACGCCGCTCCCCGGGACGGGGATGCTGCTCCTTGGGTTGCGGCGCTGCTGCCCGGGTGAGAGGGTCGGGGTCCCCCGGAGGGGAGGCAGCTCCCCGGGGTGCAGGACCGCGCTGCCCTCGGGGGTGCGCGGCTGCAGAGGGGGCTCAGGGCAGCGCGGAGGGGGACGGCTCCGGCCCCCACGTGCCCCATTTGGGCCCTGTGCCTCGGCAGGGCTGGGGGCCGGGCTGGGGGCTGGCGGGTCCGGGGGCAACCGGTGGCCACCGGCACGGCCGTGAGGCCGAGGGAGCCGTGCCCGGAGAGGCTGGGGTCTGGGGGCAATCCCCCCTGGGCCGGGGCCCGGAGCGGCAGGGCTGGGCGTGCCTGGCGGTGCTCGGGGTCTGGGCACAGGCTGCCTGGGGGGCCCGTGGGGTACCCCAGCATAACCCCCAGAGCCCGTGGGGTACCCCAGCGTCACCGGCAGCAAGCGGGGCCGGCGTTCTCCACCGCACCGAGCTGTGCCGGGTCTCTGAGCCCGTCCTGCGAGAGCCGGGGTGCATCGGGGAGCGAGCCCGCGGCAGGGCGCGGATGCGGGGACCGGGCACGCGGCTCGGAGGGGGCACAGCCCCGGCGCTCAGTGGCTCGATGCCACGCAGGGAGCTGTGCGGGGAGGAGCGAGGCCGACTCTGCCAAGGGCTTGGCGGCCGCCTGGCAGCGCTGCTCCCCCCTGGCACCCTCCGGCGCTGCCTGTGGCCAGCTACCTGCCGCCTCTGCCTTACAAGGGCACGGGCACGGCTCCCGCCTCGCCACCGCGCTCCTCCCCGGCACCGGGACCTGTCCTGCCGAGGCCACCCCACGGCACCGCGGCCACCATGCCGTGCCACAGCCGTGGTCACCCTGCCACCCGGACCCCGCTGCTCGGCAACGCCGTGGGGCAGCGCAGCCGCCCCGGCCGGAGGGCACGGCCATGCCAGGGATGCTCGTGCCGAGCAGGAGCTGGCGGGTGGCTGAGCAGGCGGGGGAAGGGGACGAGGCTGCTCGGCTGCATGGCCGGAGCCGGGGCGTGGGACCAAGGCACCTCTGCCGGGACGGGGACAGTCAGTCCGGGCAGGCTGCGGGGGTCACGGCCGGTGCGCTCACCTCCAAATATGCCTGGACGGAGCTGAAGGGCCGTTGCGTGGCAAGGGAAGAGCCGGGAGGAGGGCATGTCCTTGCTGCGCCAAGGTGGGAGGCGGGCGCCTCGGGGTGCCGGGGTGTCCGTGGGGTCCCCGAGCCGGGGGAGAGCAGCTCCGCAGCCTGACGGTCCCCGTCCTGCTGCCAGGTCTCCCACCCGCCGCAGAGATGGCGAACAAGGGCCCGGCGTACGGCATGAGCAGGGACGTGCAGTCCAAGATCGAGAAGAAGTACGACGACGAGCTGGAGGACCGGCTGGTGGAGTGGATCGTGGCGCAGTGCGGGGCGGCGGTGGGTCGCCCCGAGCGGGGCCGCCTGGGCTTCCAGGTCTGGCTGAAGAACGGCATCGTAAGTGGGGGGCCGGGCGCCCGCCAGCCCCGGCGGGGAGCCCCGCGGCGGGCGCGGTGCGGCACGGCACGGCGCGGTGCGGCGCGGCGAGCCCGGCCTCTGCTCTGCCGGCAGGTCCTCAGCCGGCTGGTGAACAGCCTGTACCCCGACGGCGCCAAGCCCGTCAAGGTCCCCGACACGCCCCCCACCATGGTCTTCAAGCAGATGGAGCAGATTGCCCAGTTCCTCAAGGCGGCCGAGGACTACGGTGTGGTCAAGACGGACGTGTTCCAGACCGTCGACCTCTTCGAAGGTGCGGGTGGGCGGGCGGGTGGGGGGGCACCCGGGCGCGGGGGGGTCGGGGCTGCCGTGCCGTGCGCGCCCTCACGCCGCGCCGTCCCTCGGCAGCCAAGGACATGGCGGCGGTGCAGAGAACGCTGATGGCGCTGGGGAGCCTGGCGGTCACCAAGAACGACGGGAACTACCACGGGGACCCCAACTGGTTCATGAAGTAAGTGGGGGGGGGGGGCGCGGCCCTGGGACGCCGAGCTTTCGGCTGGGAAGGGAGGGTGGCCGGGGCACCCCCGGGGAGCAAGGGGCTGCGGGGGGGGGGGGGTTGGGTGCTGCACGGCCTCTCCCTCCGCCCCCGCAGGAAAGCGCAGGAGCACAAGCGGGAGTTCACCGAGAGCCAGCTGAAGGAGGGCAAGAACGTCATCGGCTTACAGATGGGGAGCAACAAGGGAGCGTCACAGGCGGGGATGAGCTACGGCCGGCCCCGGCAGATCATCAGCTAGGCAGCCCCCTCGCCGCCCCCCGCCCCGGCCGGGACCGCCGTCCTCGCTCCCCCCGGCCCGGCGCGCCGCAGCCGCCCCGCACCGATTGGTATTTATTGGAAAGGAAACGCCAGCCGACGCAAAGCAGCCCGCCGCGCTCGCCCCGGGCAGCCGCTCCCCTCCGGCCTCGCACGCCCCCGCCGCCAGCCGGCCCCGCTCCCGCCGGCACCCGTGGGTGCCCCGCCGCTCCCCCCGGGACGGCGGGCGGGAAGGGCGCGCGCCCCGGCCCCCGGGGCCACCCCCCCTGCCCGCAGCCCCGCACGAGCCCCGCGCCACCGCTGCACAGACCCTTGCGAACGGGGAGGAAAGAGAATTGGCCTCGGTTTTGTACTTCGTTCTTCTCAAAATTAAAAGGTTACTCATCTAGCGCGGCCTGACGCGGTTTCCTCCCGCCCGCCCCGTCGCCCCGGGCCGGGGGTGCCGGGAGGGCCCAAGCCACCCCCTAAAAGCTGCTCAGGCCACCTAAGCCACCTCTGCTCCTTCTTCCAGCTCCAAAGCTGGGACGGGCAGACCTGGGGCTCGGGCTTGCCCGGCCCGGCCGGCTCTCTGCCCTCTCCTCCCCACGCCCAGCACCGACCTTCCTCCGCTCTCCTTCCCAGCGCCCCGGCCCAGCCCTCGCCTCCCCGCGCCGGGCACGGGGGGGCTGCAGGCGGCCACCGGCACACCCAGTGCCCCGGCCCGGGACCCCACTGGCAGGTGCTGGGCGACTCCCGTCTCCACAGCGCCAAAGTGCAGGGAGGGCAGAGGAGTGACGGAGAAGGGCGGGGGGCGGCGGGGAGAGGAGGGTTTTTTCAGACTTTATTTGGAAAGCTAGACAAAAGGGCGTTGCTGATTAAAAAACAAACCCCAGCTTTAAAAAAATAAACCGACGAACCCAAAGACACACGAACAAGCCAGCCCCGCTCGCCGGTGAGCCGCTGCCAGAGCAACTCAAGCTCCCCTTCCCGGCCCCAAGCGGGCAGCACCCTGGGTCTCGGCCCTCCCGGGCCCCGGGCACAAGCCGAGGAAGCCGGGCTGCCCTGTGCTGCGAAGCCGCAGCAGCGGTCGCCTGCCCGCGGGACGGGAGGCGGCGGGGTCACAGCACGGGGCACCGGGAGCAAGCGCTGCCTGGAGACAGGCAGAACGGCTCCCGAGCTGGGCCGGACTGGTGGGCAGGGGCCAGCTCCCAGCGCGGCCGGGGGGGAAGTGACACTGCTGGGGGGTCCCTGCCTGCAGAGGCGGCTGCCAGGGGCCCCGCCGCACGCCCCGGGCTCTCGCCCTGCAGAGACCAGGGACAAGGCGACGCTTCTTCCCCGCGCCGCTCGGCTCTGCGCCCGGCTCCGCCGCGGCTGCCCCGTGCCGGCGCCGCGGGGCCGTGCTCCACGCACGGAGGGAAGCCCTGAGTGGCACGGCGGGGCAGGCTCTGCTAGAAACGCGTTTAAGGCTTGCTTTGTTTTCCAGAGCGAGGGGAAGGGAGGCTCCCCTTCCACCACCAGCACTCTTTCTCCTCGTTTCTGAGCCCCTCCCAACACCACCTCCCGCAGGACACAGCGGCACGGCCCGCGGCGGCGCGGGCAGCCCGTGCTGCCCGTGCGCGGGGAGGACGCGCCGCGGAAGGGACGCAGCCCAAAGCCCCAGCCCCAGCTAGCACGTCTGCTGCTCCCTGGCCTCCGAGAGCAGCTCGGCCGGCGCCTCCCGGCCCAGGTACCCTGCCCCGGCGGCGGCCGCCTCGGCGAAGCTCACGGCTCTGCCGCCGCTGGAAGGTTTGGGGTGCGTGGGGGTCCAGGACCCCTCCTCCCCCCCGCCCTCCTGGGCAGGCTCCGGGTGCTCACACTCCGTCTCGACGTCCTCGACATCGTCCTTCTCCCGGTAGAGCGGCACGGACTCCATCTCCAGGCCGCTCTCCAGGGCTCTGTGCTTCCCTCCCTGCTGGTACCACTTGCAGGCGGTGGAGCCGTTGCAGGTCAGGTCGAGCCCCACGTTGTTCCTGGTCAGGCAAACCTCCAGCATGTAGTAGAAAGTCCAGAACACGGCAAAGCAGCCCAACAGCAGGAGGGTCTGCGGAGGAGGAAATCCCTCAGGAAACACAGCCCTCCACCCCCCCAGAGCGTGGGGCAGACCAGCGGGGCAGGTTCCCAGCCCTCCGGTGTCCCCCCCCCGCCCCCGCAGAAGACGGGGCTCCCCGGCCCACGGGCAGGCTCACCTTGAGGGTGTTGGCCGTGATGGTGTAGCGCTGCTCCTCGGGGATCTCCAGCCCCGGAGGGCAGGGCAGGGCGAAGTCGCTGCTCAGGAACCGCCCGCTCATGGCTTCCTCCAGCAGCCTGGGGGACAGGGGCACCCCGTGAGGGTCCCAAACGCCCGCAGCGGCTCCCGAGTGCCCCTTCCAGTGCGGAGGGCTGCCCTCCCACGCCAGAGCCAGCCAGCAGAGCCGTTTTCGACAGCCGGTGGCTCCCCTCGAGGGTACCCAGGGCCAGCGGCCGGGCTGCAGCCTCACGCCGCCGTGCGCCTTGCAGCGCCGCTCACAGAGGCGGGACAACGTCCCCATGCCCTCCAGCTCCCCTCTCCCCACCCAGACCGGGTGGCGGTGTCCTACCTCTGCCGCTCCTTCATCTCTGCTGGGGACCAGGAGGAGCCGTACAGGGTCAGCTGCCACTGCTTCAAGGTCCCAGGCCTCAGGCTCTCGTCCCCTGGGGAGGAAGCAGGCTGGAGCAGCGGGGAACTCCCGTTGGGCAGAGCGGACCCGCCGCCGCTCCCCGGGACGCGGCACGGAGCTGCCGCCGCTGCCGCCGCCGCCCCGTGAGGGAGCCCTGGACTCACCAATGTCCCTGACGACCAGCCTGTACGTGCCCTGGGCTTCCTCGCCCCAGCACCGGACCGTGGAGAAGGTCCAGTCGGCAAAGCCATTGGGGTCCCTGCCAAAGGGTGAGGAGAAACAACCCGTGAGAGGGTAACGTAGCCGGAGCCGGGAGGCTGGACATGGGCCCCGGCCCTCCTGCTCGGGGCCAGCTGGGCTGGGCGTCCCGCCCTGCAGCGGGAGCCTCCGCGCCCCGTCCCCCCCGGCCCTTACGAGTCCATGCTCCTGGTGGTCCCTATCAGGGACATCATGCCGCTGGGGCAGAGGAGCCTGATCTCCAGGTTGCCGCGGCGGGGGTGGGTTATGGTGACGGTGACCGCCACGTGCTCCAGGGTTCTCATGCCGGAGAGCTCCAGGTCGGCGGCGGTGACTGCGAAAGGGAAGGCGGGGTTTGCCGAGGCTGGTGGCCCCGACGGAGTCCCCACTTCCAGGCGGCCTCAGGGGGGGCTGCTGTGCCACCCCCCGGGGGGACCCACGCTGGTCTCTGCCTCCTCCCACGCGCCTCCCTGGCTAGCAGAGGGAAAAGCGTCTCTGGCACACTCCCCCCAGGCACCCCGCGTCGTGCTCGGGCTGCCTGACGTGGGCTGGAGGCTCCCAGGTCCTCCCGGACCGGAGGTGCGGGCGGCACCCCGTACCAGCTGCCCTCTGCCCGCAGCTCTGCCCGTTGCCCCCGCCCCACGTTCAGCCGGGACCGGGAAGGATGGTGAGAAAGGGCTCCTCCCGGCAGCCCCGGCCGAGCAGCGGGTGGGTGCTCCCCAACCTCTCCTAAGAGGGGAGGCAGGCGCACCCCAGGACCGAGCAGCCTGCCTGCGGCGGCCGGCCAGCACGCTCCCGTGGCACCTGGGGACAGTACTGCTCCCAGACACACATTCCTCTGCGAGCACTTCTCCAAAGTGCCTCTTTTGCCTCTTCCAAACTCTGCTGGCCTTTTAGGGCACAAAGAGCTGCCTGACTCCCGGCCCTCTCCCCAGAGGCAGAGCGGGGCTAAGCCCGCTGCCAGCCCCTGGAGCAGGGTGTCACCCCGCTGTCCCCCTGTGGTAAGCAGCCCAGGAAAGCAGGGACAGGAGCGAGGCAGAGCACGAGCCCAGCACCCCCGCAGCAAGGAGGGGAGGGCCATGGCCACCTGCGAGGGGGTGCCGGCCTGCTGAGCTCCAGGCTCTTGCCAGGGGCCCTCTGGCCTGGGGAACAGCCTCTGGGGGCTGCCAACCCCCAGCGCCTCTGCAGCTGGGGCAGCGAGGGGTGCAGGGCCAGGCCCCCGGGACAGCGTCTCTGGTGGGACAGGGAGGGGGGCCGGCAGCCCAGCCTCGGTGCCAGCTGCTGCGCCCAGCCCGAGAGCCTGAGGGGCTTGGGACAGAGCTCTCCTTCCCGCTGGTAGCAGCCGGAGCAGCGCCTTGTTTGTGTGGACAGAGGCTGGCCAAGTCGGGAGCTGGAGCATTCCCTAAAATGGTCAAAGCCAGAGGAGCAGGTCTGGCCGCTGCCCAGCCTGGCCACGCTCTGTAATGCCTGTCTGGCTCCCCAAAGCCATCAATCTGCGGATGGAGGTACGGGGAGGGGACCGCACCACTCCACACAGATCCCCTGGGGAGACAGAGGGAGGGAAAAGCCCAGGCAGCCCAACGCTTAACCCCTTTGTGGACTCAGCCAGCCCAGGGCGTGCCCTGCCAGGCTGTCAGCGTGCCCAGTCGTGCCCCGTGCCAGTGGGAACGGGCTGGATCCCCGGCCTCGGCGAGTACGAGCACGTGCTCTCACGTGGCACGCCTGCTCTTACCATTCCAGGAGACCTCCAGCTCCTGCGGGAGTAACGGGATGCTCCTGCCCTCCTTCAGCGCGGGGCTCACGTATGAGGCGAGGTACGGGACGGACTCCCAGATCTGCCAGGGGAAAGGCGAGAGGCTTCAGCACCAGGTTGCACCCTCCCTGCACGTCCATCTCTCGATCTCCCACCACCGCTGCAAGCTGCTCCCGCCCGTAGCACCCGCACTGCGTGTGGCCATGGCCCCGGGCCAAGGGGCCTCTCCCGACGCTGCCCGGGGCCACGCAGACCCAGGCAGCAGGCACGGGCTGCAGCGAGCGCCGTGGGGCTCGGAGGGGTGCCCTCGGGCCCGGGAGCGGAAGGAAGCGGGCTGGAGGCACCGATCCGGACTCGGGGCTCCCCAGCTCTGGGTTTGTCTCTGCCACCACCCGGGTGGCTTTGAGGGGCTCCTCGAAGCCGCCCCGTTCCAACCCCAGGCGCAGCAGGGCAGGAAACGCAGCAGAACCCAAAGCCCCGCAGGGAGAGAGAGCAGCCTCCAAGCCCTGTGGGACTGGGGGTGCTGCTGGCGAGCGGCAGCGGCCCGGCACAACCGCGCGGTGCCCTGCGCCCGAGCGAGGACCGCGTGGCAAAGGGATGCGCGCCGGTCTCCGTGCGACTGGAGGCACAGGGAGGAAGAGACGGGGATGCCCCTGCCTCCTCCGGCCACAGCACGCCCTCGGCAGCCCCAGCAGAGCCCAGAGCTGCCGGCTGGCAGTTGCTGCTTCCCCGGGGCATGCTGTGCTCCCGGGAGCCGGCTGCGCGGGGAGGAAGGCGCTGGGGCTGCTGACGAAACTCCCCGAGCCATGAATCAGAGCTGGCGTCCCCCACCAGCGAAGGCTCTGGCCCATGGCTATATATAGTGCTGAGAGCGCAGCAGCTCGGGGGCAGGTTTCAGGCACTGCCGAAAGCCGCATGACTTCATACCAAAAGCAGCCTTACAGCGAGGGCCGGCAGGGCGATGGCCAAAGCGCTGGCCCCGAACGAAAAGGGTGTCACCCCCCAGCGCTGCCGGCACAGGACCCGTCCCGGCAGCGGGCATGCCTGCCTCGGGGAGGGCAGCTACCTTGGCAGCGTTCACCAGCCTCCAGGCGTTCAGCAAGCCGAAGCCGTGCTGGTGGCTGTGGCTGAAGCCGGCCTGGTTGATGTCCCACTTGGCGTGACGATCCTCGTACTGAAAAGAAACGCAGGACAGGCTCGTTACCTTGGGCGGCACGGGCAGCCCTGCAAACCCAGAGCAAACCGACCCGGGCCCGAAGGGAAGGAGACTCAGACATTGCCCGCAACAGTGGGGAATCAAACCCTCGTGGCCTTATTAGAAAGAAACAGGTTGACCTTTGTTTGAAGCAAGTCCCAGAACAAACGGGCTTCCCAGCTCCTCAGAAAGGAAATCAGACAGCACAAAAGGGCACGAATGCCTGCGCTCTGAAACATCCCAGCTGCTCCCTGCTGCCCAAGCCACAGCCTGGGGAACGGCAGAACCCTTGGGGAGAAGGAACCAAGTCCTTTAAATCAACAAGAGCTGGGCCAGGACAGATCTGGGTCCCATCACTTATCGGGCTGTGCTGCTCCGGCAGCGCTGGCTTGCAGTGGTGGGAAACACTGCCCTGTGCCAAAGCGAGTGCAGCGTTAGCTGGACACGGCCGCCTGCTCCCCAGAGGGGTGGGGAAGAAGCCCCGTCCCTGAGCCCAATCGGGCAGCTCCAGCCAGTTCCCACTCCCACTCTCCGCAGCGAAGCTGTGCTGGGGTCGGGGCCGAGCGAGGGGGCTGCGCTCGCTGCCAAGCTCTCTGTTCCATCTGTTCCCAAGAGCCCGACCCTCTGGGGAGCCCGAGGAAAGGCCAGAGGCAGAGCTCCTCGCTTTCCCACTGCACGGACTGCGCGGCGGCACTGCAGAGATGCATGCCCCGGCACCGTGAGCCCCTGAAAGTCCTGTACGCTGGCAGAGGGAGGCATTCCTGAGGCAAATCCCCCATTTATTATCACGACAGAGGAAAACGCCTCAGCCGCATTCCTGGGAGGAAGGAGGGGCGAGGGGAAAACGCAATCTCTCTGCTGGGAGCCAGACAACCAAGAGATTTATTGCAGGGCAGGAAGACATAAACAAGGATGCGCACAGCAGGACCTCGGCCATCCTGCAGCATCCCTGTAGGAGAGAGGGAGGGAGGGAGGGAGGGGAGGGGAGGGGAGAGGAGGGGAGGGAGGAGAGAAGGCCACGCACCTTGGTGGCGGTGAAGACAATGATGTGCTGGACGTCTCGCCAGGTGAGACATGGCCGCACCTGCAGCATCAGCGCGATCATGCCGGCTGCGAGCGGAGCGGCAGCGGACGTCCCTGTGTGGCCCTCCGTGCAGCCCGTGCCCTTCTGCAAATCCCAGTCTGTTGTCACCTTCCGAGAAAGAGCAGAGAGGCCTCCTGTCACTGCCGCTCTTCGCCGTGCCGGGGTGGCTGGGACAGGTACTCGGGCAACTGAGCAGCCAGTCCCCGAGCTGTGCCCTCGCCACGCCAGCTCCCCCGGCAGCCCACGCTCAGCCTGCGACACAACCACCAGCAAAACCCCGGGGACGCAGGATAGCGTGACCCCCACGCTATGCAAAGGGCACGAGAGACGGGGGCTCTGAGCCTCCCCCCCATCATCACCCCGGACACAGCTAGGAAACGAGTGAGCACGACAGGTGGGAGCAGGGCCAGCAGCCGTGCTCCTGGCAGAGAGCGGGGGGCTGGCGAGCGAGGGCAGCCCGGGTGCCCCACGCGGGGGCCAGGGTCCTCACGTACCGCGAGAGCACCCCGACAGCACGCAGAGTGGGGCACAGCCTGCGGGGGGGGGGGGGTCTGGACAGCCCCGCAGCGCTGATCTGCTCGCACATTTCCGTCAGCAGTGCGCACCTAATTGCTGATGCTCTACCACAGGCCTGATGAGAAGGAGAAGATCCCCACCCCCCGGGCTGGCCAGACATGTGAAGGGGAGGCTTGGAAAGCTGGGAGTGAGAGCTGCTGACTCGGTCTCTTCTCCCCGGCAGCCTGGGTCCCTCTCCTCCAGCGCCAAGGGCCCTCAGGGGCGCCTGGTTATTATTTGCTGAGGACAGTAAAAACCTTCTCTGCCTCAGGACGAGGCGACTGTCCTGAGGGAGAGGGGAGCTAACCCAGGCCCTGCTGCCCTGGCAATGACAAGGTGCTTTCTGCAGCCAGCAGCACCTTTCCCTGCTCTTTCTCCGCTCGGCGCGCCTGCCCCAGCGCCATCTGCCCCCGGTGAACAGATGGGAAAGCCTCCGGGCCGGGAGAGGTTTGGCACAGGGCAGGAATCGGAGCACGCCAGCCCTGGCAGGGGAGAGCACTGCTGCGCCACAGAGCTGGGCTTCGCAGCGCGCCGGGGCACCTGGCGGCCTTTAAAGGGCACCGCAGAGACTCATGCCGCGCCCGCGCACCCCGTCCCGAGAGGTTTGTGCTGTCGGGAGGCAAAGGAGGGACTGCGGCTGAGCCCAGGGACGCTCCTGCCTCTCTGCGACCGCAGGGACACACGGGTGGGGGAAGGTGAGCTGGGGCAGCACACTGAGGCCGGCACCCAGAGCCTGCTCCCCATCGTTCAAGGCTTTCAGACTAAATGAGAAAGTTCTCTGGGTGCCCAAGGACCCCCCCATCCGGAGTGAAGACACGGGGAGATGGTCCTGCCTGCATGAATCACGTCTGACCTGTCCAGTCTGCCAGCACGGGCAGCTTCCCCCCAGGCAGGAGGGAGGAATTTGCAGCACACGAGCTTTCTTTCTCTCTGCGGTTGCCGAGATCAGGCTGGGAGACAGGAGGGGCAGCCAGAGATCCGTCCCGTCATCCTCCCCCAGCCAAGACCAGAACAACAACCAGAGCGGGGCACTGGGGCAGGGATTCGCTGCTGAAAAACCTGGAAACGTTTCCCCGACAGCTCCTGGCCGGGACGCAGGTACCCAGCAAAAAGCAGAAGGCGGTGGGAAGGACAACGCTGCAGCTCCCCCGCCGAGGCGCAGCCCCGAGCTGGGACGCCCCGAGCTGAGTGGCTCCGGCTGCTGCTGCTGCTGCCCAGGGCGAGGGCAGGGGAGCAGCTGTGCAGCCACCGTCCGCACGGCGCTTCGCCAAGGCCGGGGAACGGCAGCTCCGCACCGCGCCGGCCCACAGGAGCAAGAGCCAGGGCACGGCAGGGTCCCGGGCAGGCACCGCTCCCCTCGCCCCTGCTCGCAGCCAGCTCGGCCACAGCGCCTGGAGCAGCTCCGGTGAGAAACTTCTGATTTCAGCCCACGCCCCCCCCCGGGGCCTTTGGAGGTGACAGCTCCGAGAAAGGCAGCAGGGAGAGGCACGCACCCCCCAGGCCCAACACCGCCAATGTTCTCCGGGGTGCTCTGGACACGCGCGCAGAGCCGTGCTGCCGTAGGACCAAAACACCCACCGAACGAGCGGCTGCTGCTTGAGAGCCGCCACTCACGGGGAACCTCCCGCGCACCGACCAGAGGGCTGGGAGACCCTCCTTTCAGGGACAACGCATCCCAGTCGAGAGGCGACGAACGCGGATAGCTTCCTTCAGGGAGAGAGGCATGGGCCTGAACTGAGCAGCTCCGGGGGAAACACAAGGCAGTTACGGCTCGGGACCTTCCTCATCCTCACTGCCGACCCCAGCGTCACGCCGGCACAGCCTCTGCAGAGGGACCACGCGGGGCTGTGGAGCACACGGAGCCTCTGAAGAGGCGTCGGGAGGTCCCCAAGTTCTGCCACCTGACCGCAAACCAAACGTGCCCGTCGCCCTGTGCTCCCCATGGGGGAGACAGCCTGCGCTGCCAAAGCTGTAGGTTTTGTTCCCTTCCACGCTTGACTCCAACGTTCTGCCAGCTGTTAACAACTCCAGCCTGCGCCCGGACGCTGCACGTCCTCCAAAGAACACCCTGAGCAGCATAAACTTTCAGTAGGAAATGCAGCTAGTGCCAGAAGCCGCGTTAAATTCTTCCCATTAAGGAAACCACACAAAGTTTATAGTCTGGTGGAAGAAAAAAACCCAGCAGATGGCTGCCGAGAAGTTAACTCCTGGCAGCACCAAAGCTCAGTTAAAGGGCATTTAGGAACAGACCATCCTCCAGGAGAAGGGGCGGGTGAGTTTCAACGTGGCACGGGCTCGCTAGAGGGGCGAAGGCGGTATGGCAAAGCAGCAGGACGGCTCTCCGGCACACGCTGTGCCTGGGCTACGCGCGGCATCTCGTCCTGGCTCCCTGATGGAATCCCAGCTCCCGCCTTAGTGTCCCACAGGGCCAGTACGTGGCATGAAGGGGCGTTTGAGACCCTCAACGCACTAGCACCAGGCCTGGGGGAAGCCAGACATAAACCCCAAACTCTGTAACTCCTGCTGATAGCCCAGCAGAGCCCTTGCTTGGCTGCCGTTTCCTTTTTTCCCAGCGTCAGTATTTTCCAAGCCAGCTTGGGACAACTGCAGTTATTTCTGAAAGGAAAAATTAGCGCCATTCTGGGTTTTGCCTTCCCTGCCCCACGAGCCGAGCCATCGCTCCAGGCAGATTGTGCCGTGCCACGGTTAGGCACGGATTCCTGCCCTGGCTCCGCTTTGCGAGGGGAGCTTGCCGAGTCCCAGCCAGATGGCTGAGGGGCTCTCCCGGTTCCCCCGGTTTTCCCAGCAGGCGGGGAAGCCTGTTTGACAGGCCTGGATTCAGCTTCTCTCTGGCAGGCACAGAGCCACTGCCGCACGTCCCTGCTCACAGGGGCACCCTGGGCACCGTCCCTCGCCCGTGGGTCCCCCGGACCCGCCCCCCCCCCCGCCACCCACTCCTGGTGCCGAGCGGCCGCTGCGCCTTCGCTGCCCCACTGGCTTTGCCAGGAAAGTGCCTTTGGGAACTGCCCGTCCCGACGGGAGATCCTCCCGGTGCCCGGCAGGCCAGGGACAACCCAACCCCAAAGAGCCAGGCCTGGGAGCCCGTGACAGTCACCCCAAGCTGCCCCAGGGCGGGCTGGGCTCTGCAGTCCCCACCGGCACCGCAGGACACGACCACGGGCTGGGTGGCCCAACAGCCCCCCGAGCGCACCAGCACCAAGGGAGGAACACGCCGGGTCAGGCCCGGGGCCGGTGAAAACAAGCCCTGCTGCTTGGCTCCGGCAAAAAGGACATTTTGTTGACAAGAAGTCATTTTTTGGCAAAAAAAGGAAAAGCAGATAAAAATATTCTGAGAAGTTCAGCTGGGAGAGGCACACATGCCAGAACAGAGAAGGAGCTGGGGCCAAGTAGCTGAAAGAGGCTGATGCTGCTCCCAGCCCTCCGTGCTCGTCCGTGCTCCCGCATCCCTTCGGAGCAGAGGCCGGGGGGGCTGGCTGGGCCGGGCGAGCCGCAGCCCCCGCAGGGCTGAGCCGCAGCCGCCCCTGCCCCTTTCTCCTCAGGAAAGCCCACAGCAGCACGGGAGTCTCGCTCCAGGCCGCCCGCTGTGCCAAAGGGGCACACGCTGCTGGGGTAAAGCTCATCTTCTGCCGGCTGTCCCTGAGGCTGAGCCAGGACCGGCACGCCCCGGGGGCACAGTGCGGAGGGATGTCCTGGGGGCCGGGCAAGCGGCCCCCGACGTCTGCCCGCAGTCCCCAGCGGTGCCGGGCAGGGAGGTGAGGGAGCGCAGTCGCCGTCCCTGTCGGTCTGGCATCTTGCCTGCGCTTGGGGTGACAAATGGGACACGGGCAGGATCTGCGTTGGGGGCCAGGAACTCCGTGGGCTGGCAGAGGGAGGGTCACCGCACCACCAGTTACGGGCTGGCAGACATTCCCAACACGGGGAGCAACTAGAAACAGCAAATTCCCTCTTGGAGCACTATTTCTATAGGACCTAGATAAAAAGCACGTTCGTTCCCTGCCTCACGGAGGAACCCAACTGCCAGGCGAAGGCAGACGGGTGGCAATGAGAAGGGACAGAGCTTCGTCCCTTCTCTGCACCGGGCTGTTCCAGCCCCGCGGCCAGCGGAGCGCCGGGGAAGACGCGTGCCTTGCGTGGTACTCACGATGCTCCTCATCATCTTGTCCCCGCCGCTGAAGGTCACGGCCAACATGGAGGCACACTCCTCGGCATAGAACGGCATGGAGCCCGTCTCATCCACCGCACCTGGGGAAAAGCAAAAGCGTTGACACAGGAAGCCTGTTTGGTTTCAACTGCTGAAACCGCGAGGTGACGAGCCCCGAACAACCTGTCTTGCCAGCTGGGCTTCCTCACTCGCCAGGAGCCAGGCAGGGAAACCGGACCCAAGCCTCTATTTTTCACGGCTCAAAGATCTACAGGGAAGGCAGCCACACTAAATAACCTTCCACTGTGCTTAGTATTACACAGATCTTCTAGCCCTCACGTAGCTTCCGCCCTCAAGAAAGTGGATTAGACGCTTCTTTTCTAACACACACGATGGGAATGCTGTATTTCAGGTCACTCCCCCAGCGAGGCAGCGTGCCCGTCACAGCCCCAGACACGGAGGCCTGAGCGCAGGCAGGAGTTTCTTCGGCCTCCTCTTGCTCTGGAGGTCAAAAGAAAACGGTACGCCTGAGGGCTGAAGCCCAGCAGCCCTCCGCATGCCGCCATGCCCGCTCCCAGAGGACAGACGCTTTCCCACAGATTCCCACTATCCCGCCGGCTGCCAGCTGCGCAGGTTTTACGCTTTTGGGATGATGTCATTTTTCCAGGCTGGGAAGGACCGAGGCAGAAGCCACACGCGCTCACCTATCGTGACAGTATAGATGGAGTTGGCGTAACCATCGTAGTTGCAGTTGTCGCTGTGCTGCCCGCCGTTGCCGCTGGCCACGACGAAAATGCTCCCAAAGCCCCTGCGACCCGCTATCACGCCGTGCTGCAGGGCGGCCTGCGGAGAGGGAAGCGGCGCTGAGCCCCGGGGGGGTTCTGCCAGCCGCCACGGCGGGCCCGCGTGGCCGTGGGGGGAGCAGGGCACAGACCGATGCGTGCGCCTCGCCCGAGCTGGGGAAGCGTTTGCCCCGCAGACTGCTCCGGGGTGTGCTGGAAAGATGAGTCCCAGCACCCCCCACCCCCCCCAGCAACCAAAGTCCATGCTGCGAGAGCCAGCCCGGCCCAGTACGCGGCTGAGAGCGGGGCCAGCCACAACCCCTCCGGGCCACGTGTCACCCGGCTGGCAGGGACAGGGAGTTGTGCCTATTACAGCCCCAACCCGACACCGCGATCCCAGAGCGAGTGCGTTACGAAGGCAGCGACGCGGCCCACGCCTGGGAACAGCCAACCTATAGCTCACTGTGATTTGAAGCCGATTCTGCGTTAAAAATGAGAAGAGAAGAAGGAAAAGCAACCTTCCAGGCAATCACATCGACTGGCCAGCGTTTGAGCTCCAGAGGAAAGGCAGCAGGCCCAGCCCTCCCCACTTCAGCAGGGCTCACTCCGGAGCCGGCTCTTCTGCAGCATCAAGGCTTTCCTGCCGACAGAGGCTACTGCTGCCCTTCTGCAAGGCCCCAACCCCCACGTACGCTTGGGTTTTGCCTTCGCCGAGAAACAGAACTGCACCAGCCCCACCTGCGAAGCACATTTCCAGCCCGCCACCAGGCACAGACATCGCTCCTGCCCAGAGAACAGATGGGCACGCGGCCGAGGGACAAGCAAGAAGGCAACCCCCCTCCCCTGCCCGCCCTTCAGCAGGTGAAGGAGCGTACAGTGTTGGCCAGAGAGCCCTCCAGATGCTCTGCTGTGGTAAAGCAAGCTTTGCTTGGGCTCTGGGTCCCAGAGCTTGTTACAGCTGTCTGTGCATGCAGGGAGAGAATAGAGAAACTGGCAGAACTGGAAGCCGTTTGTCACCGTGAACCGCTAGCTCAGTTGTCAGCGTCGCTCTGAACAGCACAGTAACTGCCGTCTCGCGGTTAGAGAAGTACAGCAAAAGGCTGCCAAGCCAAAGAGGAATAAAGCAGGGCCACGTCCCAGGAGCAACGCGGTGCCAGCTGCGGGGGCCCCTCCGCGACCCCTGGCTAGCGGGAGCCAGAGCCAGGCCCAGGCCGGCCAGGCGCAGCTCGGGCGCTGCGAGCACACCGTGACGGCGCGGGACGGAGCAGCCTCAGCTCTGAGTCTTCCTCCCGCCGTGGTCCCCAGCCCCTTATTCACTGCCCGCGTTCGAAGGCGCGCTCCCCGCCTTGAGAGCCGCCCTTAGCACCGGGGGTGCTCAGTCTCCCGAGCAGAGAGCGCCCCTCGGGTTGCCAAAGTTGTCAGAATAACACCGCAGGTGGCGAAAGAGCGTTTTCCCGCTGGAACCGGCCTCTCTCCTTGGAAAGCTCGTCTAATCCTGCCGGAACGCTGCCCTCCCGCAGCAGCGTCACCTCTCCCCGCCGCACGGCGACATGCAACACCTCTGCTGGCAGCGAGGGAAGCGAACAAACGTGCGCTGCGCCACAGCCACGTCCCCCCTCGCCTGCGCAGGCAGGCGAGAAGCCACAAGCACTGCAGGGCCAGCCCAGGGGTGACCCGTGCTGCTGGGACTGGTTTTTACCTTTCCCAGTTGATGGGGGCCATCCACAGTTTTCCCATCGTCATCTGGACCCCAGCTGCAAAGAGAGACACCATGAAGTGACCGCCCCAGGAGTCGCAGTTAGCAACTCTTCCCTTCCAGGGAGCTACAAGCAGCCACCAGCTACTCCCAGCACCGCGACTGGGATCGGAGGGCGCTGTACTTTCCCATCCATCGGGCTGGCCCCTCGCTGCTGGGATATCGCTGTTGTGTTTGTAGTGTGCCCCCGGGTCAGATTCCAACGGACAAAACGTTTGATTTTTGTTTAAGCACCAGCTTCTCACGCATTCCAGTCCCGGTCACGCGGCTCAGCCGGGGCTCCCTGACCACGGCGGGGGGCACGGCGCCCCTCCAGCTCAGCCAGCCCGCAGCAGAAAGGCCTCGCGACCGCAGGCGCCGAGCACAGCCAGCTCTCCAGTCACAGGAACACGGACGTTACTCTTAGCAGCAGTAACAGAGCGCAGCACCTTCCGGGCCCGGGCGCAGACCCCCTCGAGGGCCTGGTGGGAACGTTCCGCCACGAGCCGTGAGCCCTCCCCAGGCAGCATGGGGCCCGCGGCCCTTCGCTGGGTGTCGGCGTGGCGTGGCGCGGTGCGGGGTCCCCTCGGGGCTCACCTGCAGCTGTAGATGTCGTTGATCTGATAGTGCTTGTTGAAGGCGATGGCCTCCATGCTGTCGGTGAGGGGCCCGTCCAGCACTCGGATGCCTGCAGGACAAAGGACAAGGCGGGTGACCGCAGCTGGTTGCGGCAAGCTGTGTAAGAGTGCAAACAAATGCCTTGGCAGGTTCGCAGCGGGGACGCCCACGCTCCCGGCCTGACGGAACCAGACCCCCTCGAGCTCCAACCCTGCAGATCAGTCCGCAGGGGCTGGATCTGTGTGAGGGATTGTAGCTGCGCCCTCACGCGCAGCTCCACGTCCTCCGCTGGACGTGGCCTTTCCGCCCAGCAAGGCCTCCTGTCCCACTGCCAGAACCAAGTTGGTGACGGTGACAGTGCAACCAAACAGCACCCGGGCTTACCCCCGTGCGCCCCGCAGCCCCCTGACCCAGAGCGCAGCTCCCCAGGGGCTTCCTCTCATCCCACCCCCAACGAACCCGCTGCTTTTCAGGGCCGGTCCCCTGTCGGGACCAATTGCTTCCCCTTCCACACTGCCAAACAGCGAGCCATCGCTTTGGGACTGCCGAGGGAAGGGCTCAAGGGACAGGGGACACCCCGACTACTGTGCTCCGACCAGGAGGCCGAGGCCACTTGTCCATCAAAGCCCACGAAGGGCTCCACAGTGAGTTTTCAGTGACCCAAACCATTGATAATTACCGCTCTGCCTCATGGTGTAGGCTGGCAAAGGATGTTACAAACGGAAAGCAGGCATGCATCCCAACGAGGCCTATTTATAAACAGTGCACCCGCCCACCCGCCTCAGCTCTCGCCTGGCACAGCACGCGCGGCTTTTCGCTGTCGCAGCCGAGCCGACGGGGCTGCGTGGGCTGTCCCTGCCGCGGCCCCAGGCTGCTGGGACAGAACTGCTCCGCTGTCCCCCCGCAGAGCTGAGGCTGCCCCGCTGTGCTGCTCCGGAGACCCGAGCCCCGAAGAGGTGCCAGGTTCTGCCTGAGCGACCCAGGATGAAACCCTCCCTCAGCCCCGCGCCGCGGTTAGGATCTTTCCTTCTGCCAGCAGGGCTTGGCGAGCAGCTCTGCCCGCAGCCTCCCAGGCTGGCTGGAGCCCGGGACCCTGCTGTGCTGCCACCACATCCTGCCCTGCACAGAGCTCTCAGCTCCCTCCGTGAAGGAGTGTGAGCGCTCCGGAGGCAGTGGAGGCCACGGCGGCCCAGCAAGGCAGCGGCTGCCTCGGGGCCACCCCTCCCGCGGCACCGGACAGACCAGAGAGGGGCCGAGGCAGGCAGGAGCGCAGCGCGCCGGGGCGCCGCGGCACGCACGTACCCGCGATGCGGCTCCCGTAGGCAACTCCCACCGTGCAGAAGCTGTTGTTGGGCACGGCAGCGATCTCCCCGGCGCAGCGGGTCCCGTGGTGGTTGCCGTTCTCCTCGTCAGGGTGAGGCATAGGGTCGGGATCGTTGGAGTTCAAGTCATAGCTGCCTTCCGGGCTCTGGAAAGAGCCACGGCCACAGCTCAGAACTCTGCTCTCCTCCCTTTGGGAAAAGCAGGAGCGAAGAGCGTGCGCCACAGGCCAAAGCGTGGGAGTCACGGGAGCTTAGCGGCTGCTTCCCCACAGGCCTGCAGCTCAACACTGCTCCCTGCTGCTGTGGGAGCGGGCCCAGCAGAGGCAGCTTTAGCAGCTCAGGGGGGAGGCCAGCTCCCGCAGGCAGCGCCAGGGCTGCTAACCCTGCCGCTGGGGTGCACGATGTGCCAGGGAAAGCTTTGCCGCTGGTGCTGCCCACCCCAGCCGGGCCCGGGGTGACGGCACAGGACAGGCCCTGCCCGGCCCCCACCCTGCCCTCGCAGCCTCCCGCCGCCGCGCCGGCACTCACGTAGTTGGGCTGTATGTCTTTGATGGTGTGCTCCACGCCGTCGTCCACCACCACCACCGTCACGCCGCGCCCCGTCACGTTCCGCTCCCAGACGCCTGTGACGTTGATGTCCTTCCCGGGGCTCTTGCGGTTGTTCTAAGCGCCGGAAAGGGCGGCGAGGGGGGGGAGGAAAAGCGGAGGGGGGCGTCAGCTGTGAGGAAAAGGGGGTCCCAGAGCTTTGGGGCGTGCTGGCTACAGCGTGCGGGGCACGCAGGGAGGAGTCACAGAAGGCTGGCTGGAGGCGGTGGGCGAGCAGCCGCTGAACGGAGCGCCCAGCACTGACACCGTGCTCCGGCTGAAACCCCCCCAGCCCGGCAGGCGCCACCTCCTCCCGGTACCACGGCGAGCTGTCGGCCTGGTGCAGGGAGGGAAAGCGTCCCACACCCGCCGGCACAACCCCCACTCACCAGGTGCCACTGCTGGGGGTATTTGGGATCGTTAAAGCGCAGGCTGCGCTTGGAGCGCTTCAGCAGCTTCTGCTCCGAGTGCCACCGCACGCTGCCGTGCTGCGCCAGCAAAGCATCCACCGACCTCCTGACGGCCTCGGGCTGGCCGGCCACCCGGCCGCCGGGCTGGTAGGTGAAGAGGTAGTGGCCCTTGAGCTCGCCGACGCGGCCAGCGTTGACCAGCCCGGCGCTGCGGGCCAGCTCCTCCGCCCGCTGCTCCAGCTCGTCGTCGGGCCCGTCCAGGCTGACGGCCCAGCTGAGCCCCCCGCCGCAGGCCGGCCCGCGGGGCGAGGCGGGGGGGACGCCGGCGGCGCTCAGCCACAGGCAGGCGTGGAGGCAGAGCGCGGCCTCCAGCCCCGCGCTCCATAGCGGCATTGGGCAGGCGGGCTGCGAACAGCGGGGAAAGGAAAAACAGTGAGAACCTCTCCCGGCGCGGGACGGGGCCGCGGCCGCGCCTCGGGGTCCCGCGGCTCCCAGAAGGCAACGCCGGCACCGGGGCTTCCCCGCGACCCCCCCCAGCACCGCCGTGATCCCCTTCCCGGGGAAAGCCCGGCCAAGGAGTTGCGCCCGGGCCGGGCCGCGTCCGAGGCGCTGCCGGGCTGGCGGCCCCGGGCCAGGGCACACCCCGCGCTGCCTGAACCGTGGCCCGGGCCTCACGCCGCGGGAGGACGAAGCTGCGGGAGCCCCGGGGCGGGGAGCGGGAGCCCCGTCCCGTCCCGTCCCGTCCCGTCCCGTTCTTCCCTCCCCGCCGCCGCCACTCACCGGGCCGCCGCCGCCGCCGGATATCCGCGGCCGCTGACAGCAACGTCACATCCGGGCGCGGCGGCGGCGGCGCGGCCTCCCCCCCGCCAGGCGGCGCTGTCGGGCGGCTGGGCGCCGCTCTGCGCCGCGGGCGGGGCGGGGGCGCGGGCCGCTCCGCTCCGTTCGGCTCCGCTCCGGGCCCGGGCCCGGGCCCCGCCGCACCCCCCCGGGGCGCCCCCCCGCCCCCCCCCGTACCCCCCCATGGCGCTGGAGCAGGCGCAGGCTGACGGCCCCGCCGCCGCCGCCCCGGCCCCGCCGCGCCTCTGCGAGCCCGGTCCCGCCGCGCCGCCCGGCAGGTGGGTTAGGCCCGGCGGGCCGCGGCCCGCGCCGGGAGCGGGGCCCGGAGCGGAGGCGCTGACCGAGCTGTTTGTTTCCCCCGCAGCGGCAGCGCCTTCCCCGCCGCGGAGAGCCCCAGCGAGGCCGGCCCCGGCGGAGAGGCGGAGCAGCCCGGCGCGGCCCCGGCGCTGCTGGCGGCGGAGCCCGGGCCGGGCGGCGGGGAGGCGGCGGGGCTTGGCGGCGGCGGCGGCGGGGCGGCGGAGGAGCCCGACCCGGAGGCGGCCCCCGCCAGGCCCTCGCAGACCATCGCGGTGCAGGTGGGGCTGCGGGAGACGGCGGCCGGTTTGCGGCGGGTCGGGGTACCGCGAAACCGGTCGGGTTTCCCCTCCTTTGGGTGCCGCGGGGGTTGGTCGGCGGCAGGCGGGGTTTCTGCGGGCCTGGTCGGTGCGGCGGGGCCCTGACTGCCGCCGCCTCCCTTTGCAGACGGACTTCAAGACGGCCGACGCGGATGCGAACACGGACCAGGACATCGAGAAGAACTTGGTGGGTATCGAAGCCCCGCGATCGGGCCCTTCCCGCGGGGTCTTCTCCCTCTTGCTGCGGAGTTCCTGAGCCCTCCTCCGTAAGGGAGGGAACGCAGGGCTAGGTGCAGCCGCCGGCAGTGCCTCCCTTTGCCTTATCTGCTCGGGAAAGCCTGAGATTTGAGGCAAGGGCTGCGGAACTGTGGCACCCGCAGAGCTTCTGTGGCCGTGTCTGCGCCCTCCTGAGTGGGAGGGACGGCGGGGAAGGTTCTCCCTGACTTTCCGCTCTCCGCTGCAGGACAAGATGATGTCGGAGAGGGCTTTGCTGAAGGAGCGTTACCAGGAGGTGCTGGACAAACAGAGGCAGGTGGAGAATCAGCTGCAGGTGCAGCTCAAGCAGCTCCAGCAGCGGAGGGAAGAAGAGATGAAGAACCACCAGGTATTTGGGGAGGTCGGAGCGGGGTTTAGGTGCCCGTTGGTGCTGCCGCTCACCCGACTGAGGTGGGCTCGTGCGGAGGGGCACAGCAGGCAGCCGCTCCTGCCCGCACCTTGCAGTGTCTCTTCGGCGTGCACGGCGGCTTTTCCCAACTGAAAACCGGTGTGAAATGAGGAGAATTATCTCCCTGGGGTTCCTTAGATCTCTGCGGCTGTTGCTCAAGGCTGGCTAGGTTAGATGAACGAATCGCCGCTGGCCCTAGGGTGGCTCACACTAAGACAAAAGGAATTGTCTGTGGCCCATCGGCTGGGTCTAAAGCAGAGCAGAACTCGCTGCCCCTTGAAATCCCACTAAAGAGGCAGGAGAACCAGGGCTTTAGGCCGTCTTAGCTGTCTCCTGGGTTTCCTCATTGTAGCCGATATGTATCTTGTCTGAATCTACTAAAAAGAAAGATCTCGATGACGCATGTAATCTCCTAATCCCTCCTCGATTAATCTAACATAATAAGGGATTTAAAAGCAAAACCGCTGCTTGGGAATCTTGCTCTGTAACTGTGCGACTCTCCTTTTACTCTAGGAGATCCTGAAAGCGATTCAGGATGTTACGATCAAGCGAGAAGAGACGAAGAAGAAGATGGAGAAGGAGAAGAAAGAATTCTTGCAGAAAGAGCAGGATCTGAAAGCAGAAATTGAGAAACTCTGTGAGAAAGGCAGAAGGTATTAGGATGGAAAAGGAAGCGTTTATTTTGGGGGGCGAAGCGGTATTGCTCGACCCTGGTGCATGCCTGGTAAAGCAAAAGAGGATGGCTTTAAACACTTTGGAACCGGCGAGTGTTTTGGCGAGCGGTTTAGGGCAGACCTGTACCGTTCCGAATGGCTGTGCCGCAGGCAGGGCTCCTTCTCTTTGCAGAAGATGTCGCCGTGAGTTCTCGGGCAGCGGTTTCCGCTTTGCCGCTTGGGCGTGTGCGCGGGCAGCCGGTGGGGAGGGTGCTGCGCAGCTCGGCCCCGCGCGCTGCCGCCTCGCGGGACGCGGAGCCCTTCCACGGGGGGGGGGGGGGCGGCCCCCCTGCGGAGCGAGGGCTCGCGTCCCGCTGGCCGCTCCGGGTTGTTCCCCTCAGCATTTCCCGTTCCCGTGGGCTGCGTGGCTGTGCCCTCCCCAGAGTGGCTCGGAAGGCCGACGGCTGCTGTCGGGCTTTGCGGCCAGACGGGCCGCGTGCTCTGCGCAGAGAGCCGCGCGAGATTCGGGGGGGGCTGACGCGAGCGGGGCGCGAGTTGTTGGGGGAGATCTGAGGGTTCCTTTGGGTGCTGGGTTTGCGCTTTTACAGAGCTGTTCTGTCACGTTGTAGAGATCTGTTTGTTTTTTGTTTTTTTTTTTTTTTCACGCTGAGGGCTCGGTGATGTTTCAGGATAAAGCCCCTCTCGCCATGGTCCCAAGCCCTCACTCGGCCCCCGTTTCCCCCCGAGTCAAGAGTTGCAAAGCACGTGCTGTCGGAGTGGCACCGCTCCCTGCGGCGCATTCTGGTTCCGTGCCACAGTCTTTGTGCAGTCTCATGATACAGCAGAATTTTTGCTCTGCAGGATGTTCGCACCAGTTAGGGCACGGTGCAGCGCTCGGAGCGTGCCGTTGCGCTGGGCGCGGAGCTGTGCCAGCCCGTCCTCGAAACTGGGGAGCTGCGGCGTTCCTGGTGCCCTGGCAGCGCGCGACCCCATCTGTCCTTTTCCTCTTCTGCAGGTTACTGAAAGAGCAGGAGGAGAAGGAGAACAAGATTGCTTCTCTGATTGCAGAGCAGTCCGATGAAAAGTAAGCCTCTTACCTGTCACCAGATGAAGCTGCTGCACACCCTGTGCCTTCCCGTCGCTTGCCTCGGCGTGAGGCTGCTGCTGGGGTGGGCTGGGGAGAGCGGTCTGACGCTGCTCCTGGTGACGCGCTCGAAAGCTTTCAGCTCCTCTTCCAGCGGGCCGGTGCCTCGGGGTTAAATCCCCTTCGATCCCGGGCACAAGCAGGCTCCCAGGCACTTGTGACATCAGGATCCCGTAAGAACAGAGCTGCTGCTCGGTGGATTGCCTCGGCTTGTAACTCTGACTGAATTTCAGCTTTCCAGGATTAGGGCAAACCTGCTTCTCTGTCTGTTCCCCGCAGCTGCCCTCTAGCATGCTCAGGTCTTCTGAAGCTGGGCAGAGGGGCTCCGGGTCCAGGCGCAGATGCTCACACAATGCAGGTGGAAAGGGCCAGCGCTAAGCTTCTCCAGGATCGGAAGGGCTTAGTCCTGTGTGCTGCCCCAGCTTGCTTCCTGCTGCGGACCCGGGCGCCCTTCCCTGGAGCTGGACTGAATTTTGCCGCTGGGAATTCCCCTCTCCTTGTTCTGCCTGGCCTCTTTGCTCCCGGGTTGTTTGTGTGCTCCGGAGCAGCTCGCTCTGGGCACGCTGGCTCCTGCAGCCTTGGGAACTGCAGCTGGTGTCGTGCTCGGGAAGCTGGTGATCTTCCACCGTTGCACCCCGTTCCGAGCTACAAGGGCCGATTGGTTTTGTGGGGCTTTGTCGGCTCTCGTGTTCCACGCCATTCCGGTGCCCGAGCCTCAGCAGACTTACTCTGTTTCCGTCTGCAGGCAGCTATGGGAGATGGAGCTGGACAAGCTGAAGAACCAGCACAATGAAATCAACAGGAACATTCTCGAGGAGACAGAACGGGCCTGGAAAGCAGAGGTTAGTAGGTGACTCCGTAGCTGCAAAGCAGCTGTTGAAGAGAGTCTTTGTAAGATTCCAGTCCGTAAAGAACGATCGTGTGAAATTAGGAGCAGCTGAGGATGGGGCCACGTCCCCCTCTTGGTGGGACAAGGGAGGGGATAAACAAGTGTCGCACAGTACCCAGCAGCCGGGGCTGGTGCCCTGGGGCACTCAGAATGGTGCTCAGGGACGAGATGGCAGTCGTGGTGTGGCAGCAAGAATCGGGAGTGCAAAAGGCGCTCCTCGTGTGGGGCCTCTCTCTGCCAGATCCTGTCCCTGGAGAGCCGGAAGGAGCTGCTGGTGTTGAAACTAGAAGAAGCAGAAAAAGAAGCAGAGCTACACCTCACCTACCTCAAGTAAGTCCGTGCGGTCTCAGAAATGGCCGGGCAACCTAAGTGTTCCTCCGTGCCCACCTCCTCTCCCTCCACTCGCGCTGGAGGTTTGGCTGAAGTGTAGTTCAAGGTTTCCTGTGGCTTTCTTATTAAATAATGGGCTTCGTGAACGTGGCACAGCGAGGGTACGTGGGGCTGTGCTTATCCCCTGCTCCGCTGCCGAAGGTGTGCCGTGCCCTAGGCCGAGCGCTGGACGCGCGGCGCTGGCGCGGTGTCCACGTCTCTGTCCGCGCTCGGGTGGCACCACGTGCTCCCCTGCTGCTGGGTTCCTGGCTGGCTGGGAGCCCCTCCTGCCGCCCAGCTGCGGGCGGGGAGCCCTGCCGGGGGCAGGGGCAGGCAGGAGGCTGTGGGGCGGTAGCAGCTCCCACTTAGCTGCCGGTGAGAGCACGGTTGCAAGTGGGAAAGTTTAGTTGTGCTTGCAGGTCCGCGCCGCCCACGCTGGAGACGATGAGGCCAAAGCAGGAGTGGGAGATGAGGCTGAACAGGATACGAATGACCAAGGAAAGTGTCCGCGTAAGTTCCTGCCGAACGGCCCCCAGCCGATCGGCGAGCAGCTCTTGGCGTCGCGGCTGCTCCACGCGCTTGGTTTCAGCCCTCCCGGGGTTGGGGACCGGGACCCTTCCGAAGCCGCGTGCCCAAAAGCACGGCACGGCTGCGCTGCCTTCGCGAGCAGCTGCAGAGACCTGCCCGCCCCTTCGGGCTGCTGCGCGTGGGCGAGCCCCGTGGACGTGAAAGCAGCGTGTCGGGCTCGTCGCAGAGGCAGTTACTCTGTTTCTCCCGCCGGGTCCTTTTTCCGTCTCTTGACTCCCGTGGAACCCAGCTGTGTCCGCCTCAGGGCCTGCAGCCATGCGGGGCCGAGCGCGCTCTGCCCAGGCAGGGGCAGCTGCCTGTTGTAGGCACGCAGTGCCCAAAGCTCCCTGGGGCCGAGGCTTTGGCAAGCGCGTCTGTTCTCTTTCCCCTCTGCTAGGATCAGTTCAACGACCACATTCAGATGGTGAGGAACGGAACGAAGCTGAGCAGCCTCCCCCAGATCCCAACCCCGACGCTGCCGCCGCCGCCCTCAGAAGTGAGTGCCTCTCCAGCCTGACAAACGCGGGCTTTGGCTGCGGGGAAGCTGCCGTGGGGCCGTGGGCGCAGCCTGCCCGCTGGCCCGGAACGCGCGCTGCCCGTGCGGCGCGGGACGGCGTTTTCTGGGGTCCTGTGCTTGACCCGTGTCTGCCTGGGCTTACCAGCTGGCCCGGCGGGGAGGGGAAGGGGCTCTTTCCCTGGCAGCGTGGAGAAAAGCCGCCGGTGCCTGCGGTCCGGCCCCGCTCCTGCCTGGCAGGGGAGCGAGGCGCTCGGCTCTGCCCCGGCATGGGCCTTTTCTGACCAGCCCTTTCTCCTCCTCCCGTTTTTCTTTCTCAGACAGATTTCATGCTGACGGCATTCCAGCCCAACCCATCCCTTACTCCCAGGCTCCCGTTTCCCATCGGACCAGTTCCCGTTCCCATGGTCATGCCGAGTGCTGATCCTCGGGCGCTTTCCTTTCCTCTCCTCAACCCTGCGATCTCCAGGCCCAACCAGCCTTCCCCACCGCTGCCGGCTTCCCAGGGAAGGAACAGCCCCGTCGTGGCATCGCTTCTGGGCACGCACAGCCCCCACATGACTCCCGCTGCCTCCATCCCTCCTCCGCCAGGCCTGGGAGGAGTGAACGTCACTCCGGAGTTCCACAGGCCGCAGCCGGCCGATAAGCTGGAAAAGCTGCTGGAGAAGCTGCTGACTCGGTTCCCACAGTGCAACAAGTGAGTGTCTCGCGTCGCGCTTCCCGGAGGGCGAAGGCTTGCGTGGGGGACCTGAGCCGGCGTAAGGGGAAGCGGAGCTGCTCTGCGGCGGGCGCCGTCTCCCGCCCCCGCTGGGCTTTCCCCGCCCTTCTCCCGGTATTTCGGGGAGAGAGGCCGCGTTCAGAGGGCGGCCGGGTGAGAGCACGCGCTGCGGGCTGCGGCCGGCTCACTGGCAGCTCTCAGCGCGCCGCTCTCCACGCAGGGCCCAGCTCACCAACATACTGCAGCAGATCAAGACTGCTCGGAGGACGATGGCGGGTCTGACCATGGAGGAGCTGAACCAGCTGGTGGCAGCCAAGCTGGCGGAGCAGCAGGAGCGGGTGGCGGCCGGGGCGCAGGTGGGCGAGCGGCGGGGAGCGGCTGGCAAGGGCGGGGTGGGCGCTTGGGCGCAGCGGCACGCGTGTCCCCGGGGCTCTGCTTTCTGCTGAGGGCACCTGGGGAGCGGTTTTCCCCGAGGCCGCCCGGGGTGACTCGGCTCCCCTTTTCTTCTGGGCTTCTCGCGTGGGTCTCGTCCGCCCCGCTGCAGCCTCTGGGACGAATCAGGGCCCCCATGTTCTCTGCTCCGCTGCCTCAGATCAGCACGCCCATGTTCCTGCCCCCGGCCCAGGTGGCTTACCCTGGAACAGCGTCGCACGTAAGGCTGTTTGGCTGAAGCGGGGGGCGCTCTCCTCACACGGCTGGTGGGGTGGAAGGGAAGGGCTAGGGGCCCGGGTCCTTTGTGCTTGGGGAAGAGGGGAGCGGCCGCAAGAGGGGCGTCGGAGGCTCCAGCGGCGGCAGGAGTGGGGCGAACCGTGGCCGCTGGCTGCAGCCGGCGGGACGAGGAGCTGGCGGGTGGAGTACGTGATGCGAGCCGGGGCGTCTGACCGCCGTGCCCGTCTCCTTCCTGTTCCCTCGCTGCTCGCCGCAGAGCCCGGCTGCCTGTAAGCTGTGTCTGATGTGCCAGAAGTTTGTGCAGCCCGGCGACCTTCACCCCATGGCCTGCTCGCACGTGCTGCACAAGGAGGTGAGTGCTTCCCCGCTGCGTGCTGCTCCGAGGCGCCTCGCCAGGGCCGCTAGTGCCGGCTCCCTGCCGCGGGTCCCTGTTGTACCGCGGTCTTGCCGGGAGAAGGGAACGAGCGAGAAGCAGTTTCTCTGCATCCTGTTGCCCCCCCTCGCCGCACTCTTAGCTGGGCCCCCCCAGCGGCCGTTTCGGGGGTGCCTTTAGGAACCTGCTGCCCTCGCTCCTGCCCCTGAGCCTGGGCTCGTTGCCGTGAGTGTTAGATCCCGGCCTTTTGCCTTCGGGGAGCAGCAGAGTCTGGAAGGGCCTAGAACACAGGGCGAGGGCGAGAGCTGCCGCCGCCGCCCAGGTCTGTGCACGGGAGCTCCTGGGAAGAGGAGGGTTGCTTTCCTCGGCCGCGCTGCTGGCTGCAGTTTGCCTGCACAGGCAAACCCCTCGTCCCCCTGGCTCTGGGGCCTCCAGCAGCTGCCGAGGGAACGGAAGAGCGTGTATTGAGGAGGGGCTGGTGGTCCTGCTAGGTTGAAGAGGGCTCCCTCCGCATGGCGACCTTTTGCTGGAGGCTGTCTCCAAGGCCTAAAAGCAAGTGCCCCTTGAAATGAGTGCCCTCGCCGGTGCTGTTCTGGAAAAGCAACGCCACGCCGCGTTCGCAGCGCCTCTGAGTTGGGCCGGGGGCTCTTGACTAATTCTCTCTCTTCCAGTGCATCAAATTCTGGGCACAAAACAACACAAATGACACTTGCCCCTTTTGTCCAAGTCTCAAATGACGGCTACTCGAACAAAGAGGCCCCGCGGGAGGAGTTGCTGTGAATAGACAGGATCAGTTCTAAGATTTCTACAGTTCTATATTTATATGACCATGTATACACATGTACATTTTTATTATATAGGTAATGTGTGTATAGAAAGTCTGTATACATACAAATTCATAAATAAAGTGTGTATATTATGCAGTGATTTGGTGCTGCTCCTTAGGCCTTACCTCGCAGCCTCGCTGGCTTCCCTGCGCCGGAGTGCTCCGGCCTGACCCGCTTGCTGGGAGGCCGGCGGCTGCTGGAACGAGCTCTTCCCGCTTCCCTCCCAGCAGCTCCAGGGCTCCCAGCAGCCCCTCCCCTTGGGCCGCCGCGCGGAGCCGGCCCCTGCCCCCTCCGTCGCCCGGCAGCTCCCCTCTTAGCAATGAGCAGGTTGCAGGTGAAGAGCGTTTCTTTTGTGGTCTTTTTTTAATGTAATAATAATTTACCGTGGTAACATTCATTGTTCTTACAGAGACAATAGGTTACAGAGCACTGGGGTCCACAGCGAGGGCGGGCGCTCCCCGTCCCCCTCGGGACAGCCAACCCCTCGCCGTTCCTGCTTCCCCCTCTCCTGTCCCTCCTCCTTGAGCACGGGCTGACGCGCCAACCCTCTCTCCATGGATTTCGGTGGGATTACGAGGTGCTCAGCACCACTTAAAATCTTGCGCTGGCGCGGTAGGATTGTTCCCCCACCCCCCACCCCCCCCCCATCTTTTGCAGCCTGCGGCACAAATTCTTCGCTGCCGGAGGCACCTCCGCCTCGGGGCTGCTGGGTGGGTGCAAGCGCTGCCGGGGCGCAGCACGCCCGAAGCTGGGCACAGGCCCAATCCTCCCACGCGCACGCAGAGGCAGAGGCTGGCCAGCGTGCTTTAAGGCAGTGGTCCACAACGGAGTCGCTGGGATCCCGGGCAGGCAGGAGGGTGCAGAACGTTGCCCTCGGGCCGAGCAGAATCGCTGGGGGCTGGCGGTTTTGGAGCACGGCGGGGGAACTGGACGCTACTTGCAAGCGCACTGGTAGCGGCGGGGGACGGCTTAGGGGTGCTGTGGCGGTGCCCAGCGCTCAGCCTCTCCTACACTGCGTGCGTTTCCTCCTCCGGCCTCGCGTGCTGGCTCCCTCGCTGCTTTTTCAAAGAAATATTTACCTGCAGGCTTTAGTTAACGAGCTTTATGCTTGGCGATGCCTGCAGACCGGCAGCGCTCCAGCCCCTCGCCCCGCTCCCACCCGACCCGGTGCCCCGGCACCGCACGTCCCCCCCGGCTTCGGCTCGGGGAGGAGCGTCGCCTTTTAACAAGGGGATGGTGGCGTTTGAAGCTCAGCACTTCCCCGCCCAAGCTGGAGGCAGAGGAGCGGGGAAGCGCAGCGTTACCAACCGCCTGCGAGCTCCGGGGCGCCCACCCTGGGGCAGGGGACGGTGAGCCAGCAGTGCCCCCTCTCCCCGGGGCAGGGCGGGGGGCCGGTGTCCTTCCACACCGGAAAAATCCTCCCTCGGCTGTAGGAGCAGGACGAGGACGAGAGTGGCTCGCACTCCGCGTGCGCCCGCCCGCAGCCCACCGGCACCTCCTCCCAAACCAGCCCAGCGCTGGGGCCCTGGCGCTGAGCAGAGGGTTACAAATATTTTTAAAAAAAAAAACAAAACAAAAACAAAACCCTTGAAACAAAACAGGAGCAAACCCCCCTCGTGTTGGGTTTGGGACAGTGGCTTTCAGCACTAGAATTAAAAATAGAGATATATGTATATATTGTACAGGTGAGAAGCGACCGTTATTCGTACACCCGTGTGCGGGGTGGGACCTGCTATATACACGCTCTGATCTGCGCAGCTGCACTACCAGTGACTCGCATTATAAAAAGGAAAAAAAAAAAAAAAAAGGAAATAAATACAACCATGTGTTTAAAAAATAACCAAAGCTGCAGTCCCCGCGGCCGCCGCCTGTCCCCGCGGTGCCTCGAGGAGCCGGGGCCCGGACCCGCGGACGCACGGGGCGGCGGTGCCGGGGGCCGGGCGGGGGCCGGGCTCCCCTATGGCTTTCGAAGGGACGGGTGGGCCGCGGAGCAGCTGGCCCGGGGCTCGGGTGCTTCGCTCCCTCCTGGCACGTGGTTTCGGTGCGTAGCGGGCTGGTGGTGGGGACGCCGCTTCCTTCCCTCCCGGGGCGGGAGGGCAGCAGCCACCGGCTTCTCGGTGCAGGCGCCGCTGACGCTGGCCGGGCGGGGAGGCAGCTTCGCGTCCCAGGAAAGGAGGTGGCGAGCGAAAGCGGGGCGGGGAGAGGATGGGCGCCTGCTCCTGCCTGTCCCGGGAGGCAGCCGGGAGGGCAGGGGGGGCGCGGGCAGCCCCGGGGCTGGCGGCAGTGGAAGGGCCGCTGAGGAGGGCAGGAGCGAGCGGTGTACGGGGGAGCAGGAGGACGGGAGGGAAAGCCCTGCCTCCGCCTGCTCCCGTCTGGGCAGCCCCAGCCTGGCCCCGCGCCGCCGCCTCCGAAAACCCGGGGCTGGGGACGGGAAAGCTCTGGGTTGCGACCGCTGGGGCCCGGCCCAGGAAGAGCCGGCGGCAGCGCCCGGGCACAGCGGCGCGGCTCCCCGCACTGAGCGCCGGGGCCGGCGGCTGGGGGGCCCCGGGGGCCGGGCAGGGGCTGGCCCCTCGGCGTGGCTGCCGAGCCTGGCAGGCCGGGCAGGAGCGCCGGGGAGAGCCCGGCCCCGGAGCAGAGATGCCACCCTCAGCCCCCGGGACGGGGTTGCTGCGCTCTCAGCCCCCTCCCCGCCGCCACGCTCTGTCTGGAGGTGCCGGATGAACGCGGCCCAGGCCCGGCGCTCCCACGGCTGCTCCCGGGCCGCCGGCCCTGCTGGGCACCGAGTCCCCCAGGGCCGGGGCCGAGGGCCTGAGCTCCCCACGCTGCTGCCCTGCCTCCGCGCTCCAGCCCCCGGAGAAAGGACCTACCTCTCCCCGCCCTGCTGCCTCACCTGCGGCCCCCCCCGGGGCTGCCCCCACGCTCCGCCGTCACTTCAGCAAGGATATGTCATCGGCGAAGTCGTCGTGGTCCCGCCGCAGGCAGTGGAAGCAGCGCCACTGGAACACCATGAGGCAGAGGGGCAGCATGAAGAGGGCGCAGATGGCTGCCATCACGTAGGCGATGGTCATCAGGGTGGACTCGTCCGTCTGCGGGATGTTGTAGCCGCAGTCCTCCATGTTGGAGTGCAGGTAGGGTCCCTCCACCGCGGCCATCCGGAACTCGTCGTGCACTGCGGGCGGGAGGAGGCAGGGGTCCGGCTGCTGCCCCCCTCCCCCTCCCCTCCCCTCCCCTCCCCTCCCCTCCCCTCCCCTCCCCTCCCCTCCCCTCCCCTCCCCTCCCCTCCGCCTCTCCTCCCCCCGGGGCCCAGCTCTCACCGTGGCAGGCACTGACGGCGAAGCCGATGCGCTTGCGGGCACGGTCGAAGACCACGTAGAAGCCCTCCATGATCACGGCGCCCATGACGGTGCCCGTGGAGGACTGGGAGATGGCGAACTTGTAGCAGTCGTCCTGAGAGGTGGCCACGTCCTCCACCGGGCGCAGGTATTGCTGCGGGGAGAGAGGCGCCGTCGGGGAAGGGGCTGGGGCCAAGCTCCCTCCCGGCAGGGTCCCTGGCCCGGCTGGTGCTCACCTGGGGCAGGATGGTGATCCGGAAGGACTGGTTGGTGGCCTCCCCCATCAGGTAGAGGGACAGGACGGGGAAGATGTGCCAGGGGGTGGTGCCGACCTGCCAGCAAACCAGCTGCTCCCCCAGCCAGAAGCCGTCCGGGAACTTCTCCGTCTGCCAGAGGGAAGGGGGAGGTGAGCGGAGCCGCAGGCTGGGGACGGGCAGCCCCGCGCTGGCGCCGGGCCCGCGCCCCGGGCCGAGGGATGGCTTTCACTGACCGAAGAGGCCGTTTTAATGGACTTCACCGCTGCCTCGAACACCTTCTTGGGCAGCCTGAGGTTGGTGGTCCCGCTGTCCACGATACTCTTGTCGTAGTTGTACTGGGGGGGAAGGGGAGTGAGGCAGGCGCGGGTCCCCGGCCCTTCTCCCCTGCGGTGGCAGGCGGATGCCTGCCGCGACAGCGCAGCGCCCCGTAGGGCAGCTTCCCCCGCCGCCCCCTCACCTCTTTGCAGTCCATGTTGAGGTCCTGCCCGTTGACCTCCAGCCTGACGATGATGACCTCGTAGTACCACTCCTTCCGGATGGGTGTGTACCAGATGTCACCCACATAGAGCGAGCGGTCGATGCCGCCGATGATCTGCAGCGGAGGCAGACAGAAAGGCGCTGCCACCGCGCGCCGCCAGCTCTGGCCCCCCCGCTGCCGGCAGAGCACTCACCATGCTGCCTCCCACCGATGCCAGGGCCTCCGTCTCGTTGGGCGAGAAGCCTGCGCCGCAGAGCTGGAGGGAGAAGATGTTGGGCACCCGCGTCTGCTTCACCAGCGAGTCAAAGAAAGGCTCCAGGCTGTCGTCGGGCTGGCGGGAGGAGAAAGCAGAGGCAGGACAGGGACGTGTCAGTGCCTTCCCTTCTCCAGGGGCTCACCGTGCCCCTGGGGATCCTGGCGCTGCGTGCTGTCGGAGCAGGGCTCAAGGTCACCAGCACCGCTGCAAGCCGGGCCCCAGGGGACTCAGCAGAGCCGAGGCAACCGAACCCGGTGGGGACAGGGTGCCCACGGCTGCTGGCAGGGCCAGGCAGAGCGGGGCCCCGGCCGGGCGCGAGCCAGCACCCACCCGGGCGATCTCGGCGTACGCCAGCCCCAGGATCCCTTCCCAGTTGGAGCCGTTGATGAAGAATTTGTCCGACTCGGTGATGGCGGCGATGTTGGCTCTGACGGTGACGTTGGGGCCGTGGGGGATGGTGACAAGGTCGGTGCCCAGTTCCCCTTCCCACTTGCCCTGGGTGTAGGGCACATACACGCCCTTCCGCAGGTCGCGGTAGGTGCTGGACCTGCAACGGCATCGAAGAGCCCGAGTAAGACTGGTGTGGAGGAGGAGCGGGTGCCTGCGCGCTGGGTGACGGCAGGAGCAGGCCCAGGCTGGGCGGCCGAGGGGCCGCGTGGGCTGCCACTCCCTGCCAGGCTCTGGGGGACCCCAGTGGGAAGGACAGCATGCCTCCGCGGGGCCGGGGCTGCGGCACGCGGGCTGGGCTCTCTGTGTCCCCCCGGCATACTCACAGCTGCCGCTGGTAGTATCTCCGGAGGAAAGGGTGAGGCGCAGCTCCCACGGCAAAGTTACTGCTCCCCGTGTCCACCAGGATATTCAGCTGGAGAAGGAAGAGAGACGGGGAGGCTCGTGACCCCAGTGGGACCCTGCTGTACCACCCACCCAGCGCTGGCACCACAGGTGAGCGACACATTCCCCGGCCCCACGCCTGGCACGTTGCGGCCGCCGGGCCGTGTGCTTCCCGGGGAGCTGTGGCTCTGGGTCCCTGCCCGGGCAGCAAACCCGGCTCTGCCCCCCGACCCGGGGCCAGGGTGTGCCCCGCTCACCCCTGCCCAGCAGCTGGGCTCTTCACCAGCCCCACCGGTGACGGGGGGCAGCCGGGGCCACTCCGGGCTCCCTGGCACAGCCCTGCGTGCTGCTGCCCGGCACCGGCAGGGCTCAGCCTGCCCTACGTGGGCACGAGGGGCCCTTCGCCCGGGCAGCAGCAGAGCGACAGGGCGGGGGGGCTGTCCCGGTGCCTGCTGCACTGGGGGAACCCGGGGGGGGGACGCCGGGCAGCGGTGCAGAGCCCCGAACCAAGCAGCGGCCCTCTCCTGTGCCATGCCCAGGGACAGCTCAGAGACGCCGTGCGAGAGGACACGCTGGCGGAGCAGGAGTCGGCGGCATCAGGGTGTTGTTGCACAAGAAGCAAACGTTGTCCGGCACCGTGCAAACAGAGCAGGAGCTCTCCTCTCTGCGCAGGCTGGCCGCGGCCCCCGCGCCCGCTGCCTGCCTCCCCACGAGCAGAGAGCAGCAGTGAGACGGGGCGCCCGGGCTCCCCTTGCTGGGAAACCCGATTTGGCCGCGAAGCTGCTCGGGAGGATTGACGGTACACCGCGGACTGCTGGGTGTGCTCATCGGCCATCCATACGCTGAGCTCTGCTCCCCATTCCTTTCTGCCTGGGCCCTGGATTACCGGCCCACGGGCAGGGTTTGGCAAACCTCCCGCCGGCGGGTCCTGCCCCCCGCTGAGCCCCGCCAGGGTCCCCTCTGCCCAGCCAGGAGCGGAACGGGGATTGCTGGGGTGGGAGCGGGGCTCCGTGGGGTTCCACGGGGCTCCTGGCCCTGCGGGCCAGCAGAGCTGTGGGGTGAGCTCCGACCCCTGGCCCCGGGGGGCTGCTTGGCCAGCAGCATGCCAGGGCTTCGGCCCTTCACCTGTGGAGTCAGAGGGGAGAGGAAGGAAGCTAATACACTTGTGCTAATCGCAACAGCGCTGGGCTACAGCTGCTGGGGTTTCTTCCGTGGCCCGTGGATGGGCGCTGGCTGCAGGCAGCACGTCCTGGGTGCCCCTTGCCTGCCCACGGCGCGTGCTGCGCGGTGCAGCCTGACCTTCCCCTGGCAACCCAGTGCCACTGCACCCGGGCCCTTCCCAGGGTGGTTCTGTACAGGCGCTCGGTAGGGACCATCTGCTCCACACAGCTCATCTCCGCTGATCCCCCGGGCACCCAGAGGAGATGGGTTTCCCCGGCGATAGACCTGCCGAGCTGATGCTGCAGGGAGATGACGCGGGCGGCAGGGAAGGGTTTTGCTCTCACAGTCGTGCTGGGGAGGCGAGGTGAGCCGCCGCTACCCAGGCCCTGCACGCAACCCCTCGGCAGCCAGAGAGCCCCAACCCTGGCCGTTCCCCCCCAGGCCGGCGGGGACTACGTGCCTAAGTGACAGCGGGCGCGGCGGCGGGGACCCACACCCCACGGGCTCCGTCCCACCAACGGGGGTCACGCAGAGAACCCAGGCACAGAGGAACTGCACCCTCGAGCCTCAGCCCGGCCGTCGATTCAGGCCGGGACATGTGAACCGGCGAGGCCAGGACACGTGGGGTGGGGACGCTGCCTGCAAGCCGTCCGCTGCTTCCTGGAGGTGACAGCCCCTCCGGGCTCCTCGGCAGGAGCAGCGGCTCTATGTGATGCAGGCCCTAGTGCTGCGTGCTGCTCCCAGGGCGGCGAGCCCCAACCTGCTCGCAGCGGCGTCTGCCCCGAAGCACCGGCTCCCCGTGCTCGGCCCCCCTCCTCTTCCCCGGGTATTTATGGCTCAGCCGGTCCCGGGGAGCCTGGCGCGAGCGTGCGGTAACCAACGTGCCAAGGGACACGGAGCGCGAGAGCAATTAACTGCTGACGGTGACTTCGCAGTGCAGCACGGCGCCGAACCAAAACTAAAGCGCAACAGAATAAAGAAACTTCCTTGCCAGCACTGGGAAGGCGGCAGGAAAGGTGAGGAGGGAGATGGATCAGCTGGGGAGAGCGGGGTGCCCAGGCTGCGTGCGAGCCCTTGAGAAGGATGCGTGCACCCCCGCAGATAAATACGCTCCCCGCTGCCCGATTTCCTGCATATGCACAGCCATCCTCTTTCACGTGAATCTTTTAATCCCATTACAACGCCCGGAGGGATTTTGCTCCAGCACGCATGCACACGCACCACGTTCGCACTTGGAAGGAGTCCAGGGCTGGGAGATGCTGCCCAAAAGGGTGACGGGCTCCGAAATGCACGAGTGCCTGGAAACAGGTGGTTCGCACGGAAATTATCTGGCAGCCGCGACACGTGGCAGGTCCCGGGCAAGAGATGACGAAATCGCATGTAAAACTAGATTTTTAGAAATAATCTCCTCCCTTTTTTTTCCCCCAGGCGTACCCTGCCAGAGCAGAGAATAAATCCCAGGCGTGCAGCGACAATGTGAAACGGCCGCGGGAGACCCGGTCTGGGTGGCATCGCTCCCCCGCCCGCGGCTCACGTCCCGCTTGCGCCGCTCTCTCCCGCCACGCGTGCCGCGCCGTGCTGGGCCCCCGGGACGCGGCCAGCTCGTGGGGAAAAGCCAGCCTGCATTTCAGAGTCTGCGTGGGTGCCGGGCACGCTCAGCGGCGGGGACCTCCACCGCGTCACCCGTGAGAGAGGGGAGGAGCGGGTCGTCCCCCGGCCCTCAGCACCCATCCTGCCCCCAGCGCACGGTGCCAGGCGGGCGAGCCGGGCAGCTCCCAGGACACGAGGGATGCTGACGAAAAGACAGAGCGGGAGCAAAGCCCGGTGACGCAGCGGCTCCCTCTCTGCCCGCCCCATGGGGCACCCTTCCCAGCGAGGCCGTCCAAGAAAAGCGATCCGTGGAGAATCCACCCGGGGCCGGGAGCGGCGTGTGGGGCCAGGCGGGCGGTTTGGCCGCGGGCTCCCGTCGTGGCCGCAGATGCCCGCTGCCGGCGGGCACGCCACGTCCCCAACCCCCTCGCCACCCACGCACCGCGCCAGCTCCTGCGTGGCAGCCAGGGGAGGGAGAGAGGGAGGGAGGGAGGGATGGAAGGAAGCAGGGAGGGATGGAGGGATGCAGGCAGGGATGGAGGGATGCAGCCCAGCCCGCTCCACGCTCACAGCACCCGTGTGTCACCCGGGCGAGGCGGGAGTCACCTTGGGCGGGCACTCGCGGCCAGCTTTCTCCCCAAACGCAGCCCCCCGAGCCTCGGGGCCCCGGGCCGGCTCCCCGGGGGCACCGCCGAGCCCCACACCCCCCGTACCTTCTGCGGGGGGCTGCCCACCGTCATCTCCACGTAGTAGCCCTGCCCGGACTTGCCCCGCAGGTTGTCGATCATCTCCAGGAAGCTGCCGCCGGCCGCCTCGGGCTCCCCCGGCGCCCGGCGCTCCCGGGGCGCGGGCGGCAGGGCCGCGCCGCCCCGCAGCGGCAGCCGGATGCGCGGCGGGGCCGGGCGGGCGCGCAGGGCGGCCGCCCCCAGCCACAGCAGCAGCCAGGGCCAGGCGGCCGCCATCGCCGCAGCCCTGCCCGCGCCCTCCGCCGCACCGGGCGGCTCCCCGCCCCGGAAAGCCCTCCCCTCCCCGCGGGCGGGGGGACGGCGCCTAACGGGCCCGCAGCGCCCCGCGCCTCGGCCGGGCGGCCGCGCCGGGGCCGAGCGGGGCGGCGGGCATGGCGGCGCGGCGCTCCCCGCCCCGGAAAGCCCGCCCGCCGGCGGAAGCGGGGGCCGGGCCCGGCCCGGCGCGGCTCCCCCCGCGCTGCCCGCGGCCACGGGGCGCGGCGGTGGGGCCGGGCCGGGCCGGGCCGGGGCCACCGCGTCGCCATGGCAACGCCGCCCCGCCCGGACTACAGCTCCCGGCAGGCCCCGCCGCGGCGGGGGCGTCACGCAGCCCGGCCCTCCCGCCGGCCAATCGGGCGCCGGGCGGCCGTCGCCGGCGGCCAATGGCGTGCGGCCTTGGGTGGGCCGTGCCGTTGCTAGGGGCAGCGGCGACCCGGAAGTTGTGGCGGCGGCGGCGGCGGCGGCGGCGCGGCCCCGCGGGACCTGTGGGCCTCCGTGGGAGCGATGGGCGGGCGGCGGGTCCCCCCGCGGCTCCGGGCGCGGCCCGGTGAGCGCCCCCGATGAGCTGGGCGAGGGACGGTGCCCCGGGGTCGGGCCCCGGCGCGGCGCGGGGTGAGCATGCGGGGCGGGGGAGCTGCGGGGAGCTGGCCCGTCTGCCCTCCTCCCCCGTCTTTCCTCGTCTTTCCTCCTCATACTCCCCCCACCCCTTTCCTCCTCATCTTCCTCCCTTTCCTCCTCCTCGTCCTCCTCCTCCTTCCCCTCCTCCTCCTCGGGGCTGCGCTCCCCCAAAACAGGCTGCCTGCCTGTCGTGCCTCTGCAGCCCTAAAATGGGTGGCAAAACCTTTTTTTTTTTTTTTTTTTTTTTTTTTTTTTTTTGAGTTTGACGCCTATTAAGCCGAGCTCTCTCTCCTCCCCGCAAGCCTTGCGGCCCCTTCACGCTGCCGTTGCGCGCACAAGTGCCCCTGGCAGCCCCTCAGGGAGCGAGCAGGAACCTCGTCCCCCAGCAGCAGTGCCCGGGGTGAGGAAGGGGCTCCCACCACGCCGTGACAGAGGAGAACAAGGGCAGGAGGGCCCGAGCGAGTTGCCCACGTCCAGGCGCTTTAACCGGGTGCGCTTGGGAGGGGGAGCGGCCGCAGCACGGCGATGCTCTTTTGCTTTGGCCCATCCTGAGATTAGCTTTGCCCGGAGACAGCCAGGATTAATTGCTGCTGCTTCTGAGGCTCACTTTACATAAGAGTTATAAATACAGAGCGGGCTGAGGGCAGCGGAAGGTGAGGAGGGCAGCGAAGGCTCCGCTGCGGTGATGCTGCTCCGGGTGTATTAATGCTGCTCAGACCCTCCCTATCCTTGCTTAGGCACCCGGGCGGCACTGCAGCCCCCCAGTCTCCCGAGGAAAGCAGGGGTGCGCTTTGTGCCTTGAGCGTTTTGGGGGTAGCTCGAGTCTGACCTCGTCACTCCGCTGTGTGTTCCAGCAGTGGGACTGGGATGGCCCCAGCCTTCCCAGTGCTCGTGCTGGTGTTTGTGCAGCTGCAAGGAGCCCGCTCAGCGCCTGGCCGGGCTCCCCACAGGGCTGCCTGAGGCTAATGCTGGCCAAATGTGGCCATACAGAGCCACAGCTGGGGAGGTTCGGCGTGGGGAAATGAATTTACAGCTGCCTAAAGGCAGGGCTCACCGTGGCAGGGCTAAATTTCTGCCTATGGCCTTTGAGTTAAATAGCGAAGCGATGCTCCAGAGGTGGGACGCATTAAATGAGAATCCTTTTACAGCTTCTGAAATCTCCTCTGGGAAGGTGAGAGAGGCCAAGGCGAGCTGGGCGCAGTGAGAAGCTGCCTTGTCCCTGGGCAGTGCTGATTCAGCCCAGGGGCCGCTGTGCTCTGGGGAATCTGCTGGCGTTCTTTCTCTTTCTTCCCTTCCTCTTTTCAGCTTATTTTTTGCCTGTTTCAAAAGTGCCCGAAGCAAGTGCTCATCTCTGTAGAAGCTTGAAAGCCTGGGGGGGTGGGGGGGTGGGGTGTGTGTCTGATTATCGCTTCTGTGCTGCTGCATCTCTGCTCCCCGTTTGCACAGTGGGGACGGACGGTCTCTGACTCGGTTTCGCTGTGTGCAGTGAACGGGCACTGTCAGCAGAGCGGGGAGCTCTGCCCGGTCGCACATTTTCCTCTCTTCGGGGTGGCTCGGGCTGTGGGCGTTGTGACTGGGGCGGCTTCTTCCACCTGGGCCCCGGGGGCTGGTGTGGAGCTGTGAGGTGGAGAGCTCCCGGCCGTGCCCTGCATGGCATATCCAGGCAGTGCACAAGCAAAACTAAGCACCAGCAGCCTCTGCCTTTTGTAGGGGAGGTGGGGAGACATGCTGGGAAATCACCTATTTTTTCTTCCTCTCCCTTTGTGCTGTTAACTCACCTTGAGCCGCAGCCCGCTGCCCGGCGCTTTTAGCCGTGTCCTCCTGCCTCCACCAGAATCCGCCCGCTCTGGCTGCCTTTGCTCTTGCCCTGCCCGCCTGCACCACGCTTGGCAGCCGCAGCGCAGCTCGTTCCCCACCCCCCCGCAGCCCCGACGCCGGGGTCTCCCGCGGGGCTCTGCCGTGCGCCGGGTGATGAGGAAGCTTTATTTCGGAGTGCAGTTGATCACTGTGGTTTGGCGTTGCTTCCTTCACGCGGCTGGGTGCAGGGAGCCATGGCAGGAGCGTTGGTGCGCATTGGTGACCAGCTCATCCTGGAAGAAGGTTACGATGAGACGTACGTTCCCAGCGAGCAAGGTAACTGGTGCCCGAGATAGGGGATTCGAGCGTGCAAGTCCCTTCTAGGTGTATTAAGAAAACAGGAGTTGGGGAGAGCATGGGTGGAGAGGGTGGATTAAATGGGGTTTCATAGAAGACGGAGCTGAAAAATGAGCTTTTTGGTGGCAGAGATAAATGGCATTTTGCAGTCTGTCTCTCTGCTTTACCAGCCTGGTGGGACGTGCTCACTGACGCATGGGACCGTGCTGGCAGCTTTGAGCAGCTTCGTTTCAGGATCAGGATTTCCCAGTGTGCCCACTGCTGTAGCTGAGGACGTTGGCTTTGTTGTGCAGTGCCTGGTGTAGAGCATCTCCACAGATCCCTCTTCTGTGTTCCCAGAAATCCGGGACTTTGCACGGGAGATCGGGATTGACCCTGAGAAGGAGCCAGAGCTGCTGTGGCTGGCCAGGGAAGGCATCGTGGCTCCGTTACCACCCGAGTGGAAGCCTTGGTGAGAGCTCTGTCGGCAGAGTCCTGGGCGAGCCCTGGCCTCTCCTGCCCTTCCCTGCTGAGTGCCGCCCGTGTTGGTGGCAGAGCAGGGCTCTGGCTGGCGAGGCAGGTAATGCCACAAGAGATGCAGTTCCTGTGGGCGGGGGAGCTCAAGTCCATTTGGGGTGGTGGAAGAAGGGGACAGAGTGTTTGGGAGGTTGGATAAGGGTGTGAGCAATCTCTAGGAGAGCTCCTTCCCCACCCTGATGCGTCTGGGGGTTCTCGGAGACGTCACGTTCCTTTTCACTGAGCTTACGGTGATCCAGTATGGTACGGGCAGCTGTACTGGTGTGTGCTCTGTCATCTTGTCATGCTCCTTTTGCCCTGCAGCCAAGACATCACCGGTGATATCTATTACTTCAACTTTGCTAACGGCCAGTCCACGTGGGACCACCCCTGTGATGATCACTACAGAGAACTTGTTGTTCAGGAGCGAGAGAAACTAATGGCAAGCGGCAGCTTGAAAAAGAAAGAGAAGAAGAAGAAGAAAGAAAAGAAAGAGAAGAAAGACAAGAAAGAGAAGCAGTCGCTGAAGCCACCCACTGTGAGTAGGTTCTGCTTGCAGCGCTGCTGGGGAGGGCCGGGCAGAGGACGAACGAGTGGCTGTGACCTGGAGGGTGATCCTGCGCTGTGATCTTCAGGAGCTTGTGAGCTCGGTGACAGTTCGGCAGGGGTGGGGTCACAAACCCACGAAACCTGGGAAGTTTTGGGTTAGAGGCACACACCTGGCGTAGGGGTGCCACAGCCTGTGATGCTGTTGCAGAGCCAAGGTTGCTGGTGCTATTCTTAGCAGCAGGTACTTGGAGTACCGCAAGATTTCCTTCCTCGGAGAGGCCAGCAAGTGGTGTTCCTGCCGTCTCCACGCATGTGTTATGAGACACAGGCAGTGAACACTGGTGTAGAGGTGCAAGGTTAGTCTGCTTTGCTGTGGATATCTGCAAGCATAACCACATTGCCCTTATAGCCCGAGCGGGATATACAAATCGCCCCTGCCTTCCGTTTGCCGGTAATGGGAGCGGTCTCCTTGGGGAAAGACGGTGCCTTGTGTTGTCGCTCAAGGCAGGCATAGACCTCAGACTCACAAATCCTCCAGCCTTCCATTTGAGCATTTTCTCTCATATGTACGCGTGTAATTTCAAGTGCTTAAAAATGTACACGCCTATTTATATGTAAATCAGGTATGAAATAAGTATATATCTCTGCTTTAGATAAGGGTATATATAGTGGTACGTTTTAGTTACTTGCTAATATTTATCTACTTAGGGAATGCAGCCAGGGACTCTTCCTTCAGCATCCTTTTGTCAAATGTCCTCTACCATTCTGCCCCCTGGGCAGGAGAGTCCCGAGACAGATGCAGATAGCCAGGTCAGAGATGAAGGCTGCCTTGGCGGAGGCAAAGAGAGGCCATCAGATGTGAGTGATTCGAGGAGACTGTTTGCAGGCACGTGGCCGAACAGACTGCATCCCCTGCTTGTTTCAGAGTTGAGCAGACCGTGCCAGACCTCACCTGATGCGGAGCAAAGTTTAGAAGAAGGCCCCTCTTGTAGCAGCTTTGATGTAGACATCCCCCAGGACCAATATACGCCTTTAGAAATGCAAGAAAAGCTTTGTCTTGACTCCTCTGACTTGCAGTCTGACGATTTAGAGGTTAGGCCACCAGTTCAACCTTTGTGTGTGTCAGAGGAGTCCTATTCACCAGACTTGAAGAAAGTCAGAGCTCTGCTAGAGGCCTTTGAAGACAAAATCCTGTTCTTTGAGGATGAAGAGCAGAAAGAAAAGTGGAAGATGAAAGGTGTGATGGGTGAGTGTGTCCGTAAGACTGATGATCACTTCGCAGTCAGAGGGAATGCTACAGGGCCGCAGGGGCATGCGGATAGAAATCCAGGCACACTGCAAGGCAGAGAAAAAGAAATTTTGTACTGCAGAAACAATGAAATTGCTCTTTTTTGTGCCAGTCTCACAGATGACTGGAGCTTGCAGGAGACAGTTGATGTTCGGCATGCTCGAGAAGAGCCGAGATCCCACAGCGAGGTATCCGAGAGTAGAGTTAAGAGAGAAGTCCGGGGTGAGGCTTTGGGTCAGGCCATCAGTCTGTACAAGAACAATGCCATCAGCAGCAGACCTGAGAGCAAGGATTTGAAGCAGGAAGAGTTGATGGAAGTAAGAGCAGATATAGAAGTAGACAGTGGCAAAGGTGTGCTAGAGAGCCATTCCACAGGGCCTCGGGAGGTCGCGGATCGACTGCCCTGCTTCCGAGGGGTAGCTGCAAAGAGAGGGGTCGAGGCGGATCTTCATTCTGCAGCGCGTCCTATGTCAAAACATCTTTCTTCATCTGCTAAGGGTGGCTGGAGAAACAACGAAGGCAGGGGTTCGATATCAGAGTGTGATAGCAGCGATTCAGCCAGATCTCGTAACGACAGTGCCCGCCAGGTGCTGGGAGTGAGCCCTCGCTTCTCTCCACACCGCGAGGCCGGGAGACAGAAGGATGGGCACGCCGTTGCTGAGGAGCCTCCGCTGCCTCGTCCCCTCCTGGGGTCATGCTCGGCTCTGGCACCCAGTCCTGCCCAGAAGCCGGGGAGGGAGTGGAGCTCCGAGCATGTGAAACTGTGCCACGGGCCGGAACCTGAGCACGTTAGTCCTACAGCGTGTTTTTGTGGGAGACGCGCTGCCCAGAAGCTCAGTGGTGCTGGAGTGCAGAGAGAAGTGAAGGGAGGCAATGGAAGGACAGATCACGTTTGCGGAGCCTGGGGCGAGACGTTCCCGGCAGACTTGCAGGTGGAGTGCCAAGGGAGCAACATTCTCTGTCAGCACACGGAAGGGGAGAAGACCCAAACCAGAGAAACTGCAGGGAGTTGCCACAAAATAGATGTTGGTGAAGAAGCAGGTGGGAACGAGGTAGGAGTTAAGTCCAGTCTGATGGCTCTTCCATTGTAAACATTTCTGCAGAACTGAGAGCCTGAACTTTTGCTTCTAAGCTAATTTCCGGGAGCAAAGGAGCAAAATCCTCCCGTTGGAGGTCACATAGGCAGGTGTGGCTTTAGTTATGGTGGTTTCCCTAAAGCTTAGGAGGTAGCTTGCAAAAGCATTTGTTTGTGGTCTTCCTTGCATGGCTAACGCTGCCCAGTTCCCACCTTGTTTTAGCTTTGCTAGGACATGAGGTGCCTTCCGAGTTCAGGTGATGGGCAGTAAATCAAGTGGGATGATGGTCAAATCGAATACAAAATCACCTTCCATTTTGGCTCTAGGACTTTTTGTAGTAAGCATGCTACAAAGTCAGCCTTTTCCCTGGAGATCCCACAGCCTAAATTGAGGGGCAATACCTTATTCAGCTATTGCTAGCTTAATTTTGCTTGCTGGGTCTCGCGTCCCAAGGTGATTGAGTTGGTTAGGGTGACACAGAATCCGTAAGTCACAGCCGGCTCTCCTGCATCCATGTCTGGTACCTTGAGAAATGGACTCTCCTCCCTCTTAAATGAAAGAAAAACAGGAAAAAGTTTGAATGAATTAGTTTTTTCAAGCGAGAGGACGATTATTCCCACTGGTTACAGAGCCCTGCTTTGCAGGCGGGTGTAGTACTGAGTTATCTGAGCACAATTTAGTCCCTGGACTGCTGTTGCTGTGGGTTTAGGACACTGAGGTAGCTTACAGGTGTGATGTGCCCACCTGTAAGCGTGACTTTCTCCTTCCTCTGTGAATAGCTGGACCATTTTGCTCTATTTTGCCCAAACTTGTTCCCTCCATTGCCTATGGCAGGATCCTGCCCTTCACTGGGAAGAACGTTCTAGGTTGTTTTGTCTTTGTCCGTAAGTAATTGCCTCAATTAAATAAGAACTTACCAAATCTCCTGGTCTGAAGAAAAAAAAAAAAAAAACAAAACAAAAACAAACTGACTGAAAGGTCACTGTGTATAATGTTAATGAATTGCTTTGCTCTACTGTTGCTGGTACCCAGCTGCGGCTCTGCCAAATCGCTGGCTCAGGTTTCTAATTACCAGCATGTGGTAGTGCTCACTGAGCTGCTAAGAACTATGACTATAAATATCAGTTAAACTGCAGATTATCCCAAAAGTTTTAATTAGCCCGATGCAAGTGAGTTTGCCTTTGCTGAAGGACAGCTAAAATCCTCTGCTCCGTGCATGTAGTTAATGGCCATCTGCAGAAAATAATCAGTTAAGCCCAGGATGTGTGATTGATGCTGTTACCATGGCTGTGGCAACGACTTGGCGGGAGAAGGAAGGATCAGGGCGCGTTCCTCTCCCTCTCCGCATCCCTCAGCGTGCGAGTGAACGAACTCTGTTTTCAGTCCGCAATCTTGTGCGGACGCAGAGCGCAGGAGCCGTGTTTTCTGAGTACACCTGTGCTCTGCTGAAGCTGTACGGCGCGCTACCGGGAGAATCCTCGCATAGGTCGCTTCTAGCTTAACCTGTTCGGGGTAGCACAGGGTGAGACTCCTGGGTGGGGAACTCCGCGAGAATCGCCACGTTGCTGGGTGAAGGTGGCGCTGGGAGGGGAGGATGTCGGGGGGCTCCTGGGGCTCTGGAAGGGAGAGGGGTATTACGGAGCTTCGTATGGGCGTGCGGCAGCGGAGCTGCTCTCCGCCGCCGGTGACTTTTCCGCTGGCGTGTGGAGAGGAAGCAGCCTGGATGTCGGTCTAGAAAGAGGTGGCAGTTGCCGCTTGTGGAGAGTAGGAGGCTCTGTGCCTCCAGAGCGCTTTCTGCTCCCCTTGTTTCACACTGTGCGGAGTAGCAGGGCACACAGAGGCAAAGCTGCCCACTTTGCCTCGGGGGCGCGATGCTGGGCAAGAGCCTCTCCTGGGGGTGCAGGCGGGTGAGCTGGCGTGGCTGTTGTTCTCCCGCTTCTGTTTTGGAGTAGTGCCCATTTATTTTCCGAACCGCCTCACTGCTGTAAAGCCAACCACCGTATTCACATGGGCCTTTGGAAGGCAAAACGCGTGAGTAAATCAAACTGCTACTCCTTACGTGTGCTGGGGAGGGCCGGGTGTGGGGTCTCACAGGCAGCTTTTCAGCGGCGCTGGGTTTAGGACCGGCAGCCCGCGGCTGCACGGGGGAGCGCTTTCTCCCTTCCCGCAAGCAGGAGCGCAAGCGGTGCACCCCTGCCCTCCGGTCAGCCAGGCCCTTCTGCACGCTCCAGCCCCCAGGCACCCTGCTCGCACCCGTCCAGGCGCCCCTGGGGAACCTCGCTCCGCTGCGTGGCCTCGCGGCGCCTCCGGCCGGCATCCTTCGCGCCTCGCCGAGCTTGGACGTGGGCAGCTCGGCGGACTCCAGCCTCGGGGCCAAAGGAGAGACACAGGTGAGGCCCCGTCTTCTCCGGAGCCGTGCCCGGGAGAGCCCGCTGCAAAGGTCCCGGGCATGGTGGTACCCAGGAGCTTAAATGGCTGCATTTGTGATCTCTCGTCAGCTTAGAAACGCTTTGGTCCGTTAAAAACCCCGCTTCCCTACTCTCTCGCACTGTATGTCTTTTCTTTTGCTATTTCTAGGGAGCCCAGTGCTAAATTTGTGGTGAGCTTTCTTCTGCGATGTTTCGCAGATTGAAAGAAAGAATTGTTTCAGTTCCTGGGGTGGGGGGGAGCGAAAAGGTCTGTTCAGTTCGCTTTAGTCGAACTTTGATTTGTGTCCAAATGAAACACGCCATACAGTACAGATAATGCAATATAATAAATGATACTTTCACTCAACGTTGAGAATAAAAACGTTAGGATGAATCTAAGGTGTACAGTCATGCTGAATGATTGTTTATAGAATGTGACCTTTGGGTCAAAGCAAACATAGGAAGTGGTAACAAAGTAATCTTTTAAGTGAAAACAAAACAACATATGTGCAAAACAGCATACAAATCAACACCTTCAGTGCAGGTTTCCCTTTTCCTTTAAGTCATGCCACTGCTTGTTTCAAACACAGTTTTATTGTGGTCCTGACCGAGCTGGACGTGGCTCTAGCAGACCCAGGGTAGCAGCGTAATCCCGAGCACCCTCTCGGAATCCAGCCGCTTCCCCGCTGCTGGTCGCCATCGCGGTGGGTTTGTGGCTCCCCTTTCTCTTTGGCTGCCCTCTCATTTCCCTCTCCTTCCCACCTCACAGCCTGCAGAGACCTGTAAGCCCACCGGCCAGGCCAAGAAGTTGCTGAGCTTGGTGTGCCAAGAGCAGAGCTCCTTGAATGCGGCGGCCCTAGATAAAGGGAGAAACGAGGAGGAAGAAAGTGAGAATGAGGTAGTGTGTGTGCCTTGGCTCTTAATGCGTGTCGGTAACCATAGTGCTCGAAGCCTCAAGGAATGAAAAACTTGTGTGCCCCTCGTAATAGCTTGTTGACCGTGGTTGTTCCATTTGACTCTGGACCTTGATTTGTGTTGAGTTTCTTCCGTGTTCGGTCACCAAGAGGCATCTAATCCAGTTTTCTCATTGTTCTTCCTATAAATCAATGTCTGCCACGATGTATTTCCAGAAGGAATCGGCTGTAGACATACTGCCTTGGCGTATGACGGTGGCTCTGCCTTATTTCCCTGATCAGGACCCCCCAGTTCCTCCTGTGTGGCCACTGGGACTGCAGAGGTCGGAACTCAGTGTTGGCCATCTCCTTTTTGTAATACCTCTAGAGTCTCCGTGGGACAGCAAGACTGTTCAAAAACCTGCACGTGGATGTCAGCGCCCTGGGAGGCGGCTTTGACTCCGAGGTAAGGTGGTGGGGGCTGAGGCAGGCAGGAGAGGAGCCGCGGCACCGCCTGGGCCGGGCAGTGAGAGCGCAGGAACGGCACCAGGGAGGGCGAGCCGTGTGTGTCAGTTATGAGCAGGAGCAACCCGGAGCAGAGTGACGGAGAGGAAGGCGCAGCAGCAGGGCTGGGGGGAGCGTGTGAGGGGCCAGGGGCGGTCCGCAGGGGACAGAGGTGTGGGTATCGGAGGCAAGTGTGTGCTTGAAGGAGAATGCTTGCCGTTTGGTAGGTGAGATTTGGGGAGCTGGCATCTTTGCACAGGGCAGAGCTTCGAGTCGTTCTAAAGCAGAGAAACCTGAAGCCACGTAGGTGTGACAGGCAGGCTGGAAGTCAGCTTTCCCAAGGAACGGCAGGAAGGAGACAGTCTCGGATCCGAGAGGTGCCACGGCGCTTGCTGTGGGAGGAAGGCTTGCTGAGGAAGAGGCACAGATTGGTTCAGCGCTGCTCATTTCAGTGCGTGTAGGAGAAAAGGCTGCTTGTCAGCTGGAGTTACAACGGTGGCACTGGGGAGAGGAGAGGGGAATGTACTCTGGTAACGCCATCCCTGCGCGCTCCCTCACTTCCACGGTAGGCTGGGAAGCTTCCACGTGGACCGCACGTGGCCACTTCTCTGTGGCAGCTTAAAACCCGTTTCCTTTTTTCGTTGCACTGCTGCTGAATTCCATGGCTCAGAGGCCGAGCGCCAGCAAGGAGTTGAGCACACGCGGGCCCTTGTGCAGACATGTTGCTTTCCGTGCGGGTGCGCGCGCTCTGCCTGCGCTTTCTTAGCAGTGATCAGGCTTAAGGTGACAGGGGCGCGATGGGAGATGCGTTGCAAGCGGCTCCGGTGATTCGGCCCGCCTGCTTGCACTGATGTTAATCCTTTCTCAGCGCTTGGAAAATTCCGTTCCAGTATCCGAAAGGCAAATTAATTTCTTTTTAAAGCGTCTTACGGTATTTCCCTTATCCTTTTCACAGCATATAAAAACTGAGCTGTGAAGTACTTTGCTGGCGAATCCATTCACAGTGCTGGGCAGAAACTGCAAAGGCTCGTGCTAAAGTGGATGTGAAAAAGAAAGGCCCGACTCTCTCATCCCCAAACGCCAAGCAGGCTGAGGGGGCCCAGTGGTCACTGAAATGTTAATGTGTCCGGGAACAAAGAGCTGTCTTAGCATTTCAGTGCTGCCACAGGGCTTTGGGAATCTGTTGTAAAGGGGGAATTGCTGCCCAGCGGCCAGGCTCTGTTAACCCAGACGGGGGATAGCTTAGTCTTGATAAGATGTTAGCGCCCCAGTGGAAAATAATTCTTTTGTAGTTCCATGAGATGGCAGTAGAAAAGCATTTCTACGAGCAAGCCTCAGCCTGCAGGCCGAGCCCTTCTCCAGCTTCCTTACAAAGCGGAGAGGAGGAAAGGATTGTCACAGCAAGCCCTACGGGGCGGGAAATCGAAGCAGTAACGGGGTGAAATGATGAAAAAAACTGGCCTCGTGTAGCCTGTGGTTCGGGGCTGACCGGCTATATTCAAAGAAAATAAGCACGTGGTTTTAGTGACTCGCTGAGACACAGGGATGCTGGGCGAGAGTGGAGGCTGCGTCTAAGACAGCACGAGCGTCAGGGAGGGAGGGAGGGAGGGAGGGAGGAGAGATGGGAAGCAGCGCTGCCCCCCTCAGTGGGCTCTTCGGGAGCAAGGACTACATGAGCTGGGGAGAAGGCATGGAAAACGAACCCCGCGTCCGCTGCTGGGGAACTTGAGGTGTGAGGTTTCTGTGTGGTAGGTAGAATGTACGCTGGCAAAGAGGGCCTCTGCTGGGAGCTTGGCTCGCTCGGCCACTCGTGGGGGTAGCTCTCACCTGAACCCAGCTTGCTCGCTCTCTGAATTCCTGTGATGGAGCAGCCGCTGCAGACGTGTGAGACTCTGCTCGAAAATCCAAAAGGCTCTGGGGACGCTGCTGGAAGGGGCAAGAGGAGGGAGAGGTCCGGAGGTGTCTCCGGGTGCCTGGGGAGAGGGTCCCGTGGGAGCAGAAGTGATCCCCTGATGCAGTGCCCGGGAGGTTTAGCACCCTGCCTTCTGTACGGGTCAGTCCCTGGGTAAACGCTGGGCATCGAGGGGGTCCTTTGCGTGGTGGGAAATCACCATGAGAGGCTTCTTTACCAGATGGAGATGTGCGAAAGGGAGCTGTCTCCGTAAATAAACATTGTGCAATACAGCTTGTGTGTTGCTGCAGAGCTGTGCGTGCAGGAAGCAGTGCTGCTGGTTCCCAGGGAGCGGAGAGCTGTAGTGCAGGGGTGGCTAGTGAAAGGGGAGGAATGGCTGCTGCGTTCATAGCCTTGCTCTTGACTGTGCTGGGAGAGCCACGGCTCGTGGGGAGTCCTCAGCTGGGAAGAGGGGTCGAACAGTGAGTTCACCGAGCTGGCCAGCAGGAAAAGCAGCAGCCCTAAGGCACGCAGGGCAGAAGCGGGGTGATGTCTGGGGGTCTGGGCCCACGGGCTCCCGGGCAGAGGCTGGAGAGCTGTTCGGCCGGAGAGCTTTCTGCTCGGGGGCCGCCTGCAGTGGGTGATAGGCAGGGCGGTGACCTGTCGCAGGCGGGCGGCCCGGCCAGCTTGGGAAGGCGGTGCGAGGACTTGTGCTGGTGGATGTGTTACCCACCCATTAGGAGAACAGCAAAGCAGAGGAGGAAGACTGTGGCGGCCGGCTAGCTGATGCTGCTGAAGCTGATCTCCGGCACCGGAGGAGTCCTGCCGAGGAAGCTGGCAGCCCGAGAGAGGTGATGAGCGGCTCTCTGACGTCATGGTCCTGCTCGCATGATGTCACGGCGGCTTTGCATGCAGTAGGCAGCTTCCAGTGTTGTGCTGTGGATCTGATAGTTGCTCGGTTTGCTGCTTTTGCTGGTTTGAGTAGTACACGCACGTAGAGATGTAAACGTGAAAACCGAGGGCAAAAGCTGCCCGGGTGAGGTCTGGCAAACCGAAGGCCCTCCCTGTGCTTCCGTGCCCGAGAACAGCCCGAAGCCAGGGAGCAAGGGGGGCACGTCGCCTCTAAAGGCATTTTGTATGCAGTATGACATTTTTTTCTTCTTTTCCCCTTTTAAATGTAGAATGTGATCTTTTAATCTCTCACGTTCAGCACCTTAAAGTCCAAAGAGGTGACACAGTCATCCTGTTGCCTGAGATGAGCAGGATTCAGTCTTGGTGGCTGCTGTTCATCCCGATTGTTCATCTCTGGATCAGATGCCTTTCCAAAACCTGGTCCCGTTGGTTTTGATGTGCTGTTCTCCAGGCTTATGCTGATCACTGGAAGTGGTGATTTGATCGGTGGAAATTTCACATCAGTTAGTGTCACTCAGCTGCAGGTAAAATGTGATACAGCTTGTGGAAAGATCAGCTAAAGCCAATTATAACCTGACTGGCTTGTTCTAGCTCTGAAATCCATAGACAGTCCATAGTCTGTTTTCGCATGAGGAACGCCTCCCTCCTCTTCCACCTGTGTGCTTGGCGTAGTTCTTTCTTCCAGAGAGTTGCATTTGTGATTGTGTGATGTTAAGAAAAGTTTGGTCTGTATTTGTCCTTAAAATTGGATTCTGCTGGCTAACGGAATCATTCTGGGATATTTTAGTAACTGAGGTAACTTGCCCGGAGAGAAATCTTCTTGTGTGCACGGCATCATTGGATACATCGCTATATTCTGTTGCGGTGTGTGTGCTCCTCAAAGGCAAATATCTGTGTACCATTTTCATGCATAAACATCCTGACTGGTCTCATTTGGCCTATTTTTTCTTGGGCGCTGTCAGCTCTCCTGGAGAGAGGTCCTCAGGAAGGCTCTAGAGCAGGCCTGTCCAAAAGGGAGCAGGGCTTTCCAGACACCCGAATCTCTGCATAAAAGGAAGGACAATGAGGACTCTGTCACTGGAGTAACAGCAAAGAAACGCCACTTGCAGGCGTTTTTCTGGGTTCTGGAACAAAGGTGTCGCCAAGGCCTTTGCAGAGCCTCGTGTGGCTGGCTAGTGGTTCTGCGGCGTGCTCGTGAACCTTTGCTAACCAGGCACCCAGCGGGAAAGGGGCCATAAGCTTTCCTTTATTACGTGGTGAATTGCAGGTGAGGCTCTGAACTGCAGGTTTTTGGAAAGTACCCGGTGATTAGATTTCTCTGCCCTCCTCTCCAGGCTGGTGGATGGCTCGCTCAGCCCCGAGAAGGTGTCTCAGACAAATAACATGCTAGGAGACGTTCTTTCAGTTTGCTGCAGCTCCGGGTTTAAAGCTGACAGCATTCCAGTTGCACTTTGATAAAAATACATCGTTAAAATATGCGGTCTGTGTATGGTACATGCTGTACACAGGATGCAGCTAATGTTTGACAAGACACCACAGCATTAATAAAACAGTGAGAAAGTAGGACGTGCGAGCAGTTTTGTTTGCATGCTGATGAGGGAACCTTTTCCTGCTTCCTCCTGGCTATCGCACTTTTTGTTGTGAGTTTTGTGGGCCTCCCCACTGCTGGGAGGGGCGGTCGAACCTTTGGGTGACTACGGTTTAATTCGGGATTGGTTTTTCCCCGAGGCCAGTGAGTTCTGCCGTTTCTCAGTCTCGTGGGTTAGCGAGCCATGATCTCGTTCTGAGCTCAGAGCGGTGGCTTAAAGCGGTGCCTGCCCTCCGGTCTGTCCCGCTGGGAGGTGGGAAGATTGCATCCTGCCTACTCTTCTCTGCTTAGAACGTCAGGCAGAAGTTAAATGTCCAGTAATAGTCTCTTGCAAATGTACATCTCTCACTGAAGAGATCCGGTGGGGAAGCATGGATGGGCATACTGCAGAGCATGTAGGGGGCTCCCAGGGTGGACGGGCCTTGCAGCAGCCACTGCTAACTCTTATCCACTGAGACCATGGGAATAAAACAACAGATTAAAGGAACCTCCAAAAGTCTGAGCCCAAGAAATTAGTGTGCTTATCTTAATGAAGTTCCTAGTCTTTGAAAGGGACTGTATGAAAAGAAACCAAACCGGTCTTGAAGTCACCCAAAGCTTTGCCGTTTTGCCGCTTGCTATAGGGGAAGCCATGCTCTTTCTGACCCCTGCGTCCTCCCAGAGAGCGGGGTAAAGAGTGTTGTAGCTGTAATTGTGTTTGACTTGCTGCCTAGAAGGAGTCTTTAAAATCAAGACACGCTCAAGACGGACAAGAGTCTTCCTTGGATTCTGACGCTGCGTGCCCTCCGACTCCAGTTCAAGTCCTTCCTGGAGATGCTGACAGTAGCCTGTCTGGCCAGAACAAGGAGGAGTCCGCTGGGAATGAGCTGCTGGGCAAGCAAGACGCTGAGGTGGAAGGTGACGTCTCTGCAGCTGATGAGCTGCCACAGTCTCTGGGGGAGAGGAGCGCAGCAGGGACAGATGTGCCCAGCGGTCCTGGGCAACCTCGAGCCGCGTCTCCAGCTGCTGAAGCTGCTGAGGCAGATCAGCCGGCAAGCCTGGCTGCCGCCGCCGACACCGTGTCTGTTGGTGAAGAGGTAGTGAAGGAAATGAGGGAAGAAGCAGCAGCTGATCTGAAAACAGACAGCGGGCTGGATGCTGGCAAAGTAAGAGACCTGCCTGCATGGCTCGGGTTTGGTGTGGAAGCTGCTGTGGCTGTTGCCGATGCTTTGCGAGGCCCTGATTCAGGAAAGCTCTTGGAGCGCTTACGCGTTTTCTGTTAAGTCAGCGTAAGAGCTCTCCTAGTCAGCGGGGGGGGGCACAAGTGCTCTGAATGCCCAGATCGGCATCTTTAGGATGGAGCTAGGAAGTCATTCTTTTATGCACACACAAAGTGCTGTCCAAAGCAACTGACAGGCAAAAACCCTGAACTGTGATGCATGTTTCGAGTCTTGGAGGAGAAATAAGTCTCAGCTTTCAGTGCTGCCATCTGTACTAAGCAAGCAGGTTTTATAATGAAGTTCACACCAAGCCCAGCTGTCCGTGCTGCTTTGTTTCTCTCCTTCTGTTGTTTCTCTCAGCTTATGCAGAGATGGGGCAAAAGTGTAAAGTGAGCTGCCAGCTGTGATATTGGCTGCTCTGCGGAACGAAGCGACAGGGAGGCGCGAGGTTAGAGCGGGGAAGGACGGTGCCTCGGGGCTGGCTCCGGAGCTGTAGCTCCAGTCTGCCGAGCGTAGTTCCTTCCAGTCTGCCCACTGCTCTTCTGGCCCTTGCTGGGAGGGGAGCTGGCAAACAGCTGAGTGCAGTCGGGGAGTTTGGTTGCGCAGCCTCTGGCAGGAGAACCACCGCTGTCGCAAGGTGCCGAGGGGTTCCTGGCCTGGCCCCTGCAGCTGGGGTACGGGGCAGACACACACCATCCACTCTTGCGTGGTGTCTTCCAGAAACGTTAGAATATGAGCTCTGATAAACCATCTCTTTCCAATCAAGCTTTCTTCCTGCTGATTTTGATGGTATTTCTAGTTCCGTTGAGGTGTGATGTCTTTAACGATAAGCTCTAAAACTTAGCCTGGAAAACATGCTCTGTTCCGAAGAGCTTGAAGTCGAAAGCTTTGCTTTGACAAACGCTTCCCCACATGCTTGCTTTCAGCGCCTGGGTAGCTCTGCTGAAGCCAGCAGGGCTACGTGGGTGTGCACACTGAACAGCTCTGTACTGTTTCACAGCGGCTGGGACCATCGGAGCCCTTGCTGCAGTCAGGTGGGACAAGGTGTGCTTTCTGAAGTCCTTTCCAGACCATGGTGCTGTTCTGGGACTTTACCCCTTTGTGTGGGGGGTTTGGGAGTTCTCAGAGCTGCCGAGATCCTCGCAGCAGGAGCAGTACGCAAGCGCCTTTCATCAGGGGTATCTGAAGAGCACTTCTCTGCCCTCCCCAGTCCCTTCTCCTGCCCCTGCTCTCCTGTGAAGTGGTGTTTTATGCTCATCTTGTGGGTCTCACTGCTTTTCCTGTGGTGTTCGCTCACCTCTTCGTCCCTGTGTTCTAGAGGGGCCAGATTTGTCTTCCCAGTGTCGGTTGTCATCTTGTTGGAAGTGCTGAGGGGAAGCTGCGGGGGTAGGACACGTCCAGGCCGTAATGCGTATCTCCTCTCAGGTTTCAAAGGCGTCCGAGAGCAGCGACTGTGGGGAGGGCTTGCCAGTCTCCAACTGCTCGGACCGTGACCCGATTCGGCCGATGGTGAGTCACTAAAAGCTCTTTGTCCCTTGGGTGTGGGCTTCACATTCCTCTGGGAGCGGGCAGGCAGTGAATGCTGGGCCCACCTCTTGCGGTCCAGCTGCCCGGCTCCTTCCCTGCCAAGCAGCGACCTTACGGCTGGGGCACGGGGCAGCCGTGTCATCCTGCGCTCAGCAGGTTCTGTCTGTGGGTGAGGTAATATCTCCGGAAAAGTAGGTCACTGGGAGCTGGAACTGTACTCAGATAATTGCAAAAAAGAAGATGAGAAGCAGTGTAAAAATTCTGCTTTAAGGGACTCGGCAGTTTTCTCTAAGGGGAATCTGTATGGCCAGGAGACCTGGCTCCTGAAGGTCCCGGAGGGAGAAGGTGCAGGTGGGTAGCCCTGAGATGGGGGGCGGAGATGCCCATCAGCATCTCTTCATCTCCACAGGAAACTGCCACTGCCATCTGCCAGTGGGAGCAGAGGCAGCATGGCCAGCAAATGGCTGAGAATATCATTATTTATCGGTGTTAGCACAAGCCCGTGTGCGCCGCCTCAGACAATGCCTTTGGTAGCGCTCGCCCGCGGGCACGTGTGCGCCCGCACGCACGCTCCCCGTCTGCCGCCAAGTGCGAGGACCCCCGGAGGCTCTGCCGGGAGGGGGGATTGTCTCGGAGAGGGAATAGCTCGTGGGCAGCTTGCAGGAGCTGACTTTCGGGAAAACACTCAGGAAACCTGCAGCAGCATCATAAATGAGAGCAGAGGAGGCGGGGGGAGGATCTGCTTTGGGTGTACCGTGTGTCACCGTGCCCGCTGCGGTCGGTGGCGTGGAGGCGCGCGCCGGCAGCGTGGCAGAGCTGTCCCACGGTGCCCGCCCTGCGTGGCACTGCTGTCCCCCTGGCCTCACGGGGGGAGTTTCCCTGGGGACCACCGGTGAAGGGAGCCTCTGCGCTCCCCCCTCGCGGTGGCCAGGCCCGTGGGGAGCCCCGACTTCCTGAGCGCCCCGCCTGCCAGCGTCCCGGCAGGTAGCTCTGCATAAGCCACCTTGCCTGCCCGTGCCTCCGCTCCCTGGGAAGGAGAGCGAAAACCCAGCTCGCTGCTGGTCGAGCCACTAAGAGAGCCGTCTGTCTGTCTGCAGGACAGATACGACCTGTGCCTGGACGCGGGCCCGAGTCTTGGTGTAGCCATCTCCTGTGTCCTGTAAACCTTGCTGATGGGTCCAAAGCTAGTGCTCCAAAAGGCTTGCTGTCAGTGGGGTGGTGAGTGGGGATTCCAAGCTGTGTTAGGGTTTTGGTCCAGTCCCAGGTTCTCTAGCAAATCCAGCCCGTGCTCCTCAGACGCTGATCCTTTTCTGCTTTCTTCTTTAGGACTTGGGCTTCCACAGTCGGCTTTCTGAGCAGGTGCTGGATGTGGGGGTTCTGTCTCCTGCTTCGGACAGCCCCATGTGCAAGGTGAGTGCTACAGCTGTGAGCAGGGACCACTCTGTGAGCAGGCAGGGTAGGATACTGTGTTGTGGTGCGCTGAAAACAGGGCGACGCTATCCGCACAAGGGCTTTGCAGAGGCAAGCAGAAGTGTCAGGGATTAGAGCAGCGCTACTACTGCTTTGGTTTTTCTGCAGAGATGAGGTGCAGGTAGCAGCAAAAAGGGCATAAACTTTGAGCAGAGGTGGCTTGTGAGGGGTGCGTGCATGCAAGCTCACGTGTATGCTTTCCCTGCCCCAGTGCAAGGGTAGATAAAAGGCTTTCCTGGGGAACAGTGGGAGCTGGAGACTGCTTGACTTGCTTCTTTTGTGAGTATATTTGTCCTTTTCTTAAGCAGATGGAAAGGATTTGTGTAACAGAACACGATAGCATAAATGGAAGAAAAGGAGTTAGCTCCCTCTGACAGATTTTGGTGTAGGGAAGCTTATTTTTAAGCGTTTGGTTGCCTTGCTCGCTTTCACGTAGGGGGAAAAATAGGCTCCTTTCAGTGAGGCGGTGGCATATGAAGGACTGTATGTATGTACGCACGTGTGCGTCTGTGCTTCCTTTACCACCTTAGCCTGGGGTGTAACTCTGCTCGGGCATTCCTGCCTGAAGAAGGTTGCTGTGCATCTCGAGGTTTTATCCCTGCCTTCTCGGCGTGTTGCTGCGTTGGCCTCCTCAGCCCCGCGTGCCTGTTGAGCCCTCTCAGCCAGCCCTCTCCCGCAGCATCTCGGCTGGAGGAGCGTGCTGCACCGCGCGGCTCAGGGCCGGGCTCCAGCTGGGGTTACTCAGCCTTGCTCTGATTGTAAGTGAGTTGATCAGCTGCACTGGAGGAGACCCTGAGTGGCAAACTCGCCACCTGTCCCGCAGAGAGGAGCAATCCAGTTTGTAAGGTTGTGTCTGGAGAATACACCTGTCCTCTTGTGCCTAATAATGAGCATAATCAGATGTGAAGGGAAAACAAAACATGGGCCTGCTGTGTTCTCCCTCTCCCTCGTGCTGCAGCACAGGCACTGTGCATACAAATGTCCTGCTGGAGCAGCCACATTTGGAGTTTGTTACAACCCTGACTTGAGGAGAGAGGTGGATTTGAAATGGTGCTCCCTGCAGAACTGCAGCTGCTCCTTTGTGTCTGTAGACAGAGGCTTGTCTGGAATGACTCTGGTTGCAGGAGTGTGCTTGCTTCCACGTCATGAGCTTGCCTGGCTTTGCATGCGTTGGCAAAACACTCGGTTTTTTGAAAAGAAGACCGCCTCTGTCAGCTACGTGAGCAGCACGGTGTTGGAGGTTTTTGGTTAGCGTGTTCTGGCGGGAGCTGTGGTAGCTCGTGGAGGCTGTGTGGGCTGCTTCCTGCTAGCCCTGGCTTCTCTGCTGGCAGCGGGGAGGCTGCTCCTTTCACCCTTCACTTAGCAGGCATCTGAAGTGCTGGCATCCCGCTTTGGCCCTGCTGCTGCGCCGAGGGCGACGGTGGGGAGGAGCTGGAAGCAGGCATGCGGGCTAAGCTGATGTGTGCTGGAGACCCTCCTCCTGCTGAGGGCCCTCGGGAGCTGTGCTGTGCAGAGGGAGGAGACGGCCTCTTCCCTGTCGTCCCGCTTTCCGGTGCCCACAAGACTGGCTTTGTGTGGCGGGTGTGCGAGGTGTCCCCCGTGGGACGCAGCCTGGCATTTCAGCAGGGCAGAAAACGAAGCTGCCTGCAGTCCTGGCACTGCCGGGGGTCCTGAGGCAACAGGACGGGCAAGGCGCTCCGGTAACTTCAGAGACAAGGCTGAAAATCAGCCCTTGCTCCCTGCGGGCCGGTGCCGTCTCCGCCTTCTCAAAGGAGTCCAGAGATTCCGGCAGCCGGTGATTTCTGGGACTGCCCTCCCGGGAAGGCGTGTCGGGTGGCAGGGGAGCGGCAGTGGCCCCACACGTGGGCTCAGCAGCGTTACCCTGTGCCTGGTTATCCCTCTTCCCAGGGAGATCTCGTTCTCCGTCTGGCCGGCTTCTTTCCTTTCGCAGGCAGTGGTGGCAGAGCCCGGTTCGAGCCAGGAAACATTTGCCGAGTTCCTCGGTTCTTGGGAATTGAAGTAATTATTTACACGGGGGCAGGAGGGAGGCTGGGAGGGGGAGCTGCCTGGGAGAGCTCTGGCCGGGCTGATGTGATGGAAGGTGACAGCACTTGCAGGGAATCCTTCTGCTGTTTGCTCCACTGAACATTTGCATAAATTACCGCGGTTTTAATTCTGTGTTATTTTGGCCCTGCTCCACAGTACGCTCCCGCATGGCGAGGGCTGAGCTCACCTGCTGTTCCTGTGGTCCCCGAGAATTTATGAATGGGCGGCTCTCCTGGGGGCCGGGGGCCTCAGCAGGGAGGATGAGGCCTTGCTGCTTGCTCACGTTGCCCTCCCCAGGTGAACTGCGCCGTGCGTGTTCGCGTGTGCCCGCTGCGGGGCCAGAGCTGCCCCGGGGCTGGCAGGTGGGAGAAGGAGCAGCTGGCTCTTGCACATTCGGGTATTTGCTCTTCGTAGTTCAGGTATTTACTATGTCACGAATAAGCCAACCGAAGCTGCTCAGAGCGTGTTACGGAGAGGGCTGGCTGCCCTAGCAGCACCCAAGCTGGTGAGCTCTGCAGTCAGTAGTGTCGGAAAGCCCTGGCTGTATAGGGCCCGAGAACCAGGACGCGAGGCAGGACTCAGTCCTGTTGTGATTTCGCTCACAGGTCGTGTCTCAATTTGCTCTCTGGCCCCAGCACCGTTGTCTTCCTTCCGTGTGAATGTGTGACAGTTCTCTTTTGGGAGATTTTTGTCCTACGCTTTTCAGGGAGTTTGGTGTTACTTGGGCACGTAAGATGATCTTCAGGAAGCAAACCAAACCTGCGTGCAAAGTGCTTAGTGCTGGCAGGGAGTTCATCTGTACTGAAAAAGCAACCCCCAGACCAGAACCTGACACAACCCGGAGAGCTGAGCCCCCAGGCCTCTCGGTTGTGCTGCCGGAAGCGTTCCTGCAAGGCGTTCCCGGGACGTTTTGAGCCCGTTGGTTACCTGCAGGAGAGGAGGGTGGCACATTCCCCCGGGTGTTCTGGAGCAGCCCCTGGGTGCTGTGCGGTCCTTGGGCTCCGTGCCGAGGCGCTGCACCAGGGCGGTGCTGCCCTGCGAGGTCCTGAGAGGCTTTGATGGTGAAGGAGCCAGCAAACTCCACGCTGTTTGCTTTTACCTGCAGGCCCAGGAGCTGGGAGAAGAGGAAAAAGACCAAAGCAAAGCCAGTATAGAGGAAGAGCAAAGCAAAAGAACAAAAGCGGCTGAGAGGTATGGTACAAACAGAGCAACCAAAGAGGCATGGACAGCTCTAGCTCCAGCTGACTTTCCTGTCTTGTCCGCCCCTGCGCTGCTCTGGTCGCTGTAACTTGTACATGTGTCCCCTGTAGAACATCCTGAGATGCTGCAGCTTCCCTCAGGGTCTTTCCCACAAAACCTCTCACTTCTCCTGCCACCTTAGTACTGTCTCAGCAGATTTCAGCTTCGTTTCAGCTTCTGGCTGGGTAGGCAGCAAATCTGCCTGTCTTTCATTTCCTTGTGACTGCCCCAGATGTGGTGCTGGCTTCTGTTTCCCTTACAGCTCTTTGACTTTTCTCCAAGGCTGTGACAGTCGGGTTCTTGCCGAGATGGTCTGAACCTCTTAATGTTGTGTGTTGTGCCCTGTAGCATTTAACCATGGAAGACTTAGTCACTGGCCGTCACCCGATGACAGACCTTTCTGGTTCTGAGAGCCCCCCCCCAGTCTCGGTGAGTGCTGGTCCTGCTGGGCTGCCAGCTCTGCACTGGGCAGAGCCTGTCGCTGAAGGCTCCCAGGGCCAGCCCGGTGCCTGTTACTGGTGGCAGGAGGGTCCAGCCGCAGAGCGAGCAGCTCTCTTCCCCTTCCTTCCGTAGAGGTGGCCTAGAGCAAGTCACTGGTGGACCAGGTGTAAGCATTAAGCTATTTTGTAGCCTGGTATGGGGACAGCTTGCTCTAGAGTGCCCCAGCTGTTGCCCCCAGAGCAGTGCCGGCGTCCAGACCCTCAGCTACTGTGAGGACAAGACTGTCTAGGGGAGCTAGTTCCAGCCTGTTTGTGGCAACTTGTTTAAAACAGTTGAAATACTGTGCTGAGCAGTGAGCTCCGTGCTCCCTGGAGCCCCTCCCCTGTGAGCTGCAGTGTGTGGCATTTATAGATGAATCTTGTCAAAACTCTTAGCCTCCGCGCAGTTACATATACTCTGGGGCACCGGGAGCCAAGAAGCTATTGCCTGTGCCAGGAAAACTTGCGAACAGAAGAAGCTGCAGTCCGTCTTAATGACTGTCTGAGTGCACCGGGGATTTGCAGCCTTGTTTTTAGAGGAGCTGTTCATGTGAAGGTCCCCGAAAACACGCTCTGCCCGCAGGAATTGTCTCCTTATCACTCTGTACCTGCTTCCCAGCTGTGCATCCTCTCTCTCTCTCTGCCTGTAAAGCTAGCTCGTGCTTGCTTCATCTCTCTTCTCTGTACTTCCAAGATGAAGTACGGCTGTAGGTGTAAACGTGCCTGCCGATATTTCCATCTGTAATTCGGGCATCGGTGTGCGTATTGCTACTGGGGCTGACATACCTTGGGGAAGTTCTCTCAGGACCTGGAAAGAGGGTGGGATAATTCAGGGAAGGGACTCAGCATTCTGAGGCTGACACCCATGAAATCCTCGGCTGCCTGTTAGCCTGGCACGGCTCGAGGTGGTGGGAACGGTTTGAAGCTTTGCTGCGCCTTTGGTGGCCCCGTGTTGGGCAAACGGTTGCCGTTGGCAGGCGTGGCTTGGTGCCCACCTAACTCAGCCGCACGTCCCATCTTCTCCCTGTCCTGTCTGCCTGCAGCAGCCACTAGACTCTGACCGGTGCTGATCTGGTCTTCTGTTGCCTCTTTTGTGCTGCAAAGCGGGAGGGATCGAAGTGCTTGTGAAACACCAGAAGAGAAGAGTTTTGCTTTCCAAAATCTCAGTCGGGAGGAGGCCGTGGCCCGGGAGCCGGAGGAGGGGTCGCTGGATAGCCTAATCGGTCTGGAGGAGCTTGCCGCCCTGCAGAAAGCGTAAGGGCTTCCTTTTGGTTCTTGGTGTTGTAAGCATAACAGCTTTTGTCCTTTTGTTCCCCTCTGCGGTGTTTGAAGTTGGTGTGTGAAGTCAGCACGGTAGGAGATGCGGTTTGGTGGGCACAGCGGAGCTCAAACCTCTCCGTATGCAAATGCAAGCAGCTGTTTCGCTGGCGAGAGTGCCAAGTGAACAGTCTGTACTGGGGAGGGTGAGAACAGCAGCTCAGCCCTTGGGGTCTGTGGCACAGGACTCCGTGGGATGGAGAAAGAGCTGTTTGCTTTGTACTTGGAAGAGCCTCCTGCTCACCAGTGCCGCTAACAAGGCTGCGGGTGTTCACCCTCCCTCGACAGACGCTTTCACGCGGACGCCCGAGTTCACTTGCAGAGATCGGGGGAACAACAGAGACCCAGCGAATCGCCCCACTTCTACAGTGGCTGGGAACAGTGGTTGCTTTGAGATAATGAGGTCAGAGCGCAGGATGGCAGCGCTGAGGTTCCCTGCAAAAGCCAGGCTATTGCTGTGCTAAATTGATGGCCTTTGCAGCTAGGTACCCACAGTTGCACTGCGATAGAAGATCTCAGTAGAAGTGATTGTGCTGACTCTGCTTTCTGTGTCAAACGACAGATCAGCAGATGCAATTGGAAAAAATAGGCGGTGCGTCTCTCAGGACAAAGTGGTGGAGAGGCAATCCTTGATGCGGAGAGCGGCACAGCATCTCCCTTCTCAGGAGTTGCGTCGGGTTGTGTGGATGTGTGTGTGCTGGCTGGGTCTCTTTTTAAGTGAGAACTGGGGCAAAAGGAGGAACGTGGTAGGAGAGGTGGAAGTGGCCGAGTTGCTTTGCAGAGCCGGCTGACAAATGACACCTCCTGTAGGCATCTCTGCAGTTGGCCCAGGGCGTGTGGCATTGAGGGGGAGCGCTAGTGAAGCAGGAGTTTTCCAGAACCCAACTGTTCTTTCCTCTGTCTTGTTCTTTTTGCTAATGGCTGCATAAGTGACCTTTTTGCTTTCGACTCGAGGCTAAATTACTGGGGCTGTTACTTCCCTGGTTCCTGGCAAAAGAGGAGTCCCTCTGCCTTACGCTAGCAGTTTCAGAGCACAGTGAGACCTTCCTGCTCCAGCTTTCACTAGCAAAGACTTAAGAATTTTTTTTCCTAGGCTCATCTTCATTTTTCCCCTCCTTCCCCTTCAGCCTCTCTCAGACCTTATAACTTGGCTGCTCTCTGTCGGAAAAAACTTAATTAGAAACAGATTGGGTTTGAATTTTTGGAGCGCTGAGGGCTTTCTGTTGCCTAGAGCTGGCAAACTCCCAGCACGCTTTAGATGGCAATTGCAGACAAATACCTGGTCCATCAGAAGCGCACTGCCAATCCCCGGGCTGCAAACGGGTACCGAGTGCATCTGCTTGTGCGCCTGGCAGCTCCAGCCGGCGTTTCACAGCTGCTGGATCCTCCACAAAGGGAGGCCGTGTTGCCCTCGCAGGGTGAGCTCCGGTGGGCCAGAATGAAAGTCATTCGGGGCCTGCGTGCTGCTAGGACCGGGTTTAATAATTCCGATTCATAACTTCGCCGGGAGCCCACGAGAGGGCCCAGCGGCAGTGCGCGGGGGCGTCCCCGAGCCGTCACCCGAGATAACGTGCCGCTCAAGGCCCCGAGCGAGTGGCGCGCGTTCCCCGACAGCCCTGCCAAGGGCGCTTTCCTGCGGCGAGCTTGGCTGCTGCCTCCGTGCCCGCCAGCCACCCGCACCGCCGCCGCCCGCGAGCTGAGCCGAGGGCTCCGCGGCAGCCCGCCAGCGGCCCCGGTCCAGGGGGGATTCCTCTCCCTTGGTCCGCAGCGACGCCTCTAGAGGAGGTGGCTCCGAGAGCTTTGGAGTGGGGTTGATACTGTTTGGGGAGAGGTCGCTGCTCCTTTCGTGTTGCCCAGCTTTCTGTCACCCTTTTGCCAAAGGAGCTTGCTCTTTTTGGCAGGCGACCCGAGAAGGAAGTCAAGCGCGAGCAGCCCTTGAACCGGCCTAGTGAAGAATCCCTGGAGGGAATAGCCAAGGAGCTGGAGCTGGAGCTTGAGCAAGAGAAAATGCATTTATTGCAAGCGAAAAAGGAGAAAATTCAGCAATTCCAGGAGGAGATGAGGCAGCAGGAAGAAGAGGAAGCTGAGAAGCTTCATCAGCAGAAAGAAAAATCCCTCAGGTACTTTCCTTTCCCTCCTCCACCCCTCCCCGACTGCTCCTCCGAGCCTTTCCTAGCTGCCATTTTGTTGCCGGCGGCCACCCGCCTGTGCTGGTGCAGGCCACCACCTTGGCAGTGGTGCTGCTTTGCAGAGCTGTGGGCAAAGGAGGCAAGAACAAGGCTTTTGGGGGGGGGGGAGGAGCACGGGACTCCTCGCCTGGCGCAGCCGGTCCGGTGCGTGAGGATCCGCACGTGGTGAAATGGCTAGTGGTCTGCTGCCGGTGCTGCGCGGGGAGAGCAGCGCGCCTCAGGACAGCGCGCTCCGCTACAGACACGGGAGCATCTCCATCCCCTGCAGGACGAGCTCGCATTCGGTACACGGGCAGCTTTCAGAGCTCTGAACCTGCCTCTGGTGGTTAAGCTGGGAAGAGTTTCCAGTTCAGTGCTTGGAGCTTTGCCGCCTGGCAGATGTTCAGCTCCTGGGCTAAGTGGTAGTAACGGGACTGGAAATTGGAGCGTGAGAGGAGACGAGGCTACCCCAGAGGAGCTATCTGAAACTCGGGTACTGCATGTTTTACAGAGGGGCTTCCAAACAGGGCTTCCAGGCGTAGGGCACGGATGTCCGTGGGAATCCCAGCCAGTGCGTGAAGCTCTAATAGTAGTCCAGGGGCTGGAACAGCACGGGGAGCCCTGTCCTCTCCCCGGGGGGATTTTTCTCTCAAGGCTTGTATTTTATTTCAGGTGGCCTTGATACTTATGTTCTTAACACACTAAGCCAACCAGAAACGGTGTCTTGACATGAAATGGTACGGCAGTGTTGTCTTGGGTGCAAAGGAAGACAGGGAAACCACACATGAAGGGAAAAATGTCTCTGCGGTAGTAAAGCAGTAGTAAAAAGGGCATCATATGAAAATACGAAGCTTACAGATGTACTAATGCATCCAGGTACCTTGGCTGGGAGCCTGCTTTTGTTTAATAGGCGTTGGTTTCATTTACCTGGGGGAAAAAAAAAAAACCACAACACAAGTGCCACCTGTGATGATCTAGCGCATTTTAAAAATGTGCTGCAGAAGGGCGATGCGCGGGGGGCCGCGTCTCCCCTGCCAGCAGCCAGGTTTGGGAAGTATGGAGGAGAATTAATGGTCCAGAGCCCTGAGGGTGCATCGCTCGGGCAGGCACAGCTAGGGGAGCAGCAGCTGATCTGTAAGCCTTGGAGGTGATCTGAAAGTATTAAAGCCTCCTGAAGCTTTTTTTTTTTTTTTTTTTTTTTTTTCTGGCTGCTCATCTCTCAGGTCTCTAAGAGAAGATTTGGCAAAGCTTGCTGAGGAGGAAGAGTTGCGTGTCCGAAAGGAAGAAAGCGAGAGACTCTCAAAGCTGCGAGCCAAAATCACCTCGGAGACTGAGGCAGAGAAGGAGAAGATAAGGTGAGAGGTTTTGCTGCCACCCCTGGGGACTTAAACTCTGCTGGCTTGGGAGGGAGGCACCTTGCGCGCCACCAGCAGCCACTCGGAGTGGGGCTCGTGGCCCTCCCGAGCCTCCGTGGCTGGTACCCTGCCTGCTGCGCGTGGGGGGCAGCGGCGTGCTGGGGGAAGGCAGAACCCACGCTGCCTCCGAGCTGAGGACGTTTTGCTAGATAGACATAGAGTACGTAAGTGTCCTGAGAGAGGTGCTGGGGTGGTGCTGGAGCAGGCGCAGCTCGGGGGCGTGCAAAGGAAAGGAACGGCGTCTGCAAGGATCGCCCCACCCGGCAGCGAAGCTTGGTTTGAGCGGGTGTCTCTGTCTGGAGGCTCTCAGGGCCTGTGAAAACAGCTGGAAGAGGCAGAGCGGGCAGACGCTGCAGAACTTACACTTTGTTCTTTCTTTTTCACTTAATTGACAGGTAGGTCCCCGCCCGACCGCTTTGCTCTTTATTCCCAAGGCCTCAGCTGACACACCCGTGAACCTGTGTGCTGTGGTTCTCGGTTTCTTCTGGCTTGTGTGTCCTACCCTACAGCGGTGTCCTCTCTCGGCTCTGGCTCCTAAATGGACTCCAGTGGTGAAGTGCCAAATTCTGACTTGCTTCTGTCTGTTCTTACTGCAAACCCAGGGCAGAGCAAGAGGTCACACTGCAGAAACTGAAAGGGGAATGGGAATCCCAGCAGCTAGTGGAGAAGGAGAGCCTGGAGAGGAAGCAGCAGCTTGTTTTGGAGAAAATGAAGCTGGAAATGAAGGCAGCTCAGCAGAAAGAGACGGCTGAGCTGGAACGAGAGAAGAAACAATTCCTGAGTGAGCTCAAGGAGAGATTAGACAGGGAAAAGAAGAAGGTGAGATCTTTATTGCTAAGTAGGGTCAGACCCATGCTGTTCGTGCTGACCTGGCTTGCATTGTAATGATGAAGTGTTGAGATTAAACAACACCCGCGTGTACTTTAACAATGACTCACCTAAAGCATAAGGGGAAGATGCTAGGCATGCTGTTAGAGGCGTGATCGAGGTGGGGAGGAGCACTCCCCCAATTTTTAGTACGATGGTGATTAAATAACAATTAAATAAACGGCCACGTTGCATCTGAAGAGAAGAGAAAGATCGCTGTGTGTCTCTGCCAAGCCAAACCAAGCCGCTTTGTCACAAGAGAATATCTCTTTGGCTGCTGCTTTGGCCCTCCAGAGAGCCTGGGGAGTTCCTGAGTGGAGGCAGCTCGTGGTCCTGCCAGCAGAGCATGACTGAGATCCGTTGAGATCTCCTGGGAGGGGAAGCATGTAGAGAGTAAAGGCACCTTGTACGTAATCTGGTTTGGAAGGGGTTTACCGCTGTGCTTTTTTGATGCTTATGGATAGATGTTAATTGCAAATGCATCTTGTGCAACGTGCCCCCACGCGTAGAGGTTTTCCAGCAGACCGTCTTGCTCATGTTTCTGTAGGCAGCAGAAGAGCTAGAGAAACAGTTTGCGATTGAACTCCAGCAGCTGAAATCTGCGGCAGAAGAGAAGCATCATAAGGTAAAAGGTGGCGTCCTTAGAATGTAAATTGTTTTTTTTTCCCCACACTGTCACCAAAGGTGGCCACGGAGGGTGGCATTCCTTTTTTTACCGCTTCGTAAACGTGGTTGTGGTCTGTCTCGGTGTTTGGACACGCTCCAAGTAGGGGGCGGTGAGACTGCACACACAGGTCTTTGCCGTGCTGCTCGCTCTCTGTAGGAGGGCACTAAATGGATCTCGTCGGAAGGGTGACAAGTCTCTGTGGGTGGCTTTCACGGCAGGTCATTTCCAGCCTGCAAGCCCAGATAGCAGAGACACGGAGGAGCGAGGAGGCTCAGCTGCGTGAAGACTTGCAGAGAGCAGAGCAGAAAGTGCAGCAAAAAGCGTATCAAGCGGCAGAATACGAATGCGAGGCAAGTGTTCACCCCGGAGTGCTGAAGGTTCCTCACCCTCTCTCCTTGGACTTGTGCTGAGGTCCAAGAGGCCACGTCCCCTGCCCAGGGGCGACAGTGTGCCCCGGGGGGAAGGACACCCCCGCAGCACCTCACCTCACCGGGGTGCTCGCCGCGAGCTACCCAGCCCACGGCCTGATCCCACGCGCGAGGGACTCTGAACGCCAGGCCCTCTGCTCCCTTGGGGTGCAGCGCTGCAGTTCAGAGAAACACCTTGCCACATCATCCCTGCAGCTCAGCGAGCTTATGAGAGAGAAACGCCAGGAAGTGGAAAAAGACCACGAGAGGAAGATGGAGAGGATGAAAGAGGAGCACCGGGAGGTCCTGGCGCGGATTCGGGATCAGTGTGAGGAGGAGGTACTGCTGGGCAGAGCGGAGAAGCTGGGCGGTGGCTCCGGTGGCTCGCTCACTTGGGCTGCACCTGGGCTGCCACTGCTGCTTGCCAGACCTGCAGCCACTCCTAGAACTGTCTCCCTCCTCCCAGGGGAGCTGGGCATCGTTGCCATGATGTGAAGTGAATTTAGCCTGGGTTCGTAAGGATAAGCTCTCAAAATACTCTCTGTGCAGGAAACTTGCACGTGCATTTGTGGACTTTGGGATGAGGGAAGATTGTTCGCGTTTTTGCAGGTGCCCATTCTGGAAAGCCTTCTGCCTTCCATTTCTGCCTGTGCAGTCAGCAGGGTGCGATGACACGTTAGTTTCAGGGCTGTTTTTTTCTTTCTTGAGCCATTCCCTTAACAATGTTGCTCCTGCAAGCAAGAGGTCTTAATCTGCTGAATGTGGCGTTTGCTGGGGAGCTGCTTTCCGGAGGGTGCGTTCCGTGTGGTCGTGTTGGCTCGCCGGAGAGCCCTGAGCTTCACTCGTTTTTCTGGTTTGTGCTCTGCAACAAACAGGAGAGAAAGCAAAGAGCGGAGCTGTTCGAAGGGCTGCGCAGTGAGATGGCGCGCCTCCGGCAGCTTCATGAAGCGGAGGTGAGAGCTCTGCAGGCAGAGCTGGATGGGCGGCTCGCCGCAGCGCAGCACAGGCACAGGGAGAAGGTGAGGAGAACGCTTTGCCTGGCAGGTCGTTGTGACCTGGCTGCTTGGGGACACGTCGGTGCGCCTGCCACCCTCTGCAGCCCAGCGTGACGCAAGTGGCAGGTCACCCTTTCCCGGTTTTTGTCGTTCCTCTTGGTGGCAGAGCTCTGGCTGGTGGCTGAGGAACTTGAGCTGTTCTCTCTTTAATTTGGCATCTCCGTGCAGGAAAGAAAACTCCAGGCTTCGGAAGAGGAGCTGGAAACGCGTGCAAAGAACGTCAAAGCCAGATCGGTGCAGCTCCTGAGCCAGGTGAGCCAGGCCTGCTGGGCTCGCAGAGGTTTCCCAGCCTGCGCCACTCCTCTGGCTGCTCCCTCGTGGGGGGACTTTCCAGAAGGGCTCAGCCAGGCTTTGGCTTTGGCTAAGCATTCCTAGCAGTACAGCCTCGTGGCTGATGTGGGCAGTGGAAGTCAGTGCTCTGGGTTTGCCCAGCGCTTTGGGAGACAGTAAGTGGCTGTAAGAGAGACAGGGGGATCATAAAAGCCTTTCAAGGTGGCACGTCCTGCTCAGCATCACTTTGGATTTTAGCCAGTCCTTTCCTGGTTTGCCTCCTCTTCTCCCTGCTGCCAGGAAAAGGGCGTGTTTCTGGATCCTGGGCAGCAGAGAGAGAGGAAAGCGTTCCAAGTGCTCCTGTGGAGCTGGCAAAAATCTCTGGCTGATGCTCTGGCCTGCCAGATCCCGTAAGTCCTAGCCTGTGCCAAGGGCTGTAGGTAACCTTGCTTCTCTCAGCCCTTCCTTTCCAAGCGGCACCGCAGCGAGGAGGTAACAAGGTGGAGAAGTGCTGGAGGCAACCAGAGGCTTCACGACAGCAAGATCCTGTGGAAATGGCCGTGTGCCTTGAATACTCTCGCAGCTGAGCAGGAAGGGGGGGTTGTTCCCACGGGAATGTAACCATTCCCAGTTTCTCACTTGGAGTCAAATAAAGGGAGGAGACCTTGAGGTGGGGGGCAGGAAACAAAAGTGACAACAATCCTCAGGTGTTTTGAAATGGTCTGGAGACTTAGGCCTGGCCTCTGTACTTCGAGTGCTGCTCAGCCTCAGCGGCCTCCTCGCTCTGACCCTCACCGACTTTCTCATCTGTGTATAGGAGGAGTCTCTGAGAAAGAAAAGGCAGCAGCTGCTGGATGAAGACAGACGGACTGAGCTAGAAAGAGATGTATGTATGCCTTAGCTCTGGCGAGGTGCTGTGCTGCTTTTCTTTTGGGGGTGGGGGCAATGCACTAGAACTGTGGCTTTAAAAAGGCAGACTGTTGCTTCCGGAGTGCCATCCTGCGGGGAGCTTGGTTCGCTCTGGGCTGTTTCCCCAAAAGAAGAGGCAGTCCTGTTCTTCCAGGGTTGGTGTGTGGTGTGTGCGTTTGGAGCTCTGGGGTCTCCCGTGAACCGTGCAGGTAGCAAGCTCTTGCAGGTTGTGTGCCTTTCATTCTGGTGTCGCGGAAACTACCACGAGGGATTTTTTGGTTTTCTTCTAGGAAGCTGCCTTTGCTTCTCAGCTGCGCCTGGAGGAGAACAGGAGGGAGCATGCCAGCCTCCTTGAGTCCATCCGGCAACTGCGTAGGTCTCTGGAAGAGCTCCAGGACCAGAAAGCTGAGCTGGAGGCCCAGGTGGACTTGCTGCAGACGCGAAGCCAGAGGCTGCAGAAACGCATCGGGTGTGTTTGTGAGAAATCTCCCCTAACACCCCCCAAAATTTGTGCTATGCTCCCAACAGAAACCTCCCTGACCTAACCCGGGCCTCTCCCTCACCTCTGAGCTGCTTGTATGTTGGGCCGTAGTCCTTCAGAATCCCAGGGGTGGTTTTTACTGCATGTCAAGGGCGTGGAGGTCCCGGGGTCTGTTTCCAGATCTATCAATAACTCGCCGTGTAAATTTGTCCCTTCGCCTCTGCTTGGCAGGCTCGTTTGTTTGTCTTCGCGACGTCTGTCTTGTGAGGTCAATAAGATGCCTTGAGAGGGGCACTGAAACGCAGAGAGAAGGTTTTCCTAAGATAGCTGGGCTGCTGGGTTGCCCTGCCCGGCCAGGGGTTGTGCTTGACATCACGCCGCAGACCTGGCACTGGGGGTGGCTCGCACATCTGTGGCCCTTTGCCTCCCGGGGACCGGAGGTCACTGTGACACCACTGCAGGCAGGTTACTGGGCTAAACGGACCCGCAGTCTAATCGAGCGCTGCCACTGTTCCCTGTTCTTGTGGCAGTGAGCTGGAGGCAGCTGTCAGGAGCAAACAGGAGACTCTGAAAGAGCTGGAGGCAGAAGGAGGTGTGGAGTCTCCAGGAAGGAGAGCTGAGCTCCATGTTGAAGACCTGAGAGAAACTGTTGAAGCTGTGAGTAAAGCAGACGGTAAAGGTGTCTGCCTTGTGAGAGCAGAGCTGTAACTCCCTTGGGAAATCCCAGCTTCTGTTCCTTCTGTGTGAACTCATTTGAGATGCAAGGATGCATTTTTCTTTGCCAGGGGACGTCCCTATGTTTAGGAGTATTTGTTGATTTCTGTCTAGCCTTTCTGGGGGAAAGGCGTGGGGGCTTCTTGAGCGCCCTTGGAGTCAAAAGCAGGGGTTGAGTCCGGGCTAGAAATGTCTGTCCCTTTTCAAATGTCCCGTAAAGAACATCGGGGCAATGCCACGGTGATGTCTTTCTGAACTTTTGCTCCGAATTGGATTCTCTGGGGGTCCTGGGGTTCTGTTCCCCGCACACATTTCTTGGTTTTTGAAACGTTCCAACTCCCCAGCACTCGTCCAGAGAGCCTGCTTCCCCACCCTCTCAGAGCCGTGAGGACAGCGACTTCCAGTTTGATCGGTGGGTATCTGTATGCCAGCTGTTTCCGGAAAACGTTTTTGCGTTGGTTTCACGAGCAAATGTTTTTGCTCGGGTTTACGTGCGTAGCACTGGCAGCTCGTTTTTGGGGAGGGTGCTGCGCGAAGTTTGCCGGGTGGCACGCTCGGCACAGAAAGCCAGGAGCGGGCTTGTCTCTTGTGTAGTGTCAGGAGCTACATCTCCGCGGAAGGGCTCTCCATCAGGAACGCCAAGGAGTTCCTGGTGCGCCAGACCCGCTCCATGAGGAAGAGGCACACAGCCCTGAAAGCTGCAAAGCAGCAGTGGCGCCGGGATATGCAGAAAGCCCAGGAGGTGGTGCAGGATCCCGACAGCTCCCAGCTGCTGGAGGGCGTGCGCAAGAACCTGGAGGAGGTGAGCCCCTGAGCGCTGCCCGCGTTCGGGTGTCGGGCAGCCCTGGGATCCGTTCCTGGCTCCGCAGCTGCAGCACCGGGCGCCTGCGGCCGCTCAGCCCTCCTGGAAATGGGATCCTGCACGGCTCTCACAGGCCCGCGGCGTTCGTCCCTGCTTGTGTCACCCCAGCAGCAGGGTCGGCGTCCTTCCCCTCAGGCCCATGCAGCTCGCTCTTCAGGACTACCGGTGTCTGAGGAGCAGGCTTACCGCGCCTCGGGCGAGCGACCGAAGGTGCCTGTGCGTGCATGCGTAGCCCACGGCTCGCGGAGCTCTGCGCGGCACAGCAGTTGCGGTTCTGTTCCGCTGCGTGTGCTTCGGGCGAGGCAGGCTCCCCGAAGCAGGCCCTGCAGTGCAGCCAGCGCTCGGGAGCTTGCTAGACCGCAGGAGCTTCATGGGTAGTCGGAGCTCTTGGGGCCTTAAAAGCCGAGAAGGTGTTTGGTAGGGGAGGAAGGGATTTCTGCGTCACGCAAAAATCATTTTCTCCTCATCGTAAAGGAAGTGACAGGCACCCATCCCGTCGGTAGGTACAGCTTCATAGGTGTAGTTCTACAGGGGTGTCACTCTCGCTTGGAAAGGGGTTCTTCAGTACTCGTCAGCTCTGCTGCTGCGCCAGCCAAAGACGGGGAAGGTCATCGCTTCCTTCCCTGATTATAGAGAGCGTTTGTGCTTGCAGAACCAGAGCTGCTGACCCTGTTGGATGCAGGGTTTGGAAGTGAAACCTCCTTTTCCTTGGGGTGAACTCCCTTTGAGGCGTGTGCCCTGCCCTATGTGCACTCCGCTTCCAGTGCTCTCAAAGTCTTGGGAGCACTTTTACTCCAGCAGCATGCATTCCTCTGCTGAGTAGAAGTGGAATAATGAAAGTCACCCTGACCAGTAACGTCAATTATTTCCCGTCATTCTTGTTTAATTTTCCTCCTTGGTGGCTGATCCACTGCAGGAAGCGAAGCAGTTGGACAAGATGAAGTCGGCTATGCGGAAAGGACACGTGCTGCTGAAGAGGAAGGAGGAGAAGCTAAGCCAGCTGGAGTCCTCGCTGCTGGAGGAGGTAACCCCAGCGTCACTGCTGCTTGGGCCTGCCCACAGCTCGTGGCCTCCTCCCCCAGGCTGGAGCCTCCGCAGGGCTTTTGGTCCCCGTGAGGGCTGTTTAGCTGGTGGCCAAAGACCGGTGCTTGCCAGCGCAGGTGCATTTTAGAAGCACGTTCTCCGAGAGCAGAACGGTGTGTCTGGCTGAGAACGCTGGGAGAGAAGGCTAGTCACAAAGGTGGAGAGAAGGGCAAACCTGCTGGGCCTGTGGCCCCCGTGATTCCCTGGGTCTGCAGCCAACGGGACAAACGTGGGCTGGCGTTTGGGCTGGAGACTTCCTTCCACGGTGGCAGCTTGCCGGGCAGGGCTGCTGGTGGCCAGGGTGGACTTGGGTGGAGCAAACCTCCTGAGCGCGCTGGCTTGTGAGAAGGTTGTTAGCTCAGAGTCGCTGTTAACACTGATATGCTCGAGTACCCTACAATATAAACTGAAACCTCACATCGGAATGGTTAGATGTCTTATTAACTGCCTGTATCTTGCTCGAGATGGCAAACACAGTGCCTTCTCTCTGCTGCTGACATCGGGGCTCTCTGCTAAGCCCGTGGCTGCAGAGTGGGTGCAGAAAGCAGCCAGGAAAAGCCGTGTGATTTCAGCCTAGAGAAAACAAGGGCAGGCTGCCTCATGCGAGCTGGGCTGAGTCTCTGACCCAGAGAAGCCTCGGAACCTGTTCAGCTCTGCCTGGGACCACACAGCCTTAGGCAGGGCAGCAGCAGATGCAAGAGCACGAGACCTCTGGTCAAACACTTGGCCTGGGTGCAAAGAGAGAGCCCAGCCCATGCTCGAGTTCTGAGGCTTATTTAAAGCACAAAACGCTTTGACTTCTCCTCAGAAGGGTCCATTCACGTGGCTGGTAGTTCTGGCCCCTAGTGCGTGCGTGTGCTTCTCCCGGAGAGCAAGGAGTCTCTTGACTTCCAGATTTTGCTGTCGGGGACTGAAGGTGGCTCTGCCTTCCCTCAGCCTACGCCCCTCTGGGCAGTCCAGCCTGCGTAGACGACCTGTCGGCAGCGTGCCAGTGGCTTTTGTGTTTCAGGAACAGAACAGCAGGCTTCATTTGCGTTGTTTTCCTTCTTTCGACCAGCTTTCAGATGAAGATACACTGAAGAGTGCCGCATGCAAGAAGATGGTGACTTTTGATCTCAGCAACTCTGAGGACACCAACAGCACATCCAGCGTAAATCTACAGCAGCCCCGATGTAAGTGCCCGACTGGCTTGGCATGCGGGGCCCGCTGTGTAATGCTTGAGACCCAGTTCTGGCTTTCCCTCTCGCCCCTGGGTGTACCTGCTGTTGTTCTCACCCGGGCTCATTAGTGCCCAAGGCAGGGCTGCCCTCCGTGACCGGGGCTGCTCTGTATATAACATCTGATTTGTGGAGGCAGCCAAGAGGGATGGAATCTGCGTGTGAACTTGCCTTTTAAAGATCCGCCTTAATTTTTCGAGTGGATTGTAAAATCTGGTCTCAGCTCGTCCCTCCCTGCTGTTGCAGAGCTGTATTGCTCTTCTGCAGGCGTCTGGGCTTCCTCTTCCTCGCATCTCTGGCAGGAGAGGCTGCTGCAGTTTCCTCTGTCTGCTGCTGGTGCTTTCTTGTTTCCCTTCGGTTGCCTGCAACTGGAGTTGTGCGGGTGGGAAGAAGGGCTCCCCGCGAACAACCAGGAAGGCAGGGGTGTTGTGTGGCTTGCAGAAATGCAGCCAAGGCTCAAGCTTAAAGAAAGCTTTCCCATGGCAAGAAGCGGGCAAGCTGTCCGGTCTGGGCTGGGCTCTGACCGTGGGCACGCGTGAAGCTGAAGGGTTTTCTCTCACTGTGAGATGAGAGCCCAGTCCTGTCGGTCTGCCCTCCAGCCTGGCTGGTGGCGTGGTGAGCTTTGCCTCCCGCCCGGCCTGTGTGCGGTGAGGCTGCTGAAGCGAGGCGTGATTTCCCGGGCCGGGGTCTTGTCCGAGAGGCGGGGTCCAGCACTGGGGCTTTTGGTGTGAGGGGGGCAGCTCTGGAGAGCGTTTGCCATTCGCACGGGAATCGCTGTCACGTTACTGGCGGTGTGGCGGGGGGCACAGCGAGCGAGGGGGGCGAAGCACACGCCCTGGCGCGGGCCCCCTCCTTGCAGCGTTGGAGGATCTTGTCCTTGCTGTCGTGGTTCTGCTCCGCTTCGTGCCCAGGCAGCCTCCAAGGCACAAACCCTCGCTGTCAGTCTGTCTCCTCTGGCTGCGAAGGCAGGTTTTTGCCTCTGTATCCCACTTGGCACAGCGTGATTGGACTCGGCTTGATTGGAAAGCGGGTCGCGTCTCCCTCACCTTCCCGGCGATCCCTTTTTTTCCCCCTCTCTTCTGCCAGTCGATTTGAGAACCGATTTCCAGCCCGGCCCCCAGCTGGACAAGATCCAGTACTTGACAGAATCTCTGCAGCGTATCACTAACGAACTGAACGGGGTCCTTGGCATCTTGGGCTCTCTGAGCAACCGCCAGTCTCCGCTCTTCACCTCGACGCCCTGCGACGGCATCCCTCTTTCCACCTACGCCTCCTTGGCGGGGCTGCAGGGCGGGGGCTCCCCGGGGGCCCCCGCCGGGCTGTCTCTGGTGGACCAGTGGGCCTGGAGCACTGGGCTGAGCTCTAGTCGCTCTTTCGCGGCGGGACAGTCAGTGGACAGCATCCTGGCAGAGAAGTGGCACAAATATTTCCCAGGTAAGGCTCCTGCCCTCAATCCATCTGCTTGCTTGCCCTCGACGCTTGATCTCACAGCCCTGCACGTTCTAACCGTCTCGCCCTTCCAGTGCTGGTCGGGCCAGATCTGCTGGTGCTGCTGATGGGAAGGGGGCCAGTGAGATAAAGAATGAGATCCTCGTTCCAGGATGCTCAGCGTGTGGCTGATCTTGTCATTCTGCTTCGGGAGCAGTTCAGCCTTTCATATACACCCCAGAAAGCACTTGTTACTAAAGAGGGGAGCAAAAGAGGAGAAGCCCCGCTTCACTCGACGTCTCCTGGGAATTGCAGACAGGGTTCACCATCTCCATTTCCTTAATGCCCCTTATGTCCCTGGCGAGTGGCTCAGCTTGTAGGGACTGTGCATCCACCGTACAAGAAAGCAAATGCACCCAGATGTAAAGCCTCAGTAGTTTGGCGGGGCCTGTATTTACCGTCTGTTTTCCAGGTGGGTTCCCGTTGCTCAGTGGAAGTTCCAAGTCCCTGGACAGCAAGCTGGGATACGTACCTGCAGAGTAAGGCTCTTGTGCCTTGAGTTGTTTTGCCATTGCGCTGCTTGTTCTCTGCCGTGGTTTACAGGTCACGTATCGAGGAAGTAGATTATAAAATCGTAAGCTGCATATCAGGCAGACAAGCCAGCTGCAATTAGTTATCCCGTGCCACGTGCTCAGCACTGCCTTGTGGCTTCTACGGGAAAGCTCTCGACACAGGGGTGCTGATGAGCTCCCTCCAGGACCGGGGCCCCGGGGTGCTGGCGCCGGGCCGGGCGGTGCGAGCACAGACTGCGGCCCGAGCCCCCCGCTGCCGTGCGGATGGGGGGGGGGGCGGCCTGGGCATGCGCGGTGGCCCCAGCTTGTCTCTGCCATGTGGCCGGGCGGAGGACTTTGAGCCGAGAGGAGGTTGCCTCTGTGAACGGGGGCTCTTGCTGTAGCAGCCCATCGCTTGCTCATCTCTGGGTTTGTTTCTGCCTCGGCCTCTTCAATTTCCTCCCCACCCCCCCCGCCCTGACTCGCGCTGTCTCTTTCTCTCTCATGTGCAACAGGGATCAAATACGGCTGTTCCAGCACTCCCAGTTCCCGAGCCATGAGTCAGACAAGATGAGTATTCAAGGCATGATTGAGACCAACAAGAAGTGGCTAGAAGACTTCAAGAGGGACTCAAAAGTGTATCCTTCGCCTGGGTCGGGTCTTTAATTACACTCCAGCTTCCTGCAACAGAAGGAGCCAGTGGGAGGTGAGTGAGTCGGGAGCACCAAAGCACTGAACAGCAATTTTGAAGCCTTCGCCTCTATTTTAGTGTCTGGTTCCACAAAGGAGTGTGGTGTTTAGCAGTTAGAGCATGAGCGACCCCTCTGCTCTTCTGTGAGCTGGACTTGACGGAGAAAGTCTCTTCGTTTTCCCCGGCTGTGCTGCGATGCTCTTCTGTGCCCCTGCTCTGCCGTGATACGCAGCAGTTGGAGCTGGTGGGGCGAGAATTTAAAAAAATGAGCCGGAGAGTGCAGAACGGAGCGGGGGGCTTTGTCCCATAGGCTGCGTTTGGTGCCGTCGGTGCCGCCCCAGCCGCCTCGGGGACTGCGCGGCGGGCGGTCCCCGCTGAGCAGCCCGGGGCGAGGGCGCCCGGAGACGGGGGGACGTGGCGCGGGGACGTGGCGCGGGGACGGCCGCGGGGCCGGGCAGGGAGGGCTGGGCTCCCCGGCGCAGCTCTCCCCCCGGCGCAGTTTTGAGGCACGTGGTAGCGGGTGGCCGGATCGAATGAGCGAGACCTCTCCGTGCTATTAGCGGGGGGTGCGGTAAGAGCATTATGCTGGGGCTGTCAGCATCTCCTCTGCGCACACACCGATATTAGCAGCAAATCCCTCGGGCCTCCGACAGCGTGTGCTGGCCTGAGCACGGTGCTCCTCTGAATCCCCTAATCCCCCTCTAATTCCCCTGGGCTGGGGGGCAGCGGGCTGAATGCGACACGTGTGCTCAGGCTGGCTCCTGCCCCTCAGTACCTGTCCTGTCTGCTGGCTGTGCTCATGCGTGCTAATTCCTCGTGTAAGCCGGGCTTTTCCTTCACCCAGCTGCCAGACCTCTCTTCCCAGGTGCACAGAAGCCCCCCGCCAGCAGCCCCAGCCTACTTCAGCTAGGACTGGATGAAAACAGGCAAATCAAAGTGTACCATTACTAGAAGGTGGGACTTGGAGCCGGTGGGCGATGGTGACGGGGGCCCGTGCAGTCTCCCTAATGATACATTGGGTTTCAGTGATGCCCAGCCATCTCTGCTGTGTCTTTGTGCTGTGCCCTTGAAATAAAGTCTCTCCTCAGGAGAGTGGAGGAAGGAGGAAGTGAACTTCCCAGGTGGATTCTTCTAATCCCCTAATGTCTCCAAACATACTTTATAGACTCTTTAATCCAGCGGTGAAATAGCAGGGCTTCAATAAATCAACAGTGTTCTCATTAGTATTCCAACGATCGTGAGCCAGAGCTGTGAATCACGGAGGAATTTGAGTAACTGGTCAAGGGGGAGGATGCGAGTCCAGCTGAGACTCTGCTAGAGGAAACGCGTCAGGAAATGCGCCCGCACTGATGTCCAGCAAATGCTTGATTGCAGGTGGGCCAAGTCATCTGGCCTCTGGCGTGCGTGCGAGCAGGGAAGAGCAAACAGCGAAATGGCTGTAGAGTCTGGGGACAGAGTTGGGGAACGGCGCATTCTGACGCCGGGGAAACGCTCCTCCCCTGGGCTGCGAGCGATAGGAACTGAACCAGGAGGGGCTTTCCGTGGCAGATCTGGAGAAGTGCTCCCTGCCTCGCCTTTCTGCCGGGCTCCTGGGCAGCAGGGCGCTGGGGAGGCCGTACCCCGAGCCGGGGTGCGCGGAGCTGGGAGGGGGCGGGCGGTGCCGCCCTGGCCAGCGGGGAGCCGTGGGGCTGGCGGGGAGATGTGGTGTTCGGTTGGCTTTGTCAGCGTTTCCTCCAAGCTGACTCTAAATATTTTATGCTTTAAAGAAATGCTGAACCACTTGCCGTTTTGTCTGAGGGCGAAGTCCGCGTTTCGTGGGATCCCTTCTGTGAGGAATCGTCTTCAAAGCCGCTCTCCTTAGAGACGGCTGATGCGGGGGGGCTGGTGCGGCTGCTGCTCTGCCCCCCCCCCCCCCGTGCTGTCTGTGTGCCTCAGCGTGGCCAATGATGGGCGGCCGGGTAAAGCAGAACCCCCTCCTGCTCTGCCTCCCGAGTGCTGTGTACTGGCACAACACAGCAACAGCTCACGCTGTGCGGGTGGCAGGGGAAGGTTTGCATGGAAATAGAAATATATTTTTGATGGCCATCATTTTCAAACTCGTAAGAACGTCTGTATCTATTTTTCTGCTGATTTGCTTAGAGTATTTTTTAACTACTTGGCCGGCCTTTGTCCTAGGACAAAGCGTGGTGCTCCGGTCAGGTCTGTGTTCTCCCACCCTCTGGTTGCTAACGGAGCACAGGGCGGTCCTTCTGCAGGCCCGGGCAGTACAGCACGTCCCACTGGTGTCCTTGCGGAGGAAATCCTCGCAAGCTCTTACCAGCTCTGCCCGAATGGGGAGGCCTGGGATGCCCGCAGGGAGCGGTGGGTGTCCCGAGGAGCCCCGGGGTAGGAGGGGATGGATCAAAACGCAGGTTTCCTCTCTACTGTCGGATCGCCTCAATCCCTGTCTGCGGGGACTTTGCTTTTTTTCGTTTCCCGGCTGCCGGTGGGGGACGTGGCAGCCTGTCCGGCCGGGTGTTTCGGAAGGGGCCCCGCGGCTCCGGCTGTAGCACGGGGGAGCTGTCTGGGTGCTGTGCCCGACGCCACGCCGCGGAGGCCGGTCTCGGTGTTCGGAGGAGCGTGTATTAGCAGTGTGGAGAAGTGGCTGTTTTCTTAGCAATAACTCGCTCTGAGACGCGTTCCTTTTTCCTGTTAAACCCTGTGGTAGCAGCTCTATCTGGTTTTGTACGCAAATTAAATCAACGCGAGCCTGTTTTACATGATGGTGACGCTTGTAGCTCTACGGGTGTTTTTCTTTCTGGAGATGTTCTATTGTAGCCCCAGATGTCCAGCTTGTACTTACCTTTCACGTCTTCCCCTCGCTCGTCTCTGGGCTGTTTCACATTTTGTCTTGTCAAGGTCATTTCTGGCAATTTCCAAGACCACTTCGGCTCACTGTGGCTTTATTACCATTATTCTATTAAGTATCTGGCCTGGGTAGCAAATGCAGGGGCAGATAGAAAGGTAAAAAACAAAACTCCAAAAGCCATTCTTCACGGGCTTTCAGCCAGCAGGACAGCTTTCCGTGGGCTCGTATCCTGCCCTTCTCATAAACCTGTCAGCCGGGCTCGTTACAGCGGTTGTCTGGCTCGGGAGCTCTCGGTGGAGGCTGGAGGACGGGCTGTGTGCCGGGGGGCTGCCCGCGGCGCGGGCGAAGGTGCTCGGGGGCTGCCCGGAGCTCTCCCGGGGGGAACGGCGGGGCGCAGGGCTGCACCCCGGGGCTGCTCCCCGGCAGCGTGGGGTGTGTGAGAGGGGGCTGTCGCTGCCCGTTTCCCCGTTGGCTCCGGAGCAGCCGGGACGTTTCCTGGGCGGTGCTGCCGGTGGGATCGCTGCGTAACGCTCTCGCTGGGAAGCAGGGAGGATCAGTGACGTGCTTGTTCCTTTGCCCCTCTCAGCTCCTTCCAGCAGCCCTGGGACACCCCTCAGCCTTCCCCAGCTCGGGATTTTTTTCACGTGTGTCCTGGCTGGGGACTCTGTGGTGCCGAGACTGCGGGTGTGTGACACGGCCGGTGGCAGCAGTGATGGGGAGCCGGGGGGCTCAACACTGGCCTGTACTTCCCCGTCTCTGACTCTTCTGCACGGTGCCTTGCTCGCTGGGAGTGCTAGGTTGAGGTGGGGACGCTGGCGATGGTTACGTGACTTGAGCTACAGAAGAGCCAGGTGTGGTCGGAGGACGCGTGAGGCAGGTGGACGCGTGGCGGGGCTGGGATGCTACTGTGCACGGCTGTGGTCTGCCTGGGGGGTGGCGGGGGGGGGCTGGGAGGAAGGAGAGCGACTGCGGCTGTATGTGCTGGGGAGAGGGAGGCTGTTGGAGCTGGAGGGCCACCGAGGCACGGGGGGAACAAGGTGTGGATCAGCAGAAACGGAGGCTGAGGGAGGCACGTCCTTCAAAGCCAGCCACAAACCGCCACCCAGCCTCGACTCGCCCCAGTCCTTGCTGTGCAGGAGCTGCGCTCGCCTGCCTTCGCCGGCCGGTAAGAACCGCCGGCAACGCGGGCCGGGCAGGTAGGCGCTCGGGGGGACAGGTCCCCTACCTGCGAAGTCCCAAGTCCTGCCTGGGCTGGGGGAGCCCCCTCGGCGGGCCAGGCTCTGCCGCAGCCCTGCTGAGAAGCAGTGCCAGGCGGAGGCGGCTGCCCCGGCTCGCGGGCCTGAGGGGCGCAGCGCGCGCGCGGGTCCGTGCGTACCGGCCTGCCTGTGTACGCAGAGGGGGGGATTTACCTTTCTTGGGGTGCCAGTACCGGGTAAGTCGGAGAAACTGGGCGATTAGAAGAGCAAAAGGACAGCGCGCGATTGCTCTGTCGGGATGAACGCGAGCCGTAAGCTCATTAAGGGGCTTGGCCTCAGCCCGCGGTGGGAGGGACGCGTCAGTCCCTGGCTGCTCGGAGACCACGGAGCGCTGCTCCCGGAGCTCTGCCTTCCCGGGACGGAGGGAGCCCCTCGCACCCCCCAGCCATGCTGGCCACCCTGATGACAGCACTGTTCTTCGCCGTGAGAGCGTTTGGACAGGTGAGTCTGGCCTGGCCCGGCAGCAGGTCGGCTTCATGGCTTTCCGTCGGGTGTCCCTTACCGGGGAAGGTCGTGAGGGGTGGGGAACACGGGCTGGGGACGCCCCGCTCCCGCATCGCTGCGGCTGCGCCGCGGGCCCCCGCAGCGGTGGGCAGCTCTGCGCGCCCTCGGCGAGCTGCCCGTGCTGGTGGCTTGGGAGCCCCTGAGGACGGGCAGTCGTTCCTGGTCCCGCTGAGCACGCCTCTGGCTTCCAGAGCCCCGTGCCCAAGGGTCCCGGGGCAGCAGGCAGCAGCGTGGCCTGGCCCTGCTGCGTGGCGTGGGGTGCAGGGGGAAGGGACCCGTCCCAGTGCCACGGCGTGAGCTGGAGGACGTGCTGGGCACCACCGCGGCTTGTGGCCACCGGTGATGTGTGTGGAGGAGCAGGTCCTCCTGCTCTTCGGCCTCTCTCCTGCCCTCTTACCTGCCGCAAATCCTTTGTGCCCAGCTCGGGAGCAGCCTGTCCCATGAAGAGCCCCTGCCGTACCTCGTGTACCAGCCCCTGCCCTGGCAGATCCAGTGTGTGACGCAGAGCCGCCGCGCCAGCCGGGACAGCGAGGTAGGGCTGGCTTCTTTGCTGCGGAGCCGGCAGCGCCCGCGCCGAGGGAGCATCTGTTACCCAACGCAGGCTGCTCGGAGCAGAAGGCTTGGGCAAGGGGGAGAGATTTTTCTCTTTCCCTTGAAAGCTGGAGAAAAGAGTAATGCCAAGAGGCAGGGTAACCTGAAAAATGTAGGAAAAGTGTTTGTAGACAAATTCACGCTTGTTTTTAGGGATGAAAAGCTCCCCTGGCAGGCCCGCCGGGGCTGCGGTTTCCTGGCGGGGCGGAGGGAGGGAGGGAGCCCGGCTGGGCTGGTCCCAGGCGGGTTTGAAGCGCAGAGCTAGCGAGGCTGGCCCAGGCCAGTGGACGTCCCACGGTGCTGCCAGCACGTGTCTCTCGCCTGATTTTTGATAGAATGCTCTGTTCTGCTCCTCCTTGGAGGACTTCTCACAAACGCAACTGAATTACTCGCTGCTCTGTTGTGTTCTTCGAGGGAACAAGGGTGTTTTTAAGTTTTCCCGAAGGGATAACAGGGTAGTGGAGGCTTGGGGAGCCTAGCCCTGTCCCTGTCGGAGCTTCCCAGCTGGCCTGGAAGGGACTGTTCTCGCCGCCTCTGCCCGAGATACAGCTAACTGTTGTGGTTTTGTTCCCTACCATTCTAGAAAGGCAGGAGCTCTCGGCACAGCAGCATCTACTCGATTTCTGGGGAGAGAGGTGAGTACGGAGCAGGCAGGGACGCAGCCCTGCCCGAGGAGCAGAACAAAGTTACGGTCGCGGCCATGGGATGCAACGGAATAGCAGGCATAGCAGTACCCGGGCCCTTCTTGGCCTCCTCCTTCCAAAAAAAAAAAACCAAAAAACAAACCCCAAAGCAAACCCATCCCTGACATTATTAAGGGGTATTTTGGAAGTCAGCGCTGTGGGAGGGGAGCCTGCTCAGCTAACTGTCTCTGCAGCCCGCGGCCTGCTGCCTGTGCTGTATTTTCAGTCGCTTCTCCTCCGTGGGGGGGGGTGCCCTTGTTGCCACCCCCGGGAGGGCGCGGGGGGGTGGACAGGATGGCGAGAGGTTCGCTAGAACCCGGGCTATCGGCGAGCGAAGGCCCCAGTGGTGC